TGGGAATGTATTTGGCCTATATTCGACAGGACGTTATATGTTTTCTTGCATAATCACATCCTGGAGAACAGAATATGTTTATTTAAAATAAAAACTCTATCATACAGCACCATGAAGGTAGTTCCATGAAAAGAATGCTTTAAACTGTTTTTATAGTTTGTAAATGTAAAGCATGTTTTTATGCTTCTTATAACAGTTTTATTTGGACTCATTTTATACATTTTTCTAGATTTTCTTTTAAAAATATTCTAAGGAAATTTTCCACTTTTTGATTCAGAGAAGACTTTTAAAAAGCAGTCACTAAATTTCTTCTTCTTTTTTTAATCAGCTATTGCTAGATGTTGGTGGTTTATACCTATACTCCTACTCAGTTAGTTGAGATCTGATGATCTTGGTTGAAAGTCAGCCTGAGAAAGGAAACCCCGTGAGACTCTTATCACCAATAAGAGCCACCAAAAAGCCCAAAGTGGATCTGTGGTTCAAGTAGTGGAACTCTAGCTTTGAGCAATAAAGCTCAGGGACAATGTCCAGGCCTTGAGTTCAGTACCAGTACCAGTGCAGATACACATCTTTACGTACAATCAGCTATGGATCTCTTCAAGACTCATCTATAGAGCTGGGGTGGAGGTCAGTATAGAGCAGTTGCTCAGTGTGTAAGGCCCTGGGTTTGATTCCCAGCACTGGGGGTAAGGGAAAGTGAAGACAGAGGTACTGACAGACAGAGCTAAAGACTTTCTGATGCTAGAACTGAATTTTATTGATTATAAAAACTTAATTTTCTTTGCACAGCATAAATTCACTCTTCAATAATAGTAACTGATTCCGCAGTACCACATACACAGAAAAAGCCAGAAGTAGCATTGTGGCTCAAGTGGTAGAGTGCTAGCTTTGAGCCCTGCGTCCAATCCCAGGACTGGCAGAAGAAAAAGAAGAAAGAAGGAAGAAGGAAGGAGGAGGGAGAAGGAGGAGGAAGAAGTAGAGGAAGAAGAGGAAGAGGAAGAAGAAGACGAAAGAGGAAGAAGAAGGAGGAAGAGGAGGAGGAGGAGGAGGAGGAGGAGGACAAAGATGACAGAAAGAGGAGGAGGAGGAAAGAAGGAGGAGGAGGAAGGAGAGGAGGAGGAGGAAGAGGAGGAAGAGGAGGAGGAGGGAGGAGGAAGGAGGAAGGAGGAGGAAGGAAGAAGGAGGAAGAGTAGAAGTAGTAGTAGTAAAATGTCCACATATTTGCAAGCCATCTTTGAATGGCTCAGCTATAGTCCAGGTGTATGGCCTGAAATATACAGGTGTATATTTTCTCATCACTAACAATCCTATGACAATTCTGAACCCTTGACCAACTCAGAATGTAGACAGATGATGTCCTATCTGCTTCATAAAATAGTGTGTTAAGTTTGAGAAAACAAATATAAGATGACATATGAAATAAGTCTTTGGAACTATACTGAAAAAGAATACTCAGCTGGGCACTAGTGGCTTGTGCCTGTGATCCTAACTACTCAGGAGGCTGAGATCTGAGGACTGTGGTTCAAAGCCATCCTGAGCAAGAATCTCCAATTAACCACCAGAAAACTAGAAGTGATTCTGTGGCTCAAAGTGATAAGAGTGCTAGCCTTGAGCAAAGATCTCTGGCACAGCGCCCAGGTCCCAAGTTCAAGCCCCATAACCAAAAGAAAAAAGAAAAAAAAATACTCTTAGATATTAAAATAATTTCTAGAAAGGAGGGTAACTGTAATCCTTCTATCCAATATCATCTATTAAAATACTATACCTACAGGATCTTGGGGTTTCTTTCATCACTGAGGGTATAAATTAGTCCTTATAGTTTTAAACAGTCCTTATAGTTTTAAAGAGTTCTTTTACTTTTTAGATAAAATCCCGATAGTGGTTTAAGGTTCTCTTTGAGTTCTTTCCTCCGTGAAATGTTGGCTGACCCTTAATGGAGTTCTAGAGACTATGTAGTCTGAGTACTGCTATCTTTTTTTTTTTTTTTTTTTTTGGGGGGGGGGGGGTCCGGTCGTGGGGCCTGAACTCTGGGCCTGGGCGCTGTCCTTCAGCTCTTTAGCTCAAGGCTAGCACTTGAGCCACAGTGCCACTTCCTTTTTTTCTGCTTATGTGGTGCTGAGGAATAGAACCCAGCGCTTCAAACATGCAAGACAAGCACTCTACCACTGAGCCACCTTCCCAGGCCAGTACTACTATCTTAAATGACTAACTTACAGTGTATCTACGCTACTTGCCATTAAGCTTCTTGAACTAAGCAGCTAATTCTCATTAAATACTTACTTAGTGACTAATAAGCATCTATCTTCATGTTTTTTATACAAGATCTGTAAGTACCCCCTTAGTTGCATGTACATGGCTTAGCAATTACATACCTTGAGAAGTAAATTGAAATCATCTATATTCACCTGTTTTAATATTAGTGTCATTCATATGACAGGTCTAATCATACACACACACACACACACACATACATCCATACTTGTATATGTGAAAGGGTAACAGGTAACTCAGGGTCTTGAACTAGCTAGTTAGACACTTTACTATTTGAATAATGTCTCCAGCCCTCTCTTCATGTCTGACCAGACTGAGTCATCTTATCTTTGGTAGCAATGATATAACCAACTATTTTGACTATCACTTTTAAAATGAGTTTCCTGATACTGTTCAAATGTTGAAATTGAAAGTCAACTAATCATTAGTCTACAAATTCATAGAAATAAAACAATACTTTGCCTCTACAATTCAAGTCCCTGTGTACTTTCTCGAAACAAAAATCAATTTGTCTTTTTCAAAATTGTTTCTCCTGGCAAAAATTTTTGCTGTCTGGCCAACTTCTGTGTTAAAAATAAAATGCAGTATTACAACATCAATCAGCATTTTAAGTACTTAATGATTTATAAAGGAAAATATACAGTGATGCTTTTTGAAATAACTAAGCCAATCAAGAATTTATTTACATTAGTAAATCAAGAGTAAAGCTTTGAGAAAATAAAGTCACATTTGTGTTTAGAGATAAAAAAGCAGTATTAAGCACTTGGGTAACATGAGAAAACATTGTTAGAAGAGCTGAAAAGGGCAAGAATAATTTAATTTAAAGACCTAACAGAACCAGCCATTTTTGTAGTTCCCTTCCTGTCTGTGCCACATTGGCTCCCTGCCTGCCTTTCAAATCAAACAGCACTTGTACAAACCTAATTAAGTAGAGTTCTCTCCATAAGTAATACTGATTCTAGAAAATGAGCACCACCATCCTGTACATTGATGATGAATAGTCATTTTAATTTTATTTGAAGAGGAACCCAGGCTACTTGTCTTAACAGAAAATATTTGACCACTGGGAGTTTCAATGGGCACCTGAGCAAGTACTAACCACTACAAAGGCCTGTGACATTTTTCCTGACTACATGGATTTTTATCTTACCATCATGAGCTAGGAATGACTCTGGTACCAGACAGGAAAAGTGGCCTTAGAGATTACAGAGGCATGATGCATATTATTAAGTTACTGCAGACCAAGGATACTTTCATTACTCTAGCTAAGCCCCAAGACATGAAATCTTTAGCTAACACTTTCAGTTGTACTGGCCTGAGATCTAACTACATTATTTTGCCAATAATTGCTGCATCTTGTTAGAGCAGCCTTTTGGACAGTGAAGGCACAGTATAGAGAATACTACCATATTTTCAAAGATGTAGCTTTCTAGAACAAAAGACAATTCTTTTCTTGACATGGCAAGACCATGTACTCTAGAGATGAGTGTTAAATCTCAATTTCGTTAACCTATAAAAAGAATACTGTTGGGGCTGGGAAGGCGGCTCAGTGGTAGAGCGCTTGCCTTGTATGCTCGAGGCCCTGGGTTCGATTCCTCAGCACCACATAAGCAAAAAGGAAAAAGCCGGAAGTGGCGCTGTGGATCAAGTGGTAGAGCACTAGCCTTGAGCTGAAGAGCTGAGGGACAGCGCCCAGGCCCAGAGTTCAGAGTTCAGGCCCCACGACCGGACCCCAAAAAAAAAAAAAAAAAAAAAAAAAAAGAATACTCTTTACTTTGGAATTGAGGCAAATATAAAAGGAAAAGACTAATTAATACAGCCTATGTTATGTCAACTGTCTATAATATATACTTAGTACATATTATTTCCTCACTGCTCATTTCCAGGTCCTCCTCTAGATTTAGATTTCCTAGATAGGCAATTCTTACAAAGCAGATGCCTTTTAGAATTATTTTGAGGCTAATTACACCACATTTGTCTTAGTTTTGTTTCTTTGTTATATTCCTAATACACTTCCATTTTCTGTCTCTTGGAATTAGGCCAAGCTGTAGGTTTGTGCTTTACTCTCCATGCTCCAATGGTTTGCTTCAATGGCTGGCCACCGTAGTGACCAAGTCACTAATCCTGTTTTAACAGTATTTCTTCTGTTCTATACCCTTCTAATTTCTATTTTATGATAGATGGCATGCATTTTTTAATTTCTTAATTATATTTCCTGTTACTGCTATGGCAACATAGACCCCTAAACCTTATGCATTTCTAAGCTCCATTATCACCCTTACAATTGTCTTAAACCGTTGCCTACTAAATACAGCCCCAGAACAGCTTCAACTTCCTGATTATCACTAAGTCAGAGACTAAATGACTGCATGTCTTCACTGTCAGCTATTAGGCACAACAAAGCACTATGAATTATCTGGTAATTTGGGGCCCATCAGATAATCTAAATGCAAAGCTCACTTTAGGGAAAAACTGAGTGCCAAAACCAAACCAAAACATGACAAGTGCCTAGGTGTAAAGCCTCATCTGCAATCAACAATCTAGTTACTTATACCCAGATGTCTGTTTCACAAAGTTACTCTTTTATTTGAGAATATGTATGATAGATACAGTATCTATGGTAGAAATGGAAGTCACCCACCAACAATGTTGGTCTCACTCAGCTGTACCAACACATAATAGAAGACTACAGTTCAACTAGAAACAAAGGAAAAGGGGGGGAAACCTACTTTGTTTTTTAAGTTCTTCAAGCTGCTCTTCCTTTAGATCTAACTGCTCTGTAAGTCTTGATGCTGAATCCAGTGCAGCATTTGCTTCATCCAAACGTTCCTAAGGGAGAGAAGTTCATTAAAAATTCAGCATGCAAAAACTGTTCTACACCCCATGGGCTAAGAAGACATGTTGCAGTTTACCTAATGAAGCCATATCTCTGTGACCTGGGGCAAATCTATGCAATTAAAAGTTATCAAAGACAGAACCCTCAGCCTTTCTCAACAAACATTGCCTTTTTAATAAAGAAAATGCTACTAAAAGACAATATGACAAATTAAAAAAAAAGAATAAGATGTAAAACAAAAAAGATAGTCAAGAAATATAGCAACAAATGTTCTTGCTCTTTTAAGTATTACAAGTCTAACATACATAAAGTGATGTTTCATTATGACTTTACTGCTTGAATTTTATTTCCTGACTACTATTGCATTTGAGTATTTTTGTCTGTTGTTACACGACAGCTGGATCTGCTCTTACATGAAAACCTCTTTGTATACTCTGGCAGTTTGTTTCTACTGAGCTGTCTCTCTTGTCAGTTTGTAAGAATGCCTTGTTTCCAGATAAGAACCCTTTGTCTACAATAAACAAACACTGTTTATCAGATATGCATTTTTCTACTGACTATACTATTTTTTGCCATTTACACCATTGAATGATATATAGTCAAAAATGTCCTACTCTGATTTTATAGCATCGTGAGTTTAATCTGTTAGGATCCTCCTTGCCCCTAAGAATGTACATGTAGTCTTTTAGATCTTACTGCAAGACATTTGTATTTCTATTTTTTTGGTCGGTCGTGGGGCTTGAACTCTGGGCCTGAGTATTGTCCCTCAGCTCTTCAGCTTGAGGCTAGCGCTCTACCACTTGAGCAACAGCACCACTTCCAGTTTTCTGGTGGTTTATTGGAAATAAGAGTTTCACAGACATTCCTGCCCGGGCTGGCTTTGAACCAAGATCCTCAGATCTCAGCTTCCTGAATAGCTAGGATTACAGGCATGAGCTACCGGCGCCCGGTTAAGACATTTGTATTTTTGCATGAAAATCTTTAAATTTAGTCTTTCTCAGTGGGGATGCTTTTGACAGTTTCTAGCCCACTAAATGTCAAGAGTCTCTCAGTTACAGTAGCAGTCAAAAATATTTCCAGATAGTCAACATGTACTCCCAGCTGAGAATCCTTGCTTTAACACAACTGGAATCCATTTCTGAATATGGTGTACTATCAAGTCCAGTTGTGTTTCCTTCTTTATGAATAGTTGGCCAATATCATTTATTAAACTATCTTCTTTTCTAATTAAGTTAAATTATTTTAGTTTAAGGTTTAGTTTTAAATTCTCAGGTATCACGGGCCTTATTTATGGCTCCTTCTACTCACTAATAGACCCAATGTTTCATTTGTTGATAGTTCTATTTAGACATACTATAGACAAGTCCCTCCTCAACATTATTCCTTCTTATAATTTTCTTGGTTATTCTAGATAACTTACCCATTAAAATTTCAGGCCAAAATTTCAGAGTGATAGCTTATAGATGTGTTATCTTGGATAGGCAATAATGTAGACATTGCTAAGAAGATAAGTGTAAGGAAGGCACAATGATCTGGGATAATCTGTGGCCTGACTAGACCAGCTGGAAGTTCTTAAAAGAAGAGATTTGCCCTCCCTTACAAAAAGACAAAAAATTCCTTTTAAGGACAGTAGCTTCTGCTTAGAATCTAGGCTGCTGTGACTTTCCTTCCTGCCTGTGAACAACAGCCTGAGTTCTATCCTGCTTTTGATGTGCCCTTCCCAATTTTACTGTAGATTTGCCTAGCCAGTCTCTGCATCCTATGGTCGATTCCTTGGCTGATGGTTCATGTCTATAATCCTAGCCACTCAGGAAGCTGAGATCTGAAGATTGCAGAAGCCATCCCAGAAAGAAAAGTCCATGAGACTCTTATCTACAATAAAATACTCAGAAAAAGCCAGAAGTGGTGCTGTGGCTAAAGCAGTAGGAACCAGCCTTGAGCAAAAGAAGCTCAGGGACAGAGCCCAGACCCTGAATTCAAGCCCAAGAACTGGCAAAAAAAAATTCTTAAACCTCTCACAAGTGTGTGTCTGTATGTATTGGACATATAAATTTATGTATATATGCACACACAGGTTGAGTTCTAACATATACAGAGGGAATGAAATAAAAACATTTCAATAAAAAATATACTATTTAAAATCCACAAAACTAAATTTGAGGTAAAAGAAATTTACTTTCATTTACTTTTTTTTTTGTTGGTTGTGGGGCTTGAACTCTGGCCAGAGTCCTGTCCCTCTGCTCTTCAGCTCAAGGCTAATGTTCTACCACTTTGAGTCACAGTGCCACTTCCAGTTTTCTGGTGGTTAATTGGACTTTCCTGGCCCAGGTTGGCTTTGACTGTGATCCTCAGATCTCAGCCTCCTGAGTAGCTATGATTATAGGCATGAGCTAACGGTACCTGGCTTCAAATTATTTTTTAAATCTTATAGTTTATAAGATTATTAAAAGGGGCTAGGAAAGTGGCTCAGTGGTAGAGTGCTTGCCTTGCATGCATGAGGCCCTGGGTTCGATTCCTCAGCACCACATAAGCAAAAAGAAAAAAGCCGGAAGTGGCGCTGTGGCTCAAGTGGTAGAGCACTAGTCTTGAGCTGAAGAGCTGAGGGACATCACCCAGGCCCAGAGTTCAGGCCCCACGACCAGACCCCCCACCAAAAAAAAAGATTATTAAAAGTTAAAACTATACTAATGGCTGGGCACTGGCGGCTCACGCCTCTAATCCTAGCTTCCCAGGAGACTGAGATTTGTTTGTTTGTTTGTTTTGGGGTCCGGTCATGGGGCCTGAACTCTAGGCCTGGGCGCTGTCCCTCAGCTCTTCAGCTCAAGGCGAGCACTCTACCACTTGAGCCACAGCGCCACTTCTGGCCTTTTCTGCTTATGTGGTGCTGAGGAATTGAACCCAGGGCCTCATGCATGCAAGGTAAGCGCTCTACCACTGAGCCACCTTCCCAGCCCGAGACTGAGATTTGAGGATTGTGGTTCAAAGCTAACCTGAGCCAGGAAAGTCCATGAGCCTCTTATCTCCAATTAACCACCAGAAAACTGGAAGTGACACTGTGGCTCCAAGTGGTAGAACCTTAGCCTTGAGCTGAAGAGCTGAGGGACAGCACCCAGGCCCAGAGTTCAAGCCCCACAATCGATAAGAAAACAAAACAAAAAAGAAAAACTACACTAATGCTTTTTGAATATCATTTATATTTTTCTTTTTTTTCTATCATTTGTTTGGTTTTCATTTCATTAGCTTCAGTTTTTACCTTTATTAATTTCAACCTTTTCCTTCTGATTTTTAAACAGTATATTATATTTTAAATTAAAAAAAAAAAACTACTTTAAAAAGATTTGAGCGAGGCACAGTGGCTCATGCCTGTATTCTTGTATACTTGGAAGGATTGTGGTTTGAAGCTAGTCTAGGCAAAAGACTCCATGTCTAACAATAAAACTCTAGGCACGGTGGCACACACCTGTCATCTCAAATATGTGGGAAGCATAAACAGGAAGATTATGGTACAGGTAGAAATGTGAGATCCTATCTGAAAAATAACTAAAGCAAAAAGGTCTAAGGGAAAGGCTCAAGTGGTAGAGCACCCACAGAGCAAGCACAAGGTTCTGAATTTATACCCCAATACTGCCCCTGTCCCCTTAAATAAAAAGATCTGAACTTCAGGCAGTTTCAGAGAAGATATTTTAGAACCAGGGGACACAAGTGAAAGCATGGGAAAATGTATTAATGAACTCTGATGAGTAAGCATAAGTGGTCAATAAGCATATTAAAAGATGCTTGATTACATTAATAATCAGGGAATACTACAAGAAGATATAGTTCTGCTATGATTGGAATGTGTCCTCTAAAATTCATGAGTTCCATTAAGGGAGGGTCTAATGTTTAAGCAGTGGTGGGAACATGTCCCTGGGGAACAGATAGGAGAGAGGAGAGAGAAAGGAGAGAGAAGAAGGAGAGAGGGAAAGAGAGAGGAAAAGCTAGAGAGAGAGAGAGAGAGAGAGAGAGAGAGAGAGAGAGAGTGTGTGTGTGCCAGGCCAGTCCTAAGGCTTGAACTCTAGGCCTGGTCATTATCCCTCAGCTTTCTTGCTCAATGCTAGTGCTCTACCACTTGAGCTGTAGTTCCACTTCTGGCTTTTTTTTCTTTTTTTGTCAGTCATGGGGCTTGAACTCTAGGCTTGGTCATTGTCCCTCAGCTCTTCAGCTCAAGGCTAGTACTCTACCACTTGAGCCACAGTGCCACTTCTGATTTTCTGGTGGTTTATTGGAGCTAAGAGTTTCACGGCTTTTCCTGCCCAGGCTGGCTTTGAACTGCGATCCTCCTCAGCCTCCTGAGTATCTAGGATTACAGGCACAAATTACTACACAAGTCACTGGCACCCAACAGGAGTTAGTTTCTTGCTGTCTGTCTCTCTCTTCTTGGCCTCTTTTTGCCATTCAGCCAAGTAATGATGCAGCAATAAGGCTTTCTTGCTATCATGGACTTCGAAGTCCCCAAAACTATTAAAACATTTTATTTAATTATTTATATTATCCAGTCTGTTATAGTCTATAAAAAGCAGCATAAAACAGACTAATAAGCCTTCTTATGGTAAAAGTTTGGCAAAAACTTTAAAAATTTGAGCTGAGAGTAGTGATGCACACTTGTAATCCTACCTACCTAGAGGGCAGAGGTAGGAAGATCTCAAGTTCAAGACTAGCCCAGGCAAAGTTAGTAAAACTATCTCAAAACCAAAGTACAAACAAAATATTTGAGGGCAAGGCTCAAGTGTTAAGAGTGTTGGCCTACTATGTGCAAAGCACAGATAATGATGATGATGTTAACTATCAAAGCATAAAGTGTTGACAGGATGCACTGCTGGTAGGAGTAAATTAGTACAACTGTATTAGAAAAAACTTTGCCATCTTCCAATAAATATCCTTTCAAATGCCCTTTCATACCATATTTATTATGCCTACTCTAAATTTCCACTCAGCTAAGGAGAATCTGAGTGTTTTATTCATGGTTACATTTAGCAGGCTGGACAGAGTCACCACTCTCACAATATTCACTAAATGAATGCTCCCTAAGATTATTGCCAAGACAAAATCCTAACAGCAGTCGTATCATGAATAACACAATTTTTAACAGAAAACTGTTTTGGCCTACCTGCAATGATAACACTTTTCCTTCCAGATTTTCTGCCTTTTTTTTCCATTCTGTTATAAGCTGTTTTTGCTTTTCTAATTCAGCAGAATACATAGCTTTTTCCTCTAAAGAGAAAGGAAAGTTTTGTTAGTATTTTACAATTGTATGATAAAACTGTAATTACAAACTACTGAAGAAAGGAGGTGCCAATGGCTCAAGCCTGTAATCCTAGCTACTCTGGAGGCTGAGAACTGAGGATTGAGGTTCTAAGCCAGCCCAGGCAGGAAAGCCTGTGAGACTATCTCCAATTAACTACCAAAAAAGCCAGAAGTGAAGCCATGGCTCAAGTGGTAGAGTATTAGCCTCAAAAAAGCTCAGGGATGGTGCCCAGAACAGCATAAAAAACAAACAAAACAAAACAGCCGGGAGCCGGTGGCTCATGCCTGTAATCCTAGCTACCCAGGAGGCTGAGATCTGAGGATAGCAGTTCAAAGCCAGCCCAGGCAATGAGACTCATCTCCAATAAACCACTAGAAAACCAGAAGTGGCACTGTGGCTCACTCGGTAGAGCGCCTGCCTTGAGCTGAAGAGCACAGGGACAGCGCCCAAGCCCAGAGTTCAAGCCCCACGACCGACAAAAAAAAAAAAAAAAAAACAAAAAAACCCAAAAAACAAAAAACACTGAACAGCGTAAGGCCCCAATACTGGCACATAATAAAACAAAATATGTCACCAGGTGCCAGTGGCTCATGCCTGTAATCCTTGCTACTCAGGAGGCTGAGATCTAAGGATCACAGTTCAAAGCCAGCCCAGGCAGGAAAGTCCATAAGACTCATCTCCAATAAACTACTAGTTTACTGGAGTGGTAGAGGGCTCGCCTTGAGCTGAAGAGTGCAGGAACAGCACCCAAGCCCAGAGTTCAAGCCCTATGACCAAAAAAAAAACCCAGCAACAACAAAAACAAACAAACAAACAAACAAAAAACCCAAAATATGCCTAAAACAGTTCAAATGGTTCAACAAGAAAAACAAAGCATATATTGCGTTAGTGATCATGTTAAGTGGAACAAAAGTAATGAGGTCAGTATTTCCTCTGCCTAGGCCCTTCTCCATCTTATCTACCTTGGAGATTCTTTTCTCCCTTTATAATTCTATTCAAATAGTTCCTCTTTAGCAATGCTCTCTATAGCCTCAATCCAACTTTGTATACATACCTGTTCTAGTAATTGCATTATAAAGCAGACCTAAAGAATTCTTGTGTTTAAAATCCAGGTTAGGCCAATGGCTTATGCCTGTAATCCTAGCTACTCAGGGCGCTGAGAGCTGAAGATCACAAAGCCAGTTCAGGCAGAATAGTCCCTTATCTCCAATTAACCACCAAAAGGCTGAAGTCGTAGCAAGCCAAACTTGAATGACAAAGATGAGACAGGTAGGCCCTGAGTTCAATCCCAAGTAACAGCACTAAATAATAATAAATTCAAGGAACTAGAGGTGGGGTTTAAGCAGTAGAACACCAGACTGTGAGCAAAAGCATCAGATTCTGAGTTCAATTTCTAGTCCTGGAGAAAAAAAAAATTCAATTCAGATGTGGTGGTTCATGCTGTCCAGCTACTCAGGAGGTGACGGTCAGAAGTTTGAAGATCACAGTTTGAGGCCAGTATATGTGTGGGGAAATATACAAAAACCCCATTATGGTCAGTAAGTCAGGTATGACAGTATATGAGGGAAGCCTAGGTAAGAGGACTACAGTCTGAGACTGGCCCCAGACAAAAATGTGCAATCCTATTGAAAAAATAACCCATCAAAAAGCATTGGGGTATGGCATACATGCTCAAGTGCCTGCTAGCAAGTGCAAGGCCCTGTTTTCTATGTATACATCGCTCTCTTCTTTATATTCTCGTATCATACAATCATCCTTCTTCATGTTACCTTTATAATTCCTCAACTTTCACCACAACTAGTTATAAGATACTAAAACCTTTAGGTACTAAATGTACTTTATATTTGAGTTTCACTTGTAAAAGGAGCCTAGATTAACTGATAGCTATTAACCTCTCTCCCTTCAATAAGAAACCTATATCTAGTCTAAATTAACATATAAGGAAAAATCACCACTAACTACAATTTTCCTTCACTGAAAAATCAGCCATACAACTTACCTTGTTGGAAGTGTTCTAGGACCATCTGCAGATTGGCTAATGATGTAGCATACTGCTTTACTTGTTCCCGAGAGACAGAAAGCTGCAACGCAGTTTCATCTCTTTGCTTAGAGACCATGTTCAACTGTTCTTGCAAGGATTCTACCTGCACATTGGCCTGATGACTTCAAATAAAGAGAGTAAGATCAAATTGCTGCTATCTATTTAGCTATTTTAACAAGAAGAAACATGTTCCCTACATCTTACTGCCCTAAATTCAAAAATCAAAGTATTTATGTATTTTAACAAGATAAAGCATCTTTTCATATTTAAATAACTTTAAATGTTTACTTTGATCAAATATAACTCTACTAATTTTACCATTTAACCATTTTTAAGTATAGTATTGAGAGGCACTAAGTATACTCATACTGCTATGTAATCATTCCCCCTATCTATCTACCTAGACAGTTTTCCTCTTCCCAAACTGAAACACTATAGCTATTATATAGTAACTTCCCTTTCTTTCTCATATCCATCGATTTGTCTCTATGAATCTCACCTTCACTACAGTTTATTGCATTAAATTCAAGTTAGATTTCAGACAAGCTCAAAGAGTTTCTCTGATTTTGTTCTCTTTTCTTCTGTATCACCATTCTGTCCAAGTGACTTTGAAAAAATGACAGTCCTTTTAAGTCTAAGAAGTATCCTATACAACAAATATCAACAAGAGAGTAATTTTTTCCCACAAATAGCTTATACCTTTTGTGTTTCTGGTATAAATACAATTATTATAAGATAATTATCATAAGATCTTTTGAACTCATTTTGTTAGCTTTTAATCTAATCAAGAATGGATTCTGAATCTCTACTGCTTTTGACACTTGCAGTTATGGTGAATTCCCAAACTTCCAAAGGCTATCCTACTAACTACCCTAATCAATCACCTTTCACTAACATCTTTCTGCCTACCTTAGACAGACTAAATCCTACTCTTGCCCCACCTAAGGACCCAGAGGTCTCTAAGAGACTTATTTATACAGCACTTATCCAGGTGCCATTAGAATAATGTGTCCCAATTTGCAATTACATTCAAATTATTGCAATGATCTTCATGGGATCTGATATCCAGCTAAATTCTTTCAGAGCAGCCATTGAAACTTATTAAGAGCAACTCATTATGAAGACATTTTACCTAATAGCACCCTCTAGTGGAAAGAGCTGTGTTGATGAGACTTGAATTCTGTCTCCAAATGTCCCTGGATTTTGTTCTACTGTTAAGTTAGCAAATCAAAACATGAATTTAAGAACAATATGAGTTTTTTTTAAGAGTTAATAATAAGCCGGGCAATGGTAGCTCACGCCTGTAGCTACTCAGGAGGCTGAGATATGAGGATCACAGTTCACAGTAAAGTCCATGAGACTCTTTATCTCCAATAAAAAAGCAGAAAACCAGAAATGGCACTGTGGCTCAAGTGGTAGAGTGCTAGCCTTGGGCTGAAGAGCTCAGGGACAGTGCCTAGACCCAGAGTTCAAGCCCCACAACTGACCAAAATAAAAAAAAAAAAAGTTAATACTAATATACTTTATTTGTAACTTACAAACAACGCTGCCTTCTACACTAGCCTTTTTTTTTTTTCCCCCACCAGTCCCGGGGCTTGAATTCAGGGCCTGGGCATTATCCCTGAGCTTTCTTTTGCCTAAGGCTAGCTCTCTACCACCTGAAACACAGTGTCACTTCTGGCTTTTCTATTTATGTGGTACTGAGGAACTGAATCCAGGGCTTCATGTATGCAAAACAACCACTCTACCACTAAGCCACATTCCCAGCCCCAACTCTGCCTTCTAATAGTTAACCCATCATTGATGATTGTTTTCCTTAATGAGATAGGTTCAGTATCTATGAACACTTGATAGGTCCAAAAAGGGGAAAAAATAAGCCCTGATTTAAAATGACACTTGAGGCTGGGAAGGTGGCTCAGTGGTAGAGTGCTTGCCTTGCATGCATAAGGCCCTGGGTAGATTCCTCAGAGCTAGAGCTAAATAGCTGAGGGACAGTGCTCAGGCCCAGAGTTCAGGCCTCATGAAAAAAAAAAGAAAAAAAGACACTAGAACCACACACAGATAAAGGAGACAAAGAAGCCCTTACTACAAATAATCTTCCTCTGTTACATTATTATTCTGTTCCAAGCTGGTTGTTCTTCTAGATGCTTTCTTTCCAAGGCTGCAGTAACATATCCAAAACAATGCTTCTTTTAACTCATAGATTCTCTGAAGCTCCTACAGTACCACCACTTTCTGTCATGGCATTCTGTAGGCATTTCATTGAATCTGAGGTTGCTTTTCCATGGGGTTGATTGGTAGACCATGAAATTGATGTCTGCCTTCAAGCAGTCAGCACTTGTCCTACATTCTTGCAAGCCACCATGTGTTTGGAGTAAATGTGCTTTTTAATAGCCCATTCCCGGAGGATGCCGAAATCACAACCTGGCCATTTCGATGCTCAACAACCCCTTCTACATGATGCTGAGTCCTTAAAAATATCCTGTGCCAGAACTCTGAGGAGGGCCACACAGTCCTCCAACCTCATTCTTTCTGGCTACTGCCAAGAGCTCCATATTTGGAAGGTTCCTGTTGGTGAACTCTGGGGTGACAGCTTCATTTTCCAAAGGCTGCTCTGTGGGGTTCACCACCAGCATGGAGCTGGAGAGGGTGGTGAACCTCAACTCTAGAGCATTGGAGAGCATCACCTCCCTTTCTTCAGAGCTGTCATGCAGCTAGGTGTCCATGATAATACTGGCTCTGGAAAAAAGCCCAAAATATGAGTTCTGCACTCAAAAAGTTAATATAAGCCAGGCACTGGTGGCTCAAACCTGTAATCCAAGCTTCTCAGAAGGCTGAGATCTGAGGACTGCAGTTTGAAGCCAGCCCAGGCAGCAAAAAGTCCAGAAGACTCATATCATCAATTAACCACCAGAAAATTGGATATGGCATAGTAGCTCAAGTGGTAGAATGTTAGCCTTGAGCAAAAAAAGAGGTCAGGGACAGCGCCTAGGCCCAGAGTTTAAGGCCCCCAACCAACCAAAAAAAAAAAAAAAAAAAAGATTAATACTAGATGCTCCTTTCTTAAGCAAGGGCTCAAAAAAGCAAAATCTAGGGCTGGGAAGGTGGCTCAGTGGTAGAGCGCTTGCCTTGCATGCTCGAGGCCCTGGGTTTGATTCCTCAGCACCACATAAGCCAAAAGAAAAAAAAAAAGCCGGAAGTGGCGCTGTGGCTCAAGTGGTAGAGTGCTAGCCTTGAGCTGAAGATCTGTGGGACAGCGCCCAGGCCCAGAATTCAGGCCCCATGACCGGACCCAAAAAAAAGAAAAGCAAAATCTAGTTTATTGATTTGGTGTAAACTATTCACTGAATGTTAATTAAACTTTATGTAATCTATATGTAATCTATATATATACACATATATATTTATATATTGAAAGGGTACACAATGACATCATTCGTACTCCCATGAAAACTTAAAATTTATTGGGAACACAGTATGCAACAAGTCAGTAATTATTTGTTATTTAGACTAAAACATAAGATGCCCTATCCAAGACCCCAAGTGTTATCCAAGTTCAAAAGAAAGACATCCCAACAGGGTTTAGTTTTGGATATAAGGGATATAAGAAGTAGAGTTCTAAGTGAAGAAAACTGAGTCGGGCACTGGTGGCTCAAGCCTGTAATCCTAGCTACTCAGGAAGCTGAGATCTGGGGGTCATGGTTCAAAGCCAGCCCAGGCAATAAAACCACCAGAAAATGGAAGTGGCACTGTGGCTCAAGGGTAGACCGCTAACCTTTAGCTGAAGAGCTGAGGGACAGCGCCCAGACACAGAGTTCAAGCCCCATGACCAAAAACAACAAAACAAAGAGAAAATCTGAAGAATGAGTAGGAGTTACAGAAAAACAGGTGCACTTTTCAGGCAGAACAACATGAAAAGAAAAATTAGAAAAATAAAGAAATAAAGTAGCTCTGAGGAGCTGAGTAATAAGGTTGGGCTAGATGTAGATGATAGTTATGAAGTAAAGATAAGGTAGGTAGCTTAGTGGAAGACATTTATTTTTATTTATTTATTTTTTGTTGGTCGTGGGACTTGAACTCTGGGCTTGGCACTGTCCCTCAGCTCTTCAGCTCAAGGCTAGCACTCTACCGCTTGAGTCACAGCGCCACTTCCGGATTTCTAGTGCTTTATTGGAGATAAGAGTCTCATGGACTTTCCTGCCTGGGCTGGCTTTGAACTGCAATCCTCAGATCTCAGCCTCTTGAGTAGTTAGGATTACAGGTGTGAGCCACCGGAACCCAGTTAATGGAAGACATTTTTTTCTGAAGAAAGGAATTACTAGATTATAACCCTACTTAATAAAATGTTATTCTGAGCCAAAGCAGTTTAGGCAAAAAAGCAATGTTGGTGGTAGCACAATCCAAACCTCAAACTCTACTACAGAGCTATAATAACAAAAACATCTTGGTACTGGCAGAAAAACAGGCTGGAATATCAATGGAACAGACTAGAAGACCCAGAAATAGTTATATACTTACAGTATCTGATATTTGACAAGGGAATAAAAAATATACAGTGGAAAAAAGACAGCCACTTCAATAATTGGTATTGGAAAAATTGGGCAAAACTAAAATTGGATCCCTATTTTACACCATATACAAGTCAAAGTGGATCAAATATTTCAATGTAAGGCCTGAAACTTTGAAACTACTGCAAGATGGAGTAGGAGAAACATCAGAACTTACAGGCATAGGTAGAAACTTTTTAAAGAGTCCCAGGAATACAGCAAATAGGAGAGATACTTTCCAAATGGGATTACATCAAAATAAAGTTTCAGGGGCTGGGAATGTGGCTTAGTGGTACAGTGATTCCCTAACATAAAGTCCTGGGTTCAATTCCTCAGTACCACATAAACAGAAAGAGCCGGAAGTAGGATTGTGTCTCAAGTGGTAGAGTGCTAGCCTTGAGCAAAAGAAGCTCAGCGACAGTGCCTGGGGCCTTGAGTTCAAACCCCAGGACTGGGAACAAAAAATAAAAGTAAATAAAAATAAAAAGTTTCTGTACAACAAAGGACATAGTTACTAAACTAGAAAGACAGCCAACAGAATGGAAGAGCATCTTTATCAGCAAAATATCTGACAAAGAAAGTACCCCTCCAAAAATAAACCAACAACTAATAAATCAATTAATAAAAGAGAAAAGATGCTAAAGAGAGACATCTCAGAAAAGGAGGAAAAAATGGCAAATAAACATATGAGGAAACAGTTAACATCCCTGGCCATAAAGGAAACTTGTGATTTTCCTGAAATAAAAAGTATAATATTTTTCTAATAAGGATAAGGTGGTAGGTAACCAAAACCAAATCATGAGTCAAGACTATTAAAAAAAGCAGAATTAAAAAAAAACAAAATGCAAGGATAAATGAAATCATTTCACGTACTGTATAACTAAAATAAGCTTAAAAGGATCAACATTTGATGTTGAGTGAAATAATAATTAAAAGACTATATAGGGGCTGGGAAGGTGGCTCAGTGGTAGAGTGCTTGTCTTGCATGCATGAAGCCCTGGGTTTGATTCTTCAGCACCACATAAGCAAAAAAACAGGAAGTGACATTGTGGCTCAAGTGGTAGAGTGCTAGCCTTGAGCTGAAGAACTGAGGGACAGGGCCCAGGCCCAGAGTTCAGGCCCCATGACCAACAACAAAATTTTAAAATAAATTTAAAATAATAATAATAAAAAGAATATATACAGAGACCTGGTTGCTAAAAAGTTCTAGAAGTCAATAGTTCATTCTCCATGCTGACCCAGGTCTTCACCCTATATTGGTGCACTGTACTCTGCTATTCTAATACCCATTCCCAACTCAACCTTCAATCACTTGATGGAAAATAAAAACACATAAATTAGTTCTCTGGTGACTGGATAGAATTAACTAATCAGCCACTTGTCATTTTCCCACAAAACGCCAATTGCAATTATCTAGGTGGTTGAGAGAAAGAGAATCTGAATGCCAGATCTGCTTACGATTAGAAATATGTGTGACTCCCTCTACACACACTGTGTACCTGACCTGGGGCAACTTTTATGTCTCTTTGCCTTCAGTTTCCTCAACTATAAAACTAAGATTAATTTCATGAAAATGAATTAATACATGAAAATACTTACTGAGGCTTATACTCAAATGCTCAAGTGAAGTTAATGCAGAAAAGAAGAATCAAAAAGTTACCTTGCGTTTTCCATTGCATTAGAAGATGAGACTAGCTTTTCCTCCAAGGCTGTGACCTTCTTTCTCAGTTTAACCTCTCTATCTTCTGCAGCCAAAGCTTCCCGGGTATAAGAATCTTCTGATTCTAAAAGATGATTACGTAACCTCTGTAGCTCCTGGTTTAATCGTAATTCTTTGTCTCGCAAGTGTTGAACCTAGGTAGAGGCCACAGTTTTATTTTTCTTCCTAATAATGCTCCACCTTCTATCCCCAACAAACTACTTTGTTATCAAATGTTTTCACACTATTGAAGTTTACAAATGGCATGCTAATGCCTCATATTGCCAGAATGTACCTATGCTGGGAAAAATTCCCCTGAGATCATCTGCAATATCCACCTGGAAGCTCTACTTTGTAAAACCTCATTTGTTGGAGACATGAAAAACAGAACTATACAAAAGTACTGGCCTCTCTGTATGTCACACTTTTTGTCATACTCTCTGGGTGACAATTTTTTCTTATATCCAAGATATGTTGTTTTTCACTTTTTAAAACTAAATAAAATACACCAGAGAAATCAAAATTCTACCACAGCACACTGAAAGAAGGAATCAAGAGATACATTCAATTTTAAACTGACAATGATTAATACATTGGTTCACACATTGCTCCTTTAAAGTGAAAGCATACCTCATTCTGGAGGGTGCTGTTTTCCATCTGCTTCTGCTTCAGGGCCAATGTGACTTGGTCTCTCTCCTGCTGAAATGTAACTGTCTTCTCCTGCATTGATTTAACTGTATTTAAAAGCTGATTTAACTCTCCAGTCTTGCCCTTTGGAAAGAAATTACTTTAGCTTTTAAGAAAAATATATTTTAAAGAGGCATTTTCTTCAATAAATAAATTTAGATGATAGTTTAACTATCTCAAAGTCAACAAAAACAAGAGAAATCTGAAAAACTGTCTAGAGGAAAGGACATAAGACATTCAATATAATGTGGTATCTTACATGGCATCTTGGAATAGGAAAAGGATATTTTTGATAAAAAACTAAAAAAAAGTATGAACTTTAGGTTCATACGTCAAGACTGGTTCATTAGCTGTAACAAATGTACCATATAATGTAAGATATTAACAGTAAGGAAACTATTGCTAACAATGTAAGTAAGAACTCTCCATTATCTCAATTTTTCTACACAGCTACAATTGTTCTAGAAGAAAAAGTTTACTGGAAATGTTTTTCTTTTCTTTTTTTGTTTTGTGCCAGTCTCAGGGTTTGAACTCAAGAGTGTGGACGCTGTCCTTTGAGCTCTTTTTAGTGACTTTTCTGCTTGGGCTGGCTTTGAACTGTAATCTTCATATCTCAGCCTCTTGAGTAGCTAGGATTACAGGCATGAGCCACTAGAGCCCAGTTGAAAATGTTTTTACAAGGAGTTTAATAATAATAAAAAGGAACTCAAGAGGCAAAAATGTCTCCAAATTTACTCTGTAGAACAAAGGATCCACAAACCCAAAATACCAATGAAATTTGTTTGTTACAGTTTGTATGTAATGTGTGTCTCCTTAACAGGCACATACAACTGTCAGAGAAAGGAAGTGTCAACTGACTGGCAAAAGACAGAAAACATTTCACATGCATTTTGGTAACAATAAATGAAAGCAATTCTGGGATGTTATTTTGCTAAATAATAATAAAAATGTATTTCCTGAATGAGTTCTATATAAGTACAATAAATATATTAATAACAGCAAAAAAAAAGTTAGCCCTTCACTGCAAAGTAAGGCTATGAATTTTGGACAAGAGTGGAATTCTGAAAAGCTTAAGAAACTGGTAGACTACTCACAATTAATTCTTGATACAATTTTAAATATGCACAGCAAACAAATCTATAGTGCTACCTTAAGTTTTCATGTGAACTTTTGTTTCTTTAAAAAAAAAAAACAACTGGGGCTGGGAAGGTGGCTCAGTGGTAGAGCGCTTGCCTTGCAAGCCTGAGGCCCTGGGTTCGATTCCTCAGCACCATATAAGCAAAAAAGAAAAAAGCCGGAAGTGGTGGTGTGGCTCAAGTGGTAGAGCGCTAGCCTTGAGCTGAAGAGCTGAGGGACAGCGCCCAGGCCCAGAGTTCAGGCCCCATGACCGGACCCAAACAAACAAACAAACAAAAAAAAAAAACAACTGTGCCTGGTGAAAAGGTTTGTACTTGTAATCCCAATTATGCAGGGAACTGAAGCAGGAGGAGCACATGGGCATTCAGGGTCAGCCTAGCTAACACAGCCATCCTTAAAAAACAGGAAAAGCCACACTCTGGTGACTCATGCCTAATGATCCCAGCAATTCAGGAGGCTGAGTCCTGAGGATCATTGTTGGAAGCCAACCAGAGCAGAAAAATCCATAAGCCTCCATCTGCAATGAATCAGTAAAATGCTGGACTAGAGGTACAGAACAGTACCAATAAAGCTAAGAAGTTATCTCTGACGGATTGAACTCTTCAACATTGACAATATCTATTTAATCAGCGGGTGGGGGGGAGCGGGGAGGAGTGGGTGGGGGAGGGGGATGATGGGATGGGGAAACAAAGGAGGAGGCTACAATGCTTGATAAGAAATGTACTCATTATCTTGCCCAAGTAATTGTAACCCCTCAGTACAGTATTTTCACAATAAAAAAAAAAAGAAAAAGAAAAAAAGAAAAAAAATCTATTTAATCAAATAAAGACAGAATTTAACTGATAAATGAGTCAAAATCATATTGCATCTTGTATTATCTTTAAGAAACAGTCACTGAACTTCTATTGTTTTATAATCTCTTTTCTAAATTTCTATTACTAAAAGTAGTATCAAGTATTGTTAGAATCTACTATGTTTAAAGTATTGCTCATACTTTTCAAACTTTAGGTTGTGACTACCTGATTCATTTAAGCCAGCTTAATGGATTTTCTTTATTATTATTATTATTTGTCATTGTGGGGCCTGAACTCTGGACCCAGGCACTGTCCCTGAGTTCTTCAGCTCAAGGTGAGTGCTCTATCACTTGAGCCACAGCGCCACTTCCGGTTTTCTGGTGGTTTATTGGAGATAAGTCTCATGGACTTTCCTTCCCAGGCCAGCTTTAACTGGGATCCTCAGATCTCAGCCTCCTGAGCAGATAGGATTACAGGTGTGAGCCACCAGCACCCGGCTACTCTACCAATTTGAGCCACACTCCTCCACCCTTTTTCAATTTTATTTTTCAGATAGAGTCACATGCCTTTACCCCCACCCCACCTCCCTCCATCCCCAGGGCCAGCTTCAGACCTCATTCTTCCTACCTCTGCCTCCCATGGAGCTGGGATTACAGGCATACCCCATCATTCCTCCCAGAGTTTCTACAGCACAAAACCTTTTTCATGTCCCACTCAGCTACATAGGACAAGATATTCTGTGTACAAATACAGTTAGAACAAAGCACTCAGGCCTTTTAAATGCAAGTTGGAAATAATAGGTAACATTTCAATTTAAAAGAAAAAAAAAAGATGGTATGGCCACATGCTGGCAAACTCAAAATCCTAAGAAGCTTTTGAGTCTTTGGCTGTTGGGATGTTCACAGATATATTCTTTTCATTTAGAAATTTAATCTGCAGCTCTCTTTCTTCTAGTCCTTTTACTAGTTTTTCAGTTTTTGCTTTAGATAAATCATGCTTTTCACTTGTTTTCTTTTGGGGGGGGGTCTGGTCGTGGGGCCTGAACTCTGGGCCTGGGCACTGTCCTTCAGCACTTCAGCTCAAGGCTAGCGCTCTACCACTTGAGCCACAGTGCCACTTCTGGCTTTTTTCTTTTTGCTTATGTGGTGCTGAGGAATCGAACCCAAGGCCTCATGCATGCAAGGCAAGCGCTCTACCACTGAGTCACCTTCCCAGCCCTCACTTCCGTTTTCTATATTAAGGCTTTGAATTTTCATTTTTTGAAAAATATCAGAATTCTCTGTTTGAACGTCTTTCTTCAAGCAACTGAGCTTTTATTTGTTCAATTGTTTTGTGTAAATTCTTAATTTTCTCATCTTTCTCTAAACAGAGTGTAATGTTCATTTGTTCATGCTGGTATTTAAACTCATCCATTTCCTTCTTCTGTTTCTGTAAAGACTGAGGAATCGAACCCAGGGCCTCATGCATGCAAGGCAAGCACTCTTACCACTGAGCCACCTTCCCAGCCCCTGGATTTTCTTTTTTATAAAGAGCATCATCACATATATTAAGAGTAATTCCTGGTTACTGAAACTTACGTTTCCCTCTCTCTCTTTCTGTCACAAACACACACACACACACACACACACACACAAAGTATTTACTATGTCATAATGTGAAAGTATTTCTTACTACAGATCATGCTTTGATACAATGTGTATTTCAGAATGCTTTCCCTTTCACATAAGCATCCCTAAAATGCCCACCACTGCTGGCAGCTACTGAAATCTAACTAAAATTTAGTTAGAACAAAGGACTTCCAATTCTCTCTGAAAACTCACTTGCATTTCACAAAAAAATATTCCTTCCTACTATGTCCTTGCTTACTTCTTAGCATGCTATCAAATAATCTACTTCTAAAATATACGGAAATATCTAATAATTTGAAGGAGAAACTGCTGGTTGCACAATATCTTGAGATATTTCTATCAACAAATTTAATCTTCTTCAAAGAAAGTGTCAATATGTTAAAAAGTCTCCTTCATTCTCAATACCTTCCTGCATATTATAGTCCATCTAAAACATACCTGCTCCTTTTCTTTCAGTAACTGCTCAAAAGCCAGAGCCTTCTCCTTCATTGAATTACACTCCAACTCTTTTTCTCGAAGCATCATAGAAAACTTCATGTTAGTCTCTTGTAATGCTTGATACTCTGTTTCCTTTCCCCTGGATGTTTCTACTATTTTTTCATTTTCCCTCTTTAGTTTAGAAATATCCATTTCTAAAATTAATGTTCTTTCTTTCAGGTTTGTTACTGCCTGTTTCAAAAGTTCATTTTCATTGACTTTGTTAGTAAAATTTTCATTTGAAGAAAGTAACTGATCACTTTTGACTTTGATTAAGAGGTCTTTTTCCTTTAGTAAGTTTTGTAATACATCTTGTTTCTCCTTCAATTGCTTAAGTTCTGACTCAGTTTGTTTGTGTTCTTTTCTCTCCAGCTCTGAGGAGGTAGCCATGGAATCAGACAACCTGTGATTATTTTCTTGGAGAGTTCTAATCATCGAATCTTTTTCCTGCAGTGACTTTCTCAACTCTTCAATCTCTTGTTGAAGCAACTGAGAAGACTCACTTGATCCTGCAGACTTACCTGCTCTAAGAGACTCTGCTGACTGAGAGGTAAGTGAGGAGCCAGAAGAGAGCTGGGGTGACATAATATCAAGCTTCCCTAAAAGAAGATCCTTGGTATTATAAAGCTGCCCTATGCTATGCTGCACATGAGCTAATTCCTGGCCAAAATTTTTGAGTTTCGTTTCATTCTGCTCATAACTTTGGATCAGGCCAGTGTAATCTACTTGTAGCTTAGAATTATTATCACTGTCAACCAAAACTTGGGCCTGAAGTTGGTGAAGTTCTTCCTGAAGCTGGGCTGACTCATGTTGCATGTTTTGGACAGTGGTCATAACCTGTTGTTTCCACTCTTCCATTTTCTTTACTTGCTGTTTTAACTTATCACGTTCTTGTAGGAGCTCCTCAAATTGATTGCTATTAACACTTCCAACCTCATTACCAGGGGTGGAAGTTTGTAAAACTGCCAACAAAGTCTGACATTTCTGACTTAGTGCATCTATTTCAATGTCTTTTTCTCGAATGATTCGTGATAAATTCTGAACAGTTTCTCTAAACATATCTTGGCCACTATTTTCAAATCGAGCAGACAACTTTTTATTCTCATCTTGTAGTTTAGTGAGGGCTGCTTCTTTGGCAGCAACTATATCCATGATTTTGTGATATTCTGTTTTTAAATTGCTATTCTCTCTCGTCTTCTCATTCAAAACTGCAAAGACCTGTTCTCTTTCCATAGTGTAGGCCTGCACCTGCTGCTGAAGGTGAACAAAATCCTGGGTGTAAGAAGCAGAAGAAATTCTTGCGTGAAGCGCTTGTATTTCTGAGTCCTTCTGCTGGATAATCTGAGTAAGCTTACCAACCTCATCTTTGGACAGCTGGTCAATCTGTTTAGTTAAAGATATATTCTTTTCGTTTAGAAGTTTAATCTGCAGCTCTCTTTCTTCTAGTCCTTTTACTAATTTTTCAGTTTCTGCTTTAGATAAATCATGCTTTTCACTTCCGTTTTCTATATTAAGGCTTTGAACTTTTGTTTTTTGAAAAATATCAGAATTCTCTGTTTGAATGTCCTGTCTTTCTTCATGCAACCGAGCTTTTATTTGTTCGATTGTTTTATGTAAACTCTTAATTTCCTCATCTTTCTCTAAACAGAGCTGACTATGTGTGATGTTCATTTGTTCATGCTGGTATTTAAACTCGTCTATTTCCTTCTTCTGCTCCTGCAAAGACTGAAGTAGTTGCATCTTACTCTGGTTTTGGTCTTCAATTATCTTCTGATGATGCTTAATTTCCTCTTCAAGATGATCCTTAATTATATTTAGTTGTGATATTTCAGATTCTAGCTCGGTAGTACTATCAAGGGCTCTTTGCTCAGCCACAGGCATGGCTCGACTTTGCTGTTCCCTGAGCCGTTCCAGCTCTTCTTGTAAATGATTATTTTCTTCTTTCATGGATCCAAGATTTCTGTCCTTCTCCTCTAGGGCCTGCCTTAAAGTTTCATTCTTCCTTAAGGCTTGAGAACATTTATCTAATTCTTCTTGCAGTTCTGAATTTTTTTCTTTAATTTTTTTAATAAAAATTTCTTTCTCATTTAGAAGTTGTGCTAATTGTTTCTGGTCTTCTAAACTAGAAGACAAAATTTCCTTTGTTTCTTTATGATCAGTCTCCAATTGTTCAATATTCTTTTTGAGTATTGCTATTTCAAAGTTTTTCTCTTGAGTGAGCTTAATTAAACGCTCATGTTCCAACTGTAAGGCAGAGGTGTCCAAATTCCGTGCATTTGACAGTTCCTCAATGGTTTGCTTATACTTGCTTGACTCTTCCAGCAGCCTCTTTTCGGCCTGACACAATTCTGCTTCTATCTGTCCTTTTTCCCTTTGCAGAGTCTCTGCAATAGTGCTTTTTTCCAAAGAAATTTGCTTGTTATAAGCAATAGATTCTTCCAACTGATGTCTGATGTTCTCACATGCTAAAACCAACTTTTCATTTTCCATTTTGAGTTCAAAAGAAACTTCCTTTAAATTTTCATTGAGCTGTTCTACTTCTGTAAGATTTTGCTTTAAGCTTCTAATTTTGGCTTCCCTTTCTTCAAGTAAGTCATCCTTAAATTTACTGTTAGAATCTTGATTAAGAGTTAACTCATTCCTGACTCGGGACAGTTCCTCTTCATTTTGTCTAATGTGTTCCTTAAGCTCAAGGTTCTCCTTCTGAACGCTTATATTATTTTCCTGTGATTTACTTAGTTGATCTATTAAATCTTCTACTTGATTTTCAAGCTTTTGCTTGGTTAAATGCAAATCATTTAGGACCAGTTCACTGTGGGTTAACTTTTCTTTCTGCTCATCTAGCTCTTTCGTAATGTTCATTTTATCATCCTCAAGTAGATGAATTCTCTTCTTTTCATCATCTAGATCTTGTTTCAGTTTCCTGATAATACTGTCTCCTTCACTTTGCTGTTTTGATAGCTGATCTTTTATCAAAATCACGTGCTGAAAGAAAAATTTTCACAGTATTTTACAATATTTCCTCATTTAGTGCCTGAAGAACATTTTGTAAAATTCTACAAATAATAGAATAACCCTAAACATTTTTGTGTGTGTGTGTGTGTGTGTGTGTGTGTGTGTGTGCCAGTCCTGGAGGTTAAGTTCAAGGCCTGGGCACTGTCTGTAAGCTATTTTTTTTTTTTTTTTTGGGTCCGGTCGTGGGGCCTAAACTCTGGGCCTAGGCGCTGTCCTTCAGCTCTTCAGCTCAAGGCTAGCGCTCTACCACTTGAGCCACAGCGCCACTTCCGGCTTTTTTTCTTTTTGTTTATGTGGTGCTGGGGAATAGAACCCAGGGCCTCATGCATTCAAGGCAAGCAAGCGCTCTACCACTGAGCCACCTTCCCAGCCCAAGTTTTTTTTTTTTTGCTCATGGCTAGCATTCTTACCACTTGAGCTACAGTTCCACTTCTGGAAATTTATTTTGGGAGATATGAGTTTCCTGACTGGGTTGGCTTCAGGAGTACAGGCAGGAGCCACTAGCACCGGACAACTCTAATATTTTTTCTTTTGTCCACATTGGGGCTTGAACTCTAGTCCTGGCGCTGTCTTTCAGCTCTTCAGCTCAAGGCTAGTGCTCTACCACTTTAGCCACAGTGCCACTTCTAGTTTTCTGGTGGTTTATTGGAGATAAGAGTCTCAGGATCAGCCGGGCGCTGGTGGCTCATGCCTGTAATCCTAGCTACTCAGGAGGCTGAGATCTGAGGATCGCGGTTCAAAGCCAGCCAGGGCAGGAGAGACCGTGAGACTCCTATCTCCAATAAACCACCAGAAAACTGGAAGTGGCGCTGTAGCTCAAGTGGTAGAGCGCTCCCCTTGAGCTGAAGAGCTGAGGGACAGAGCCCAGGCCCAGAGTTCAAGCCCCACGACCGACAAAAAAAAAAAAAGTCTCAGGACTTTCCTGCCCAGGCTGGACCTCGCTCCTCAGATCTCAGCCTCCCGAGTAGTTAGGATAACAGGAGTGAGCCACTGGTGCCCAGCTAACCCTAATCTTTTTTAAAAACAATTTTCTTTCTGTTCTAACATCCCCTAAAAAAATTACTTATGAATATCTTATACAAGATATTTTTGTTGGGGCTGGGAAGGTGGCTTAGTGGTAGAGCGCTTGCCTTGCATGCCTGAGGCCCTGGGTTCGACTCCCCAGCACCACATAAGCAAAAAGAAAAAAGCCAGAAGTGGCGCTGTGGCTCAAGTGGTAGAGCGCTAGCCTTGAGCTGAAGAGCTAAGGGACAGTGCCCAGGCCCAGAGTTCAGGCCCCACGACCGGAGCCAAAAAAAAAAAAAAAGAAAGATATTTTTGTCATTTTAGGGATAAAAAAGTAGAGAAAGTAAATGATATTGTTGCATATTTTCACTTTTCATCACTAGAGCATGAGTCAACAAACCACATCCCAAAGACCAGATAGGCCTGTTTCCTGTTTCTATAAATAAAACTTTATTGAAACACAGCCATGCTCAATGTTCCTTTGTTTATATATCAATTGCAGAGTTGAATAGGTGCAATTAAAATAATAAGGTCTGTAAAGCCAAAAAATACTGTACTAACTAGCACTTTACAGAAAAAGCTTGTTAGTCCCTGTGACTAGAATATCAATAAATTAAAATATTAATTAAACCACAAAAGTTATAACCAACATTTCTGCATTTAATCCAGTGTTCAGCCAATTGAATAGAAGATGTTATATTTCATGCCTGGCTATCTTTAACACAGTTACCTCTGTAGCTTCTTGGTTCTGTTTGTCCAATTCTTCTAATTCAGCCATCAGTATTTCCTTTTCATTAATACTCTGATTCAGCTCTTGTTGCTTTGCCTCCAAGTTAAGTCTTAACTCATACAATTCTGAATCCAAATTCATATCTCTTGAAGCTGTACTTTTAATCACTTCATATTCACTGTTCAATTTTGAAAGTGTTTTCTGAAGCTCTTCCTTAAATGGTAAGGGGGAAAATAGCACATACTATCAGTTAAAGAAAAGACACACAAAATTAAGCACTTAAACATATGTATGTAAATAAATAAAAATTTGATGTATATTTTAAATGCTCTCTGTATTGAAAATATTATTAAACAATACCTCAAACCTCAATAAAATTTATAAAATTCAACAAGCCACAGCCTCATTCATGTGCAATTTCACTTGCAGCTCCAGGTAAAACATTTCTATGACAGCTTATTCATGTAAGACATTTTCCAGTGGGAAGTCTTTCCTCCCCCATTCCTACTGCTGCTTCCTCAGCCCACCTCCACCATATACAGACTTTCTAAGAGTGCCATCTCCCAGCTCTCTTTACTTCTACTCCCTAACATCTAGTAACCAACAGCCACAGATGAAATAAAAATACACATTCGCTCTAAAGTTTATCATCACTAACTAGAAAATAAAAGGCTTTTACTTTATTCTTGGTTCTATTAGAATATGGAACTTTGTCTTCCTTTTTTTCTCTTCCTTTCTCTCCCCTTTTCCCTTCTCTTTTCTCCTTTCTTCCTCCCTTCCTCCTTTTTTTTGTCACTTCATCTTATCATCAAGTACAGATTATGCTCATCATTCAAATCATACATGATGTATATGCCATTTTATAGTCAATCAGTTGGTATTTAAGATTTTTCTTTAAAAACCCAGAAGTGGGACAGTTCTCTATTTTTCTACTTTATTTTAATATCTGATTATGATGTTTCTGGCTGAATCACTGTAAAGCCTTCTTTTGCTGGTAAGAGATTTTAAAAATAGAAATCCTATAGAATCTATATAAGAAACACACACACACACACACACACACACACACACACACACACACACACACGGAAGTGGTACTGTGGCTCAAAGTGGATAAAGTAGCCTTGAGCCAAAGAGCACAGGGACAGTGCCCAAGCCCTGAGTTTAAGCTCCATGACTGACATAAGAAAAAAAAGTTCATTTAATTAAATTTAACCAGGTGCCAGTGACTCATGCCTGTAATACTAGTATTCAGCAGGCCTGGATTTGATCTGAGGACTGTGGTTCAAAGCCAGCTTGGGCAGGAAAGACTGTGAGACTCTTATCTCCAATTAACCACCAGAAAACTAGAAGTGGTACTATAGCTTAAAGTGGTAGAGTGCTAGCATTGGGTGAGAAAGCTTGGGGACAGTGCTCAGACTCTGAGTTCATGCCTCACAACCAGGAAACATAAGTAAATAAAAAGGATCTCAATTTTCTTTAAATAAACAGACTATTAATATCTTTTTTTTTCCCTAGACCTGGGGCCTACACTCAGAGCTTGGGCACTGTCCCTGAGTTTCTTTTGCTCTACCACTTGATCCACAGTACCACTTCTGGCTTTTTCTGTTTATTAGTACTGAAGAATCAAACCCAGGGCTTCATGCATGCTAGGCAAGCACTCTACCACTCTACCAGCCCACTTTTAGCATTATTAACCAATAAGCAGGCTCATAGCAAGCACAATTCAGGGAAGAGTTGCAACGGACTACTACTACACACCAATTAAAGGAAAACTACTACCAAAAACAACTATGGAGTTGGGAATATGGCTTAATGGTAAAGTGATTGCCTAGCATGGATGAAGCCCTAGGTTCAATTCCTCAGTACCACATAAACAGAAAAGACCTGAAGTAGCGCTGTGGCTCAAGTGGCAGAGTGCTATCCTTGAGCAGAAGAAGCTCAAGGACAGTGCCCAGGCCCTGAGTTCAAGCCCCAAGACCAGCAAAAAAAAACAAAACCAATATTCTGACATTTGTGTTTTTTAAAGATCATATATATTCAGACATACACTAATAAAAGGCAGGAAATGGAGAAAGAGGTCAAGCAATAATAGAGTCAAAGATATTCTATGTGCACTAACATATTCAGTATATATCATTGAATATATATTTCAGTAGGCATGTATTACTTGAAAAACTTAATTTAGGGGATAACACTGTGAGGAAAGAAATGTATTCATTACTTATGTAACTGTAACCCTTCTGTACATCACCTATACAATAAAATAATAAAAAACAAAAAAGAACTTTTCTGAATTTGAAAGAACAGAGACAAATAAATATCTAAAGTATCAAAAATAAAAATAAAAATAATTTAAATTGAATTAAAATACTGGCCTTTAACTTAGTTCCAACTTCCAACTGTCCTATATTTAAGCACCTATCGTTGAAAAGGAATTATTTCCAGGGGTAAAAATACCCACCTCTGCATTATAGAGTCCTAATCTATCCTTGCTACCAACATACACAAAAAAATGCCATTTCTTCCAGTGAAAACAGTCCTTTATTTACTTCCACCAGTAAGAAATTTCTATGATGTTGCACATATTCTGGGGCATACAAATATTGTACATACCTGTGTATGCTCCTGCTGTTCTCAGGATGTCATCAGAAATCAAAACAGCCTTTGCTCTCTTTTCTGCTCTGATCTGTGTGCCTACCAATTTATCTCTGCATGTAAACCCTGGACAGCCTCTCATGCTCCAAACCTTGCACAGGTACTTCAGCCTTGCCTGAAGCATTCTATAACTAAAGACTTCACTTTGATATAAACTGGCCCTTCACTAAAACTATAATATATACACCATTTTAATTCTGCTCCATTTTAACAGCACCTACCTTTTCTTGACTCAATAATGACTTCTCTTTTTCTAAAACTTGGACATGCATTTTAAGTTTCAGATAGTCTTCAGCAAGGTTCTTATCCTATAAAAACGTTAAAGCAGTAATTTCAGATAACAAAACTTCCAGTTTACAAACAGCAGGCTAGCTATACAACTGTGCATTTCTACTCAGTATTTCTTAAGCAATATATAAAAAGTAGAAAAACTGACCATTAGAAATCCAGAGTCACTCATTTTAGACATTCTTATAGAGGATTTTTTTATTGTATTTGAAAAAATTTAAATTTACAAATGACTTGAAATAATTCCCTGAACTCCTTAAAGAAAATCAAAATGCATTCCTCATTTTTGTATACAATCTGCTTTCACTGTCTTTACGTAGATAACATTTGCCAGTTAACCTGCAAAAAGATTTATCTGTAATTTTTAACTAGGTAACTTTTTAACTTTTGTCAATTTATGGCACATAAAGTTAGCTTCTGCTATTAATTAGTAAACACAAAATTTCTGAAATGAAATTTCCTAGAGTAAGTTCAAATGCATTTATAAGAAAACACATAGTAAGAAAATGTAGTAAATTAAAACTTTCTTAATAAACCAAAGCCAAAGCTTTCTTCCATAACATAAATTTACCTGGGTTAAACTATTTAGTCTCATTATTTCATTTTCAGCATCTGTAAAAACAATAAATGAACCTGACATTAAAATTATTTAGAATATCTTAATAATAGCCTTCCATATTACACTCAGAAATCCCATTAAAATAAAGTGTATTTATAAACATAAATTAGCAAGTACTGACAGGAATGAAACATATTTTATATTTTCAGTTTGACTATTCAAAACATTCTAGTCAAAAACCATGTTAAAGCCAGGTGCTGGAGGCTTACACCTATAATCCTAGCTACTCAGAAAGCTGAAATCTGAGAATCACCATTCAAAGCTAGCTCAGGCATGAGCATGAGACTCTTATCTCCAAATAACCACCTCAAAACTGGAAGTGGAGCTGTGGCTCAAAGTTTTAGAGTACTAGCCTTGAGCAAAACAAGCCCAGGGACAGCACCCAAGCTGGGTTCAAGTCCCAAGACAACCCAAAAAAACAAAAAGCAAGACATGTTAAAATCCAACTCTTTGAAAAAGTGTAAGAATTATCACTGTATTCTGGTCATATTGCCTTAATAAAAATAGTACTCACAACTTGTTTCAAAATGAGTTAATTTGGGTGTTAGAAATAGTGTAAGGTCTATAGACTGGAAGGGGAAAACAAAGAAACATGGAAAGCAATAAACGTAAGTATATCACAGCAATACAATGATCTCTCAATTATCTAATGTGAGTTACATGAAGGTATTACATATCGATCCATAAACAGAAATGATTCTGGCAGAGGAACACAGAACTAGACTACTGTGAGCTTGGTTGAAGTAAATACTTTTAACATTCACTTGGCAAAAATTGAGCATGTACAGTAAGGCCAGAAAAATTTAGCCATTACTTTAAAACAGCTTGTTACAATACAGAGGGGAAGACAAGTAAACACACTGGGTGCTGGTAGCTCATACCTGTAATCCTAGCTACAAAGAAGGCTGAGATTTGAGGTTAGAAGCCAGCCCAGGCAATAAAGTTTGTGATACTGTTATCTCTAGCTCTAGGATCAAGTGGTAGAGAACTATCCTTCAGCAAAAAAGCTCAGGGACAGAACCTAGGCTCTGAGTTTAAGTCAAGGACTGGCACAAAAAGCTGGAAGTGGAGCTGTAGATTAAGTAGGAGAACACCAGCCTTGAGTGAAAAAGCTAAGGGACAGAACCCAGGCCCCGAGTTCATGCCTCAGTATTGGCAAAACAAAGAACAAAAAGAACGCCCCCAAAGTAAACACAATTATGATATATTATAATACAATGTGATAGAGCATGTGATGGGGCTATGTGGACAGAAGTGGCAGTTCAGGTAGCTAGTAGTGAAGTTAACCCTATATGACATCAATACACTGAGTTAGCTAGAAGATAGGGTCACTCCACTCAGAAAGCAGTAAATATAAATGTGACAAAGCTGATAAAACACTGCTGGTAAGAAGAGCATCTGAGAGTTGATAGGGCTAAACTTAGAATGGGGGATGGAGGGTTAAGAATGGCTTAGCGGTAGAGTGCTTGCCTAGCACGCATGAAGCCCTGGGTTCAATTCCTCAGTACCACATAAACAGAAAAGGCCAGAAGTGGCACTGTGGGTCAAGTGGTAGAGTACTAGCTTTGAGCAAAAGAAGCTCAGGGACAGTGCCCAGGCCCTAAGTTCAAGCCCCAGGACTGGCAAAAAGAAGAAGAATGAGGAGGAGGAGGAAGAAGAGGAAGATGAGGAGGAGGAGGAGGAGGAGGAGGAGGAGGAGGAGGAGGAGGAGGAGGAGGAGGAGGAAGAGGAGGGGGAAGGAAGGGGGAGGAGGAGGAGGAGAAGAAAGTAGAAGAATGGAGGGTGGGTGGGATTTAAACTGAAGAAGTGGACAGGGACACAATGCCCAAACTAAAAAAGTTCAGACTTCATCTTGAAGTTCTCACTGAACCACAAAGTACTAAGAGCAGGAGAAAAAAAATTTGCATTTCTGGAAATTTATTCTGATTGCAGAATAAAAACCAAATGGTTTAAAACAGAATAATGGAAACCAGAGAATACAAACAGCTAACATTTTTTCAAACGCTCTATGGACCAAATGTCTCTATAGGGAACCTTGCACCTACTAGTTTATTACTCTCATTATTTTAATTCTTACAAGGAAGATACTATTATTTCAATCCTACAAATTAAAAAATTGAGGCAGAGAGAGATGATAACTAAGTCAGAGACAGAGCTGTATTCCAGCCCAGTCTTGTTATGCTCTAAGAAATCGATCATAAGCCAAGCTTCCAGTTACCCAGGAGGCTGAGATCCAAGAAAGGGGAGAAAGACTAGAGCAACAGGTCTATTTTTTAAACCAATAAACTCACTGGATCACTTCATATAATGAATTACTTTACAAAGGGCAAACTACTCCAATTGAAAGCAAATGAGAAAGAAGTCTAGAACCCATTCCTATGGCAGCTCCTAAGGTGCTGCACATTTGAGAAACCCTGGTGCTGCTCTGGGATACAATCCTGAAATATCATGCAACCAGAGAGAACCTTAGAACTATAGCATAGGATGTGCTTGGTGAAGACGTGATTCCTGGCTTTGAAAGACTAGTAAATGTTGCCTATCAACAAGGTTAGGAAAGGAAGAGGGAAGGGAAGCTGATGGCTTTTGAGTTTAACTTTAGTTTAATTGATCATTCATATCAGGAACTTATTCTAAACAACTGGGCCACAGAGTGGGGTTAAGGAACATAAAGTGGCAATTCACAAGCACACAAGGTTGCAAACTTTCACAGCAGAGAATGAATGTACTTACAGCAAGAGTTTATACTGTGAAAAGAGCACAACGTGTAAAATAAAATGCAACTTTTCAGCTAACAAGCCCAGATTGTTTGCCTGGCATAAATGAGTATTGATTTTTTGTCTGTTTTACTTAATACTTGTTTGGGTTATATGTTTGGTTTATTTTTAACTTTATTTTTTTAAACACTACAGAATACTTGAATAGTAACTGTCATCTTGAACATGGAAAATGATAGAAATGTTATGGCTCCTGCCACTCAGACCTTTGCTTCAAGACAGAAAATCATTTCAAAAGCTAACAATGGTTGTCAGCAGATAGAAGGTTGCATTCCCTAACTGAAGGGTCACAGCCCTCATGAATTACATAAAGAATCTGATTCTATGTACAATGAAAGGAATACACCCATACTTCCTACGAATTACATGAACATTTCACAGGAATGTAGATTGCTTCCTAAATCACTGACTTCCATGTGAGTACTTAAACAATAAGGAAAGGAGGCTGAGAGATGAATTAAGCCATTTAAGCCATTTCACTAAAAAAATCATTTATGGTCTATTAATTATGGTGCTAAATCTAAGCCAAACAATTCTACTCAAATTACAATCATTTCCATAAATACTTAATTGTCACAAAGTATTCAATTATTTAAGAGTTTATCTCTGAGAACAATTAGTATGCAATGAAACACCAATTGGAAATAAGTTCCAAACATTTTATACCAGACAGTGCTTGTTGTAGTCTGCGCACTTCTTCCACTGAGGAACTCAGTGGAAGGATGCTCGCCTCCATCACAGCGTCACTCTGCCTCATAGCAGAAGTCTGCAGTCTACTACATTCCAGCTTCAAGCTTTCACACTGTTCAATTATTTGTCTCTTTTCCACATTTAGCTGTTCTTGTTCTTGCTTCAAGATATCTCTGTCATTTTCTGCAGAAGTTAATTTTTTAGTTATGTCTTTTATTTTATCCTCAAGCTCTTCAATTTTTTTTGTAGATTCTACTTTTTCAGTTTGTAGAACTTGAATAGATTTTTGCATTTTGTAGACTTTGGAGTGATCAGCTGAAGTAACTCCAGAGCCACCTGGAGCACAAACGAAAATCCAGGATGTCAGATGTCAAGTTCCAAATAAATAGCTTAAGAAGAGATTTAATACAATGCTAATCTCTTTAATAAGAGCCTAAGTATGACAAATTTCTGACAAAGAGCAGAACCAGTCATCTGGTCATAAGAACTCAGTCCAAGTTTATAGCAGTGTCCTGGTGTGAAGACTGCTAAGCTTATTGTCTAATTTCATGTTTATGCCATCTAACATGTGAAATTAATAAAAAATAATCACCTTGGTATAATAGATTTTCAAGTTCTTCAATTCGTTCTTCATAATCACTTAACTCTCCTCGATGCCGACGACTTATCTCTGTCAGTTTCTGTTGATGAGCATTCTGCAGTACTGACATTTCATGTTGATGGTCATCAATTTCCTGACTTAGACTCTGTTTAAGTTCCTTAAAATGTAAGAACAAAGTTAACCACATTCATTGTGTATAAGCTAGCCTACTATTTCCCAGAACTCTACATAGAATAGACCCTTGATATCCATGGGTATATGGTTCTAAGGAGACCACTGTTGAGAAAAAGCTGTGAATACTCAGAGTGAATGGAGAGTTTAAACACAACTGATATAGACATAGGACTGATTGAAAGTTTTCCATCAGCATCAATCACAGTTTCCAAATTAGGACAGTTCTGAGAGACTCCATGCCTGGTTTTCTTAGGCATTAAAAACAAATTTTCTGGGGCTGGGAAGGTGGCTCAGTGGTAGAGCGCTTGCTTTGCACGCCTGAGGCCCTGGGTTCGATTCCTCAGCACCACATAAGCAAAAAGAAAAAAGCCGGAAGTGGCGCTGTGGCTCCAGTGGTAGAGCGCTAGCCTTGAGCTGAAGAGCTGAGGGACAGCGCCCAGGCCCAGAGTTCAGGCCCCACGGCCAGACCCAAAAAAAACAAAAAACAAAAAACAAATTTTCTGCCAGGCCCTGGTGGCTCGTGCCTATGATCCTAGCTACTCAGGAGTCTGGAATCTGAGGATCATACTTCAAAAATCTAAGGATCACAGTTCAAAGCCAGCCCAATCAGGAAGTCCGTGAGACTCTTATTTGCAATTAACCACCAGAAAACTGAAAGTGGTGGAGTGGCTCAAGGTGGTAGAGCCCAAACCTTGAGCAGAAAAGCTCAGGAACATCACCTAGGCCCAGAGTTCAAGCCCCATGACCAACATACATACATCCATACATACATACATCCATACATACATAAAACATCAATTTCTACTTTTAATAAGGGAACATCACAAGAAAACAATGAAACAAAAGATGAAGAAAAATACATTTTCCTAGCTGGGCATTGGTGGCTCACGCTTGTAATTTGAGCTACTCGGGAGGCTGAGATCTAAGGATTGTGGTTTGAAACCAGCCCAGACAGGGAAGCCTATGAGACTCATATCTCCAATTAACCGCCAAAAACAAAACAAAAAAACAGATGTGGAGCTGTGGCTCAAGCCGTAGAGAATTAATCTTGAGCAAGGATCCTCAGGGACAATGCTCAAGCCCTGAGTTCAAGCTCCAGGACCTGCACACTGCGCCCCCTCCCCCCGCCCCCAAAAAAATCTCTTCCTTATTACCTGTGACCATAATCTCCTTCCTTAGCAACATACTCTACCAATGCTGGAATCCATCTCTTGCTAGTCTATACCTGATGTTCTATCACTGATATGCCACTCTCTTGCTCAGCCTTTCCTTCTGCCAGTTTTCATGGGACTTCGAAACTGTTAAGTGGGATCCCTTGCTACCCAAGTTGAGATGAGTAATGTTTCTCCAAGAATCTAGATCTTGATAGGAAGAATTCTCAAGAGTCTGTCCACCATGTCCTACTAGATTCCTGAGGTGCTCCCAATCCTATTCTTCCTTACACAAGACACTCAACCCTTCCATCAGTCCTCTACACAGTCTACCCTTAGTAATTCTAGTAAATCTTGTTTTGCTTTACTTAGCCAGAAACAGTTATTAATTATAACACCAAGAATCCAAATTACAAATTAGCTTTCATTTCCTGAGAAGATTAATGAAAACTATTCTTTAACCTTATATGCTTTATGTGTGCCAGCCTTCTGCTAAAAACTTTACTTAAATCTTAGCACAAATCTATAAAGTAGTTTTCATGATGGTATCTAATGTACTGATTATATAATAAAAGCTGGAAAATGTAAAGTAACTTGTCCAAAGTACTTGCCTAAAGTACATCTGGTAAAGAGTCCAATCAGGATTCACACTAGCATTATATCAGTAAACTCCAAACTAAAATAATTTCAAATAATTCACTGCCATGATGAGTATATGTATCTAAGACATTCATTCATTCATTCATTCACTTTGTGCCAGTATCAGGGCTTAACCCAGCATTTCATGTTCTTGCTTGTCCTTCTTGTTCATGGCTAATACTCTACTACTTGAGCCACACCTCCAGCCTGGGTTTTTGCTTATTAATTGAAGATGGAGTCTAATGGACTTTTCTGCCCAAGCATAAAATAATTATTTACAATGAATAATACTGGCACCTTATTTTGTTAATATTCTTTTTAATATTCTTTGTTAATATTCTAAAACCCTGAAATGGGGCTGGGAAGGTGGCTCAGTGGTAGAGCGCTTGCCTTGCATGCCTGAGGCCCTGGGTTCGATTCCTCAGCATCACATAAGCAAAAAGAAAAAATGCTAGAAGTCGTGCTACGGCTCAAGTGGTAGAGCGTTAGCCTTGAGCTGAAGAGCTGAGGGACAGCGCCCAGGCCCAGAGTTCAAGCTCCACAACTGGACCCCCCCAAAAAATAAATAAATAAATAAAAATAAAACCCTGAAACTTCAGTAACAGAATTCTGTTTTAATAAAGACATTTTATGAGATATAGTACAATACAGACTTGTAAAATATAAATTACTAAAAATAAATGTTCACAACCAAATCATTTTAGAAAAAGCTATTTTATATAACTTAATTATCTATAGAATAGAGGTGATATAAATACTTAAATTGAATATTTTAATCTAAACAGTCACTATTGTAACTAGCTCTTTGGAGTAATTTAGCTTTATCTTTACTACACAGATTTTAGAGCAGAATAGCCAGTGGCAATCAACAATGTGACTTACCTTAATAATATTTTGCAGTCTGCAGATTTCGCTTTGATCGGAACTATGTGTTCCTTGAGCCTTAGAAGGTTAGAAAAGAAAATTAGAAAATAATTAATTTTCCTGTAAAACAAAAAGTTTCAAACTTCATTAAAAGATACTTTCCAGCCAGGTGCTGGTAGCTCACGCCTATAATCCTAGCTACTCAGGAGGCTGAGATCTGAGGATCCCGGTTCAAAGCCTCCCCGGGCAGGAAAGTCCATGAGACACTTTTCTCCAATAAACCACTAGAAAACCGAAGTGGCGCTGTGGCTCAAGCAGTGGAGTGATTATCTTGAACTGAAGAGCTGAGTGATACCGCCCAAGCCCAGAGGTCAAGCCCCAGGACCAACAACAAAAAAAAGATACTTTCCAATAAGCACTCTTCAAAGTAGTAAAATGATATTATATTTAAAACTTTTTTTAACCAACTGGGGATGATAGCTTTCAAAACAAAAAAAGAAAAAAATGAATATTTTATTCTGCTTAAGAAAATGTAAATGTGAGGAGAATGGAATGGTTGTTTTTTGTTTTTTTGTTTTTTTTTTTTGTCGGTCGTGGGGCTTGAACTCTGGGCCTGGGCGCTGTCCCTCAGTTCTTCAGCTCAAGGCGAGCGCTCTACCACTTGAGCTACAGCGTCACTTCCAGTTTCTGGTGGTTTATTAAAGATAGGAGTCTCACAGGGCTGGCTTTGAACCGCGATCCTTAGATCTCAGCCTCCTGAGTAGCTAGGATTACAGGCGTGAGCCCAGCTGAATGGAATGGTTTTTAAAAGGAAATTTTTACAATCCAAAGTTTCTTAATACTAATGCTAACAAAGAGAAAGTAAAATTCTTTTCAAAATGATTTTACCCAGATTTCGACTTCAATATAAAATAATCTTTTGTGTTCTTTCTCTTCTCAAAGTTGCATAATACTTATTTATCTTTAAAGTTTTTTTTTTTTTTTTTTTTTTATCAGTTGTGGGGCTTGAACTCTGGGCTTGGGCGCTAACCCTGCACTCTTCAGCTCAAGGACAGCGCTCTACCACTTGAGCCACAGCACCACTTCCTAAAGTATTTTAAAACTGATACATTATAAGTATCTATGGAATATAATGTGGTGTTTCAATGCACGGACACATGATATAATAAAGGCAATTAGCATTATCCATTATCGAAACATGTATCATTAATCTATGGTAAAAGCATTCAAAAGCCTCTCTCCTGCCTACTTTTAAATATACATGGAGCTGAGGCTATACCTTAGTGGTTGAACAAGTACACAGTACACAAAAAGTCGTGGGTTTGATTCCCAGCAGTGAAGTCCCTCTCTAGGGAGAAAGGGAGAAAGGGAGAAAGGGAGAAGGGAGAAAGGGAGAAGGGAAGGGAGGGAGGGAGGGAGGGAGCGAGAGAAAGAGAGAGAGAGAGAGAAAGAGAGAGAGATGGGGAGCGGGGGAGGAGACAGAGACAAAAACAGAGGAAACAGTTAGGTGGCCTGTAATCTTAGCACTTGAGCTGCTCCATGACTGAAAAAAACAAACATGGCATAATAGAAAGATCATGGGATTTGGAGTCAGAAGATGTGTATCTAAGCCAGACACAATAACACAAACCTGTGTAGGAGAGCCTACTCTGGCGGCTGAAGCAGGATTGCAAGTTCAAATCCCCGCCTCATAAACAAAATGAGACTACCATCTCAAAAAGGAGGGGGAGGAGGCTAGGGAGGATACTCAATAGTTGAACACTTGCACAGTATGTGTGAGGCCCTGAGTTCAATCCTTAGCACTACAAAAAAAAGTGTATCTGAATCGCAACAATCACTGTGACAATGAATATATTATTTTTAATAACTTCAGTTTCTTACCTGAAAACTAGAAGCAATAACTATTTCACATAAATAATATACTGAGATAATGTATATGGAAACATTTTAGCATTTTATATAGTATTACAAATGTTAATTTTTGTTACGTCTTGCTAGAAGGTTAAGCCCACTGACAAGTCCAATTACGCTCTTCAATTTTTTTTTTTTTTTTTTGGGTCCGGCCGTGGGGCCTGAACTCTGGGCCTGGGCACTGTCCCTCAGCTCTTCAGCTCAAGGCTAGCGCTCTACCACTTAAGCCACAGCATCACTTCCGGCTTTTTTCTTTTTGCTTATGTGGTGCTGAGGAATCGAACCCAGGGCCTCGAGCATGCAAGGCAAGTGCTCTACCACTGAGCCACCTTCCCAGCCCCAGCTCTTCAATTTTTTGTTGTTGTTGTTTAGTTTTGTTTTTGAGCAGGTCCTGGGGCTTGAACTCAGGCCTGGGTACTGTCCCTGAGCTTTTTGGCTCAAGGGTAGTGCTCTACCACTTGAGGCACAACTCCACTACCAGTTTTTTTGGTGATTTAACTGGAGAAAAGAATCTCACTGATATTTCTGCCTTGGCTGGCTTTGAACTATGATCCTCAGATCTCAGCTTCCTGAGTAGTTAGGATTACAGGCCTACCAAGGCCCAGAGATGCCTCTCCATCTTTATATTTCATTACAGGTCTGACATGTACTAAGAGTTCAAGATAGGTTTAAGTGAACATACCAAAAATCTATTTCTTTCTTGTGACACTTTACCCTATCAATGTTTTTTTGGGGTTTGTTTTTGAGACACAGTTTCACTATGCAGCTCAGACTATCCTGGAATACTATGCAGCCTGGGCTGGTCTCCAGCTCCCCTTCCTCCTGCCTCAACTTCCTAGAGGCTAGAGAACAAATGGGTGCCACCTTACCTGCCGCTTCATTGTTTCTGAAAATGTGTTCCTTAGATTACCAGAATTTGCTTAAATGTCATTTCTAAAAAAAGCAAATTTCTAAAAAAGCAAATCAAAATATCTAAAGGTAGGAAATCTACCAAGTTCTCTAGATTGGTTTTTACAAAGTTTAAGAATTACTGCTTTTTTGGAGATAAAATGAACAAACTGTCTTATATATAGGTGTATTTTGAGTACTAGAAACGTCTAGCAACATGGGAAACAAGTAGATATTTTAAGAAAGATTTCTCTTTTTGGAGTGGTAGAGCAGTAGAGTAATTGATAAGAATATATTATAAATATGTGAAACTATATGTAACAATGAAATCCCTCCTTGTATAAGTAATATAAGCTAATAAAAAATTTCTTTTTCAGGGGCTGGGAAGGTGGCTCAGTGGCAGAGTGCTTGCCTCGCATGCCTGAGGCCCTGGGATCGATTCCTCAGCTCCACATAAAGAAAAAAGCCGGAAGTGGCGCTGTGGCTCAAGTGGTAGAGCGCTAGCCTTGAGCTGAAGAGCTGAGGGACAGCCCAGAGTTCAGGCCCCACGACCGGACCCCCCCAAAAAAATTTCTTTTTCATAACTATATTATATTCACAAAAAAGATGGAAAATAATCTCAAGCCAGGCACTGGTTGTTCATGCCTATAATCCTACTCAGGAGGCTGAGATCTGAAGATTGAGGTTCAAAGCCAGCCTGGGCAGGAAAGTCCCTGTGAGACTCTTTTTTTTTTTTTTTTTTTTGTCGGTCGTGGGGCTTGAACTCTGGGCCTGGGCACTGTCCCTCAGCTCTTCAGCTCAAGGCGAGCGCTCTACCACTTGAGCTACAGCACCACTTCCAGTTTTCTGGTGGTTTATTGGAGATAGGAGTCTCACGGTCTCTCCTGCCCGGGCTGGCTTTGAACCGCGATCCTCAGATCTCAGCCTCCTGAGTAGCTAGGATTACAGGCGTGAGCCACCAGAGCCCGGCTCCTGTGAGACTCTTATCTCTAATTAGCCACTCAAAAATGGGAAGTGGAAGTGTGGCTCAAAGTTGGTAGAGCATGAGCCTTGAGCAAAAGAACTCAGAGACAGAGCCCAAGCCCCAAGTTCAAGTTCCACAATAGAAAGAAAGAAGGAAAGAAAGAAAGTAAGTAATTAAGTCATGGGGGGCCTGAACTTTCTACCACTTGAGCCACAGTGCCACTTCCGGCTTTTTCTGTTTATGTGGTGCTGAGGAATCAAACCCGGGGCCTCATGCCCGGGTTTAATTTAATAATTTAATTTCTAATACATGAGAAATAACATAAAATAGATGAACAAATACCAATGGTCAGATTTTCATTTTAATGTCACTAAAGCTTACTCATGCCTCTAATTCTAGCTACTCAAGAGGCTGAGATCAGAAAATTGGATTTTGAAGCCAGCTTGGAACCATGAGTCTCTCTTCAATTAATCACCATAAAGTTGGAAGTAGAGCTGTGGCTCAAATGTTAGAGCATCAGCCTTGAGTAAAAAAGCTAAGGAACAGTGACCAGGCCCTGAGTTCAAACTCCACCACCACCGCACACGAACACACACAAGCTCAACCCTCCCATCCACAAACACGAGATTAAAATATCCCAGGCAGCAGTGTCAGCTTGCAAGTCCTGGTGTTCCCAACAGACACCTCAAAGACTCCAAGGCAAAAAAAAAATCTAACTTCAGTTTTTATCTTTTGAATCCTAGGTTCACTTAATACTCACTTAATACTTCCCAAAACGGCATTCAAATTTACTACCTTAGCAATATGCTTCCAATGGCCAACTTCAGATTCAAGTCTTGAAACTTCATTTGACAATCTGTTTATTTCTTGTTGTGATGAAATTATGTCATTGAAGTCCATGTCATCATCATGGAATGCAGAAGTATGATGACTGATCCCATAGCCAAATGAAGATGATGTGGTGGTTGCTGTTACACTGCCAGCTCCTGAATGCACTGACTGAGCAGCCGTCTGCAGTTTCTGCAACTGATCCTGTAGTGCAATCTGTCTTGCTTTAAGGTGGCTGATTTCAACCTAAATATTTATAATCCAAATTATAAAGTACTTTATTGACCTTTTACCAAATTCATAACACTGAAAAGCAGAATGATTTGTATAAGGTTATCCAATAATGGTACTCTATGAAGTGACTCTTCTATAATACTCTAATCACAAGATTTTTATTAAAAATGAACACAATTACTATAGTTAAAGCAGATATAATGTTTTGAATAGTATACAGATTAGAATTTCACTTGAAGTTTTCTTTTGTTGGTGGTGGTGGTTGTGATAGTGTGGTCCTAGGGCTTGACTCAGAGGCTGGGCATTGTCCTGGAGCCTACCACTTTGAGCCACAGTTTTGGGATCAATTGGAGATAAGTGGCTCACAGACTTTCCTCCTGGACTGGCCTTAACCACAATCCTGAAATCTCAGTTTCCTGAGTAGCTATGAGTATAGGTGTGAGCTCAAGCACTCATCCTTACTTGAAGTTTAAAAGCAATTAATTTCTATGTAAACATAGGTTTACTATCTTCTGTGTAAGAGGTATGGGCAAGTTCTTAGGGCTGTTTGTTGACTTGCAAACCTTAAATAATGAGAAAATGAAAAGTGTGTCAGTTTATAAGTTCAAAAGTTTCCGGAGGGGCTGGGAAGGTGACTTAGTGGTAGAGCATTTGCCTTGCATGCCTGAGGCCCTGGGTTCGATTCCTTAGCACCACATAAGCAAAAAGAAAAAAGCCGGAAGTGGCGCTGTGGCTCAGGTGGTAGAGCGCTAGCCTTGAGCTGAAGAGCTGAGGGACAGCACCCAGGCCCAGAGTTTAGGCTCCACGACCAGACCCCCCCCCCCTCCCAAAAAAAAAAAAAAAAAAAAAAAAGTTTCCTGAGAATTCTCCTGTTAGGAGTGTTTGTGTAAGTGGCTATGATTAGATTTAGGCTTAAAATGCACAGGTAACTTTGTTTTGACTGAGGGCTAGCAATACTATACATCATAGCCCACAAGATGTTACAAATACAGGGGCTGGGAAGGTGACTCAATGTTAGAGCACTTGCCTGGCATGCCTGAGGCCCTGGGTTCGATTCCTCAGCACCACATAAGCAAAAAGAAAAAAGCCGGAAGTGGCGCTGTGGCTCAAGGGGTAGAGTGCTAGCCTTGAGCTGAAGAGCTGAGGGACAGCGCCTAGGCCCAGAGTTCAGGCCCCATGACTGGACCCTCCCTCCCCCCCCAAAAAAAAGATGTTACAAATACAGAACCTACCATAATACTACATCCAATCTGAATGGAAGATTATCCAAGGCACATAGGTAATCTAGAGAAAAATTAAGCTTTGTATAAAGTACTCTAGTACAAGAAATACTATTCTCAAGTAAAGAAAATGTGATGTTATTAAAGTAACTAGTAATATTTCTTCATGTACACAGTTATGGAATTACATAAACCAACATCAAATATATTTATGGTATATGTCACAATAAAAAAATTTTCACATTCAGGGCTGGGAAGGTGGCTCAGTGGTAGAGCGCTTGCCTTGCATGCATGAGTCCCTGGGTTCAATTCCTCAGCAACACATAAGCAAAAAGAAAAAAGCCGGAAGTGGTGCTGTGGCTCAAGTAGTAGAGCGCTAGCCTTGAGCTGAAGAGCTGAAGGACAGTGCCCAGGCCCAGAGTTCAGGCCCCACAACCGAACCCCCCCCAAAAAGAAAGAAATTTAAAAAAAAATTTTCACATTCACTTTCTACAAACAAATTTCATCTCTGGGGAATGTGAACATCACAATGAGGACAGCAAATAGGTTCAGAAAATAACATCTGTATAGTTACATATTAGCTTTCACACTAGTAAAAAGTACTGAAATCCATATTTTAGGTGTAGTTATAATACAAATATGTCATCAGAGATCTGAGGATGGAAATTCAAAATCAGCCTGGGCAGGAAAGTCTGTGAGACTCTTATCTTCGATTTTTTGTGAAAATGCCATCATGAAGCTGTGGCTCAAGCAATAATTAGGACCTCAGATAAAACTCCAGTAGTGGCAAAAAAAAAAAAAAGAAGTTGTCATTATAGAGTAGATATTTATATTGAGTTATAGAGCTATACAAATGCAAGCTCTAATAACAAACTAAAGTTCCAAACTGGGGCAGGGAATGTGGCTTAGTGGTAGATGCTTGCCTAGCATGCATGAAGCCCTGGGTTTGATTCCTCAGTACCACATAAACAGAAAAAGCCAGAAATGGCACTGTAGCTCAAGTGGTAGAGTGCTAGCCTTTAGCAAAAGCAGCTTAGGGACAGTGCCCAGGCCCTGCCTGAGTTCAAGCCCTAGCACTGGCAAAAAAAAAAAAAAGCCAAAATTTAAATAGCTTGTTTGCAACAATGGGGTAAGTAATGAAGCTTTGGAAAATGAAAAACATCATAGCCTTCTTTACAGCATATTCTGTCAAAATCTTCTGGAGGGGGCTGGGAAGGTGGTTCAGTGGTAGAGTGCTTGCCTTGCAGGCATGAGGCCCTCAACACCACATAAGCAGACAAAACTGGAAGTAGCATTGTGGCTCAAGTGGTAGAGCGCTAGACTTGAGCTGAAGAGTTGAGGGACAGTGCCCAGGCCCAGAGTTCAGGCCCCACAACCAACCAAAAAAATAAAAATAAAAAAATAAAATCTTCTGGAGGATATAAGTACATATTTGTGCGTGTGTGTGTGTGTGTGCGTGTGCGTGTGTGCGTGTGCGTGTTGTGTGTGTGTGTGTGTGTATGTGTATACACGAACTCATGATCCCCCTTCCTCTGTCTCACAAGTAGATGGGATCATAGGTATGTGCCACCATACAAGGCTGCTCAAAGTGTGACTAGTAACTCTGGATTGCTATTTACCATGATCTCTATGAATCAATGCTACTGAGAGTGTGACCCATGGACTGATGCCATGTGCACTCATCATTAGTGGTAGTAAGTATAGGAACTGAAAGAATAAGGCCTAATAGATTTCAAGCAACTCAGCAGTAATTACACCTGTGCTGAGTCAGTCACAATGAAAACAAGGGACTCTAAGCTTAATTTGAACTTGTAATTTTCTTTGTATTAATTTTATTCTAGTAATTCATTTTATCACCTGGAATTATCAATACCCATCAGGTTGCAAAAACCTTTCATGTAGAAGATTTTTTTTTTTCTTTGTCGGTCGTGGGGCTTGAACTCTGGGCCTGGGCGCTGTCCCTCAGCTCTTCAGCTCAAGGCGAGCACTCTACCACTTGAGCTACAGCGCCACTTCCGGTTTTCTGGTGGTTTATTGGAGATAGGAGTCTCACGGTCTCTCCTGCCCAGGCTGGCTTTGAACCGCGATCCTCAGATCTCAGCCTCCTGAGTAGCTAGGATTACAGGCGTGAGCCACCAGCGCCCGGCTGTAGAAGATATTTTTATTTATCATGACACTGAAAGAACTAGAAACTAGCTGATCTAAATTTTGAAAACAGATACAAAAACTTTTAATTATCTCCACAAACATTGGTTTATATAATATAAAATTAACAGAAAATCTTCCCGAGTTTTATTAAATTCAATACTCTTTCAATATTAGTATGGATCTAAAGCTCATAGTGAAATAAGAATGAAGGAACTTTACCTCTTTCTGTTGTAGCTGATTTCGGTAACTTGTAGATTGTTGCTTTATTTGAAGCTCTGATGCTTCATGCTTTTCTTCTAGATCAGTACAAAGTTTTTTAAGTCTTTCATTCTAGAAGAAAAACATACTGTCAACAAGAAGACTACAAGCCAAACACATTAGTAATGTGATATGCACAGCATCATGAATGTACTGCTTCACATAAGAAAGTGATGTAGCCGGGCACCAGGGACTCACGCCTGTAATCCTAGCTACTCAGGAGGCTGAAATATGAGGATCGAGGTTCAAAGCCAGCCCAGGCAGGAATGTCCATGAGACTCTTATCTCCAATAAACCATCAGAAAATCGGAAGTGGCGCTGTGGCCCAAGTGGTAGAGTGCTTGCCTTAAGCTGAAAATCTTAGGGATAGCACCCAGGCCCAGAGTTCAAGCCTCATGACCAGAAAAAAAAAAGTGATGTAAAGTATAAGATCTCAGACAGAATTCTGGCCTTTAACAGCAATGAATGAGAAAGGAGGCTGCTGGTGGAGAAAGGCCCTGGTGCAGGGAAGGCAAGGGGATTTCACTTTGGAAATGTCACTTTTGTCTTAGATCCTAGGAGCTTCTGACATTCACAGAGATGAAAATTAAGATCCAGTGGGATTATATAAAATCCCCAGAGAAAAGCAAATAATAAAGCACATTAAAAACTTTCCTTTAGTACTCTATCTCTAGAAATCTGTCAAAGACTTGAAGAAAGAGTAATAAGAACCGTCATACAACCAATTATCATCCATTCTACTAGCAAACTGTGAATGAATTCCTGTGAGCTGATAATTAAAAAAAAACAAAACCCAAAAACCTGCACCTAACTGACTTCAGTATACTGAAGTCAAAATCAGATTCTTGCTAGGCATAGTGGCTCACACCTGTAATCCTAAATTACTGAGTAGGCTAAGATCTAAGGATCTCACTTCAAAGCCAGCCTGGGCAGGAAAGCCCATGAGATTCTTATCTCCAATTAACCACCCAAAAAAAATCCCCCACAAACAAACAAACAAAAAAACTGAAAGTGGTAAAGCATTACCTTTGAGCCATAAAGCTCAGAGAAAGTGCCCAGTCCCTAAGTTCAAATCCCAGGACCCTCCAACACACATACAAAAAAACCAGTTTATGGGGCTGGGAAGGCGGCTCAGTGGTAGAGCACTTGCCTTGCATGCATGAGGCCTTGGGTTCAATTCCTCAGCACCACATAAGCAGAAAAAGCTAGAAGTGGCACTGTGGCTCAAGTGGTAGAGCACTAGCCTTGAGCTGAAGAGCTGAGGGACAGCGCCCAGGCCTAGAGTTCAGGCCTCACAACCAGCAAAAAAAAAACCCAAAAAACCAAAAAACAGTTTCTAAAGGGAAGGAGAGAGAAGGGTGGGAAGAAGGGAAGAAGGAAGGGAGGGAGGGAGGAAAGAAGGAAGGAAGGAAGGAAAGATGGAAGGAAGGAAGGAAAGATGGAAGGAAAGATGGAAGGAAAGAGGGAAGGAAGGAAGGAAGGAAGGAAGGAAGGAAGGAAGGAAGGAAGGAAGGAAGGAAAGATGGAAGGAAGGAAGGAAGGAAAGAGGGAAGGAAGGAAGGAAGGAAAGAGGGAAGGAAGGAAGGAAGGAAGGAAGGAAGGAAGGAAGGAAGGAAGGAAGGAAGGAAGGAAGGAATAGGATCTTCAGACAGTGAGAGCAGAACATGAGAGCAAGCACAGAGTTCTTGCAAGCTTGGGTTTCAGTGTAAATGCACGAGGCAGCCACTCACCCTGCAACTCATTGAAGTGCAAGATCTTGGAAATCAACTATTGTGAGTCTCATACATATTTCTATCACTGATGCAAGTGTCTATTAATGAGAAAAAAGTACTACTATGTTGAAGCTTTCATTCACAACTATGCTTAGTGTTCTGTAGAATAACCAAGCATGCTGTCTACTGTCTTCATTTTTGTTAGGTGAAATGTACTGTTGAAACTCAACACCCAACTTAAGGTTTTCCTTCAAAGCCTGGTTGCGAGGGCCTTGAGGACTGATTTAACTTCCCCCTCCCATTACCCTAATAAATATTTTGTTGCTTGGTTAAAAAAAAAAAAAAAAAAAAAAACAGTTTCTAAAAGTCTAAAAAGGCTTAGTAAAACACAAAACTTTAAATGTGCTTGATATCTGCATGGATGTCTGCTCTCATCCCTGGCTATATAAAACTGAGAAAATATACAAATAATACATTCTTTTTAGGTGGTAAAACTCATAACATACTGAGACTTGTCAGGGGCCATATTTTCTTCCTTTTTTTTCTTCCTTTTCTTCCTTTTGTTTTATTGAGACGGGGCCTTGAACTTGCTTTGTATCCCAGGCTGGCCACCAACTAGTCATCCTCCTGCCTCAGTCTTCTGACTGCTGGATTACAGGTAAGACTCTATTTTCTTTTTTTTGGGTCCGGTCGTGGAGTCTGAACTCTGGGCCTGGGCGCTGTCCCTCAGCTCTTCAGCTCAAGGCTAGCGCTCTACCACTTGAGCCACAGCGCCACTTCCGGCTTTTTTCTTTTTGCTTATGTGGTGCTGAGGAATCGAACCCAGGGCCTCATGCATGCAAGGCAAGCACTCTACCACTGAGCCATCTTCCCAGCCCAAGACTCTATTTTCTAATGTATGAAATATAGAACAGAGGACACTGATTTGAAAGGAGGCAAAAATAAATTAACATAAAGAAGAGCAGAAACGAATATGAGAAAGACACTCCTGCTGGGGATATTGGTATATTCCTATAATCCTAGCTACTTGGGAAGTACAGGCAGGAAGACAGAAGTCAGGATCAGTGTGGGAAAAGTTAGCAAGACCCTATCTTGAAAAAACAAAATACAAAGAAAAGGGCTAGGGGCATGATAGAATGTTAACCTAGCTTGCACCAGGCCCTTGGTTCAATCCAGGAAGATAGAAGAAGGAAGGAAGAAAAGCAAGGGAGAAGAAGAAGGGAGAGAGAGGGGGAAGTAGAAAGAGAAGGGAGAGGGAGAAGGAGATGAGAAGAGGGAGTAGGGGAAGAAGAGTGGGAGAAAGACTCCTGGTGCCTACATTTCTGGTTGCAACCCCTTTCTAAAGTCTGGTTACACTCCTGATCTCAGGAGTCCATGACACAATCACAACCCAAAGTAACCAATTCTGTTTAAGAAGCCAACTTCAGTTTTTGGTGTGTTTTTTTTTTTGTTGTTGTTTTTTAATAATCAGTCCTAATTAGTTGCAAAAATGGAAATTTACCACTTTTATATTTTTTTTTCTTTGTTAATTCTGGGGCTTGAACTCAGCACTGTGAACTCTCAGCTTCTCTCACTCAGCTTTTGGGCCCACAGCTGCTGCTCTACTATTTGAATCACATCTCTACCTTGGCATTTTTCTGACTAATTGGAGATTGAGTCTTGTAGATTTTTCTGCCTGGGCTGGTCTTGAATCATGTTCTTCCAATCACAACCTTCTGAGTAGCTAGGATGACTACTTATCTTTTCCTAGAGGTCTTCCAACAGCAAAGTTTGCCTATCTTTTTGAATAGCATAAAACTCATTCTCTCTTGGCAATTACCATAGGATATATTACATTTCTAAATCTAATAATCATGGGATTATTTATTTTACTGACTGTCTCTTGAAACATTTTCCTGTTTTATAATTTGATAATTATTTCATCATTATTCATCAAGTATTTCCAACTATGTTAAACAAAAGAAACCGAAAACCAAAAACAGAGGCTCAGTGGAAGAGCACCTGCCTGGCAAGCGCAAGGCCCTGAGTTTGGTCCTCAGCTCTAGAAACAAAAAACAAACAAACAAAAAAACAGTAAGAAAATATAGCTAGGCACCATTGACTCATCTGTGTAATCCTAGCTTAGATTTCATAGTTCAAAGGCAAGCCTTGGCAGAAAAGCTTAGAACTAACTCATATGGCAGGAAATGAACCTATTTCAAAGAAAATTACCAGCAGGAAATAGGACTGAAGGCATGGCTCAGTGGTTAGAGTGCATACCTAACAAGTACAAGGACCATAGTTCAAATACTAATATTGCCCAAAATAAAAGAAAGAAAACAGAAGATCCAAGGAATCACTGAGAAGAATACTGCAATAGTGAAACAACCAGTTTTCTGCTGCTCTGCCTAACATATTGCATCATCTTTTAAAAAGGATAGCAATTGGGCTGGGAAGGTGGCTCAGTGGTAGAGCACTTGCCTTGCATGCCTGAGGCCCTGGGTTCGATTCCTCTACCTATTAATATCTGGAAGCAAATTTAATTTCCTTTCGGAACACATAGCCTTCCTCCTATACCAACACCTTCTAAATAGAATGTTCAACCATATCACCTTATTCTTTTGTAGCAGTGATATTGAACAGGAATAGACTCATTCATTCACATAAGGCTAAGGAATAGTTTATGAAGCAAGAATCGCATAAGGTTAAAATTAACTAGGAAAAAAAGCCCTTAGTCGAGCTTGTTGATATATGCCTATAATCCCACTACTGAATGAGGAGGTAGAGGCAGGAGAAATCTTGAGTTTGAGGCTAGTCTGGACAAAGCTAGAAGAACCTGTCTCAAAAACAAAAACAAAAGGGGCTAGTAGTGCAACTCAAGTAGTAAAGCTACTTGCCTAGTGTGCCTGAAGCCCTAAGTTTAATTTTTTTGTGTGTGCACACATACACAAAAAGGCCCTGTTACTCTCTAGTATTTGAGCTCATGCTACTTTGTATAAGCAACAAATGAGGAAGCTGGCTTGCACAGGGATCTGTTTTACCAAAAGTAAGTATTCCCCAACATTAGGATCAACTTGTCCTAATCCAGTAACACTGGACTATAAAGGAGCCATAAGCAACAGGAGAGAAGAGTCTGAAAACAGAGCAGTTATTCACTGAGCAGGCTAACCTACCCACCTTTCCCTCCACCAATGGCAAATTTACCTGAGTTAATGCTGCTGTTTAACTTTCCTAAGTGGGTCAGGAACAGTGCTTTCTCAAGCATTTCCAAAAAACTATTGAGTTCATCCATCACTAGAACACCTACTCATACTAGTAATTACTGTTAAGATCTCCAACTGCCACCAAACTGCTATCTTCTACAGTCAGAGACTAATATAATAGAGGTCCCTCTACTTTCAAATTCCACAATCTCACCTTAATTCTTGAGAACAGAGTTCAACAATGCTGGTCAGTAGCTATTTTCTCCAAAATTATTCCAGTGTTGTCTTTTATACTTAGTAAAAGAAACATGCTGACCACAGTCCCTGAGATTACCTTTTCCTGCAGTACTATTACTAAGTGTACTCTCATTGCTCCTATTCCAAGGCAGAATAGTGCAGTTCTTTTTTTTTTTTTTTTGGGGGGGGGGGGGTGGGTCTGGTTGTGCGGCCTGAACTCTAGGTGCTGTTCCTCAGCTCTTCAGCTTAAGGCTAGTGTTCTACCACTTGAGCCACAGCGCCACTTCCGGCTTTTTTCTTTTTGCTTATGTGGTGCTGAGGAATTGAACCCAGGGCCTCATGCATGCAAGGCAAGCGCTCTACCACTGAGCCACCTTCACAGCCCAATAGTGCAGTTCTTTACCAGAGTTCCCATTCTGAAAGACTTTCCTTTATGGCTTTCCTGTGAACCCTGCCCAAGATGTCTTCATTCTTATTAAGCAGAATTAGTCCTATTAGTCCAGAATTAGTCATGACTAGATATCAACTAATCACAACCAAAACATAAAATTAATTTGACATTCTTAACTTCTTTGTATCCATTTTTCAAGCACCAAAATATGTATAACAACTTAAAATAAAATGTTTCATATCTCCTTTCATGAAACAGCAGCAGCAAGAGATGGTAAGTGTTGGAAAGTCTCTTCAGAACATGATATTCTGATGACTAATAAGAACACCTGAACCTCTGCACAGGTGGACTTCCTTTACTCCTAGGTTCCCTTGACTGCTTCTCCTCTTTAACTCTCTTCAGTCACTATGCTTGTGAACCTATTCAGGCACTTAAAGTTACAAAGTCTTGAAGGCAGAAGAAGGTGTCTTAACATTTGCAGGCATAAAGAACTAAAGTATATCATCATATCAAATGAAGAACTGACAATGCTATCATATAACAATGTGGACAGAACATTGACCAAAAGTAAACTGCATCTTCAAAACACTGTCTTTGTTGGGCCAGGTCTTTTCTTTTTAGACCAGTACTTCAATAATGTTATACATGAATATATTTTTCAATTTTCTTTAAATATAAGATCTTCTTATGAGCCCAGGGCTGATGGCTCATGCCTGTAATCTTACTCAGGAGGCTAAGATCCCAGGACTGCTGTTCAAGGACAGCCCAGGCAGGAAACTCTGGGAAATTGTTATCTCCAATTAACTATCAAAAAGCTGGAAACACAGCTGTGGCTCAAGTGGTAGAGTGCTAACCTTGAGCCAAAAAGCTCAAGGACAGCCCTCAGGCCCTGAATTGAAACCCCAGGAATGGTACAAAACAAACAAACAAAAAAGAACAGAAAGTATAAATACCTCTCATGGTTTCAAAAAACAAATCAAATTTTGATAATCTTTTTCTTACCTCTGATCTTAAGATTGCATGAATGGCTTCAATTTCCCTTCTCCCAGAATTAGGTAAGTCTGTTACAAAAAAACAAAACAAAACAAAACAGTATAAATTAAATACTTGATAAGCACTATCACTATATGGAGAGAGAGTCAGAGAAGGATAGGAGAGAAAGAGAGAGACAGAGAAAGAGATAAAGAGAGAGAGAGAGAGAGAGAGAGAGAGAGAGAGAGAGAGAGAGAGAGAGAGAGAGAGAGAATGTTTATGTATTGAACCCAGGGCCTTGCACATGCTAGGCTACATTTCTGCCTCATAGCTTTATCCTCAGCCTTACACTGGCATTTTAAGGAAAATACACTTCACTGAGTTTAGACTGAATAGTAGGCTAATATGAGAGCAAATTCAGAACACACCAGTCATTTCACTTTCATCACAACTATCCTGGCCACTAATGTTCTTCATTGTCACATAGATCATTCTCTTTGCTGATCTCTTATAGATATCTACCCCTTGGAATTTGTTAAAAATGTAGGGACAGAGTTGGGAAGGTGGCTCCGTGGTAGAGTGCTTGCCTTGCATGCATGAGGCCCTGGGTTCAATTCCTCAGCACCACATAAGCATAAAAAGCTGGAAGTGGCACTGTGGCTCAAGTGGTAGGGTGCTCACCTTGAGCTGAAGAGCTGAGGGACAGAGCCCAGGTCCAGAGTTCAAGCCCCATGACCAACAACAATAACAGCAAAAATGTAGGGGCAGAGCACTAGTAGCACATCTATAATCCTAGCTACTCAGGATCCTTATTTTCAATTTTCAATCCCAATACTAATTATGACCTCTGCACAAATATCCAAAATACACTGAGAACACTTATTTAAAATAACAGGGACAATTCATTAAAAGTGGAATAGGCTCACTCTGCTGGCACATTTTCATTTAAAAGCAGTTAGAGCTCAGCAGTGCAAAAATGGCACTATCGATCGTGTCAGGAAATCATTCACAGAGTTACAATCTCAATTTCTTCTTTTTTATATGTTTTTTATTGTAAAAATACTGTTTAGAGAGGTTACAGTTACATGAGTACCTTGATTTCTTTTGTTACTAGTGTTTTTACCCCTTTACTCATAGCACTTTACAAAAAAGCCTTCTCTGGGTCAAGAGTGATGGTAGATGTCTGCAATTTCTGCACTTGATAGGCAGAGACCAGGATTACATAATAAAGCCTCGTCTGAGAAATAATCAACTAATCAAAATAACTCCTCTGAACTACAGTTAAAATAAGAAAAGAATACAAGTGGTATACTTATTTCTGGGCATACCTGTAATCCTAGCTACTCAGAAGGCTAAGATCTGAGAACTGTGATTTGAAACTAGCCAGGAGAGAAAAGTCTGAGATTCTTATCTCCAGTTAACCAGCAAAAAGCTGGAAGTGTAGCTGTCCTAAACTGGTAGCGCACTATCCTTGAACAATAAAACTAAGGGAAAGTGCCCTGGTCCTGAGTTCAAGCCTCAGTACCAGAACTTTTAATTTTTTTAAGTGACATTATCTATGGTAACAAACACACTCTTTTTGTCTTGAAAATAATCAGGTAGGGTTACTTTTGTGGTTGAAGGTACATTTTGTTTGAAACTCAGCAAGGACTAATTACTACTCTGAAGAGGACAAAGTATAATCTAGTCTTCACAGGAAAGTAATCGCTAATATCAGCAATTGTTTCAAGGTTTAGATTAGACCACCCCTCTTTCTCTTTAGCTATTCTCCTTCCTCCAGCTAAAAAGTATCCTACCTTTGTTTATGGTGCTAGGAATGAACCCCAGAGCCTCATACATGCCAGGTAGGTGCTCTAGCACTAAGCGTTATCACCAGCCCCCAATTTCTGGACTTTTAAAGTAAAGGGAAGATATCTTGAAAACAAATTCTGATTTCTCTGTGGGGGAAAACATAATATCCATTTTAGTACTTGTTAACTGCTAAGTACAATTCATTTTATACTCATGAGTTTATTTAATTCTCAAACACTACAACTGGTAAGATTGTTCCTTTTTAATAGATAAGAAAACTGATTTTTAGAGGTTAGGTATCTAATAATTTGCCCCAATTCCCACAACTTGTAATGTGCTTAGAATTTCAACCCATATCGATCTAATTTAAAAGCCCAAGCTGTCAACCTTGACTACTTCAATATAGTGTTGGTAGAATAGTGACCTACTATTGTAAAGATGGATGGTTTTCACAAAGTACCAATAGCGCTACTTTGAAATTATTTCCTTTTTCATTTCTGCCACAATTAGGAACTCTAAATGCTTGCTGGATAAATGAACTGTAGTCTACCTTTCCAATGTTAAAATAAAGTAATAAAATAAGCCATTAAACAATACAAAAGGAAAATAGCTTTGTAGATCAAGATAATTACAATTTGCATTGTGAAGGTTAAAATGTGTTGGTGAGCCTGGTGCTGGTGGCTCACACCTGTAATCCTAGTTACTCAGGTGGCTGAGATCTGAAGATGGCAGTTCAAAGGCAGCCCAGGCAGGAAAGTCTGTGAGACTCTTAACTCCAATAACTCACCAGAAAACAGGAAGTGGCGCTAGTGGCTCAAGTGGTAGAGTGCTAGCCTTGAACAGAAGAGCTGAGGGACAGCACTCAAGCCCAGAGTTCAAACTCCACAACCGGGAAAAAAAAAATGTGTTGGTGACTTTAGCTAAGAATCAGTATACCATAATACTGTGAAATTTATAATTACTTAATCTCAACAAAGAAATTAAAAAAAATTAACATTTAGTCTGAAAGAGTTAAATTTAGCCATGATTATCTTAGAATTGAAATTGAATGTTCTTTTCTGGTCATAATCAACCTTAAGGTCTAACACTGTTAAGGACCAAGGACAAAGCAATTTTAATAAAGTGCCATAGATTTTTCTCAAAAGCAAAATGAAAACAGCAAGCAGCTTAGCAGATTTCAGATCACTCACTCCCATAATTTCTATTGAACATGTATGCATCAAAGCACATGTAAGAGTAAAAAAAAAATTCACAGTCCCCACTCTGGGTATAGAGGGATGATAAATCATAACTCAATATGGTAAGTACTACAGAGAAGGGTCATAAAGTTCTGCCAATCAACTCAACTTATATCGAAGTCAGAATGATCTCACCAAGTATTTGATAAGTAAGCAGTCATATGTTCCAGGCAAATGAGGTTGAAGCAGTCTTTTCAGGCAGAGGCTTGGAATTACGTAAATACATAACAAAGTTCAATAGAGCAGAAGCTGTGAGTACAAACTTGTATATGTGAGTGTACATAGTTGTGGCAACCAAAAGAGACTGAACCCAAGTTTAGTCCTTGATCTCTCAAAACTTAAGAGATCTAGATTTTATTCTGTAAATAAGAGTTCAAGAAATGTTTATCCTAAGCATTTTCTTTTTCTTTTTTCCTTTTTGGTTGGTCATTGGGGCTTGAACTCTGGGCTTGGGCGCTGTCCCTGCACTCTTCAGCTCAAGGAGAGTGCTCTACTACTTGAGCCACAGTGCCACTTATGGTTTTCTACTAGTTTATTGGAGATAAGAGTCTCACAGACTCTCCTGCCTGGGCTGGCTTTGAACCGCGATCCTCAGATCTCAGTCTCCTGAGTAGCTAGGATTACAGGCATGAGCTACCAGCGCCAGGTTCTAAGCATTTTCTATCAAACTACTTTTCTCAATTTCAACTAAATACTAGCCATAATTTTTTAAAATAGGTGTTGAGGTACAGCTATGTGGCAGAGATGGTTATTTAGCATGTTTTGAAGTGCTGAGTTCAATCCCCAGTACCCTTCTCTAAGAAAAATTAAACAGAATGCTAATTTATTAACTTATAAGAAATAAAACTGGATGTGGCACTGTGGCTCATAGGAGTGCTAGCCTTGAGCAAGCTCCCATTTCCCCACAACCAAAAAAATAAATAAATAAACGTTCTCTTGGGCACCAGTGGCTCATGCTTGTAATCCTAGCTATGCAGGAGGCTGAGATATGAGGATCCTAGTTCAAAGCCAGCCCAGGCAGGAAAGTCTGTAAGATTCTTATTTCCAATAAACCACCAGAAAACTGGAAGTGGCGCTGTGGCTCAAGTGGTAGAGTGCTTGCCTTGAGCCGAAGAGCTGAGGACAGTGCCCAGACCCAGAGTTCAAGCCTCACAACTGACAATAAATAAATAAATTCTAATAATAATAATAAAAGGAAGGCTGGGAATGTGGCTTAGTGGTAGAGTGCTTTCATTCATCAGTATCACAGACACAGAAAAAGCCAGAAGTGGCGCTGTGGCTCAAAGTGCTAGCTCTTTAGCAAAAGAGCTCAGGGACAGTGTCCAGGCCCCGAGTTCAAACCCCAGGACTGGCAAAAAAAAGGAAATAAAATTGTTAAGGTGGGAGATGTACCTCAAGTGGTAAACCTGTGGTTCAATCCCCAGTATGTTAAAAAAAATTTTTTTAAATAAAATTATCTTGAAGAAGAGAGGCAGGAAGAGTGACAGAGGGGTTGAGATTGATTAGAATACACTGTAAATGTGTGAAATGCAACAAGCGAATACCCTCCTGTATAACTAATGTAAACTAATTTTAAAAAGAAAGAAAAAGAGAGAGGAAAGAGAGAAAGAAAAGGAAAGGCATTTTCTAAAAGACCAGTCCAATATTTCCCTGGAGACAGACCTTGACTGAAATTTTCAAAACTCCCCACTACAGATGAATGGATCCCAAAACCGTTGTACCTATATACAATGGATTATTATGCAGCCATTAGAAAGGGACAGGGAAATGGATGGAACTAGAACAAATCATCTTGAGCGAGGTAATCCAAGAGCAGAGACAAATAATGGCACATGGTCTCTCTGATATGTGGATGTTAAATTCAAAATGCAAGGAGATATGACAAAGTAAACAGGACTCAAGAAACAAAGGACCTCTACTTAATTTTGTCGTATTATTTCTAAATGACTCCATGTTCTTGACCACATATATACACACACACACACATACACATATCTGAGGGAAACTAGGAGGGCACAGAACCAGAGGGAAACAAGTGAAAACGTACAACAGAGGGGCCCATCAGCTGCACTGGACATTGACGAAAACAAACTACACAACTCAAGGGCAGAGATAGGAGGGACAGAATGAGAGGGAAAGAGAACAGCTTACACTAAGCAAAAGGAAAGAAAAGCTCATATCTCCCGATGTGGAAGAAATAGTTGTAAAAGCTCATAGAATTCACAAACTTTATAGACCATGATAATGACAATTTGCCTTGTGAAGGTTAAAATGTGTTTGTGAGAGGGAGGGAGGGGATGGTAGGGGGAAAACAATGGAGGGGGGTAACAATGTTCAAGAGGAAGTGTACTCATTACCTCACTCATGTAACTGTAACCCTCTGTATAGTATCTTTACAATAAAAAAAATAATAAAAAATAAATAAAAAATAAAAATAATAAAATAAAATGTGTTTGTGAAATTTGTGAAATATATGTAATCACTTCATCTCAAAAAATATTATTAAAAAAATTTTTTTTCAAGCCGGGCGCTGGTGGCTCACGCCTGTAATCCTAGCTACTCAGGAGGCTGAGATCTGAGGATCACAGTTCAAAGCCAGCCCGGGCAGGAGAGACCGTGAGAATCCTATCTCCAATAAACCACCAGAAAATCGGAAGTGGCGCTGTAGCTCAAGTGGTAGAGCGCTCGCTTTGAGCTGAAGAGCTGAGGGACAGCGCCCAGGCCCAGAGTTCAAGCCCCACGACCGACAAAAAAAAAATAAATAAATTTTCAGCCAGGCACCAGCGGCTCACGCCTGTAATCCTGAGGATCATGGTTCAAAGCCAGCGCGGCAGGAGACTCTCATCTCCAATAAAACACTCAGAAAACCGGAAGTAGCATTGTAGCTCAAGTGGGAGGGAGCGAGCTTGCCTTGAGATGAAGAGCTGAGGGACAGGGCCCAGGCCCAGAGTTCAAGCCCCCAACCGACAAAAAAAAAAAAAAGTTTTTTTCAAAACTGTTACTTTGGTGGTGCTGGATTTTTAAACTCAGGGCTCTCCGATTTGCGGGCTAGTGCCTACCTCTTCGGTACCCTCGGGGGTACGCCCCCCATCTCTAGGCAACAGTTAAAAGAGTCCTATAGGTTATGCCCAGTGCTTCCTGCATAGCTGAACGGCAGCCTCCAAGACCCCAAACCCAGCTTCGCTTCCGACCTGGTCTCAGTAACTTTTCACTTGGAGTGGCCTTGAACCTACATCCCAACTTTTGGCCTCCCTATGAGTAACTAGGATTACAGGCCTGAGCCACTGCACTCAAGACAATTTGAAAAATTCTATTGAGCCATACACTACGTGCTGAAATGTCAAGGAACCAAAATAGTAATTAATCACTGATGATCATGTAATTCTAGGTTATTATTCAATCGTAAAACAAGATATGCGGACTTAAAATGAATGGATGGTAGAGATACCCAAACGGTAAGAATATCTTCCCTATTCTGTTTAAATAAGGAGAAATGGGCAATCACATACAAAAATCCTTTCCAGCATCGTGATCCCGATAAGCAAAAGCATAAATCATCTGAATAGAAAAACAGCCATGTTTCCCGGACCAATAATATGCGCAAGACAGGGCAACAGTCATCAAATGTTTTAATTGCGAGTTACTTTAACTGTTACAAAATATAAGAAAAAAAATGCAAGTGATTGTCTTCAAAAACAAACGAGTCAAAATAAAGGAAGTCAATCAGAGCAGATCCGCCCCCAAACGGAGGGCAAAGTCAGAGATCAGCACGCCCGGATCTAAACAAAACTAAAAGCGTCGGGCGTCGGGGTCGTTCCGCGGCACTCAGACTCATCCAGAGTCCCTCTTATTCAAAGGAGGGGAGCCAGCCCTCTTCCCGGGAAGCCAGGCCCTTCCTCACGGAAACCCGGCTCGGAGGAGCGCCAAGAGAAAAGGGCGGCGTGTCACCGCTGGACGGCCCGTCCACGTCTCCTGACAGCTGGAAGTGGGGACCAAACGGACGTGGCCCGGGTCTCCCCCACCCCCCGGGCCGCCCCCGCCCGCCCCCGCGGTACCTTCCGCCTCCTCCGTCCCCTCCAGCAGCATGTCCTTGGTGAAGTTGGAGATCTGGCCCGTGAGCGAGGCCAGGCTGCCCCCGACCTGACCCAAGGACTGGCCCAGGCCCGAGCCCAGGCCCCCGAGCCAGGACGCCATCGCCGCTGCGGCAGTGGGGGGCGGCCCGGCCCGCTCCGCGTCGTCGGACGTCACGCCCCGGGCCCTCCGGCCGCGGCAGGCGAGCCCGGGCACAGCTCCGGGTTCCAGGGCCGAATTCGAGCTCCTAGCAACGGCCGGGTTCTGCCTGGAAAAACAGGAGTAAGCCGGCCGGGGGCTTCAGCGGAGGGCCGCCGCCAGTGACGGAGACACCCTCGCGGGGCTCCGTCTCATTCCCTCGGCTCCTCGCCGTGCGAGCTGCGGGGCGGGAGGGGGGGTTCCTGGGTTTCAGCGACTCTCCCCAGTCCTGAGGGCTCGTCCTGCCAACTCGACGCCCGCCGCCATGACACCACTCGGCCAGCGGCCAGGGACCGTCGAGACGCGCGGCCAGGGTGCAGAGGGGCCTGGCGCCGGCGCCGGAAGTGTCCTTGGCGCAAGGAACTGTGGGATTGTGGAGAATCGAGTGAGGGCAGCCCGGGCCTGGAGGACTCCTAGAGCAAAACCGGGCTGAAGGTGTAGCCGGAGGGCCGGCGCAGCGGCGACCTCCTTGGGCGTCCGGGGAAATTCCTGAGGACCGTCGTGTTGTTGAAACCTAACTGATTTTATCCACTGTAAGAGGGCGGAGGGGGAGACATGGCCGGGTCATTCCACCCGTTACCTATCCCACGTCAGTCTGTCGTTCCTCCTGCCCAGGGGCCGCTCTGTTCCGGCCGCGGAGGGAGAAATCAAAGTGTTTCAGAGAGTTGGCTGCAAACCCTAGGGTCCAAGGTTGGGAAGGTGGCTCTGGGGTAGAGTACTTGCCCAGCATGCGGGAAGCCTTGGGTTCGATTCCTCAGTACCACATAAACAGAAGGAGCTGGAAGTGGCGCGGTGGCTTAAGTGGTATAGAGTGCTAGCCCCGAGCAAAAGGAGCTCAGGGACAGTGTCCAGGCCCTGAGTTTGAGCCCCAGGACTGGCCAAACAAAACCCAAAGGTCCAGGCAGGGCACACCTGGAGGGGGCGGGGTCGGTCCCTGAGCTCCCCCAAGCCCCCCCCACCCCCACACACACACCAAACACACACTTGAGCCACAGGTCCTCTTTTTAATTGGAAAGTCTCATAGACTTCCCTGCGCAGGCTGGCTTCCAACCATGATCCTCACATTTCAGCTTCCCGATTAGCTAAGATTACAGCGAGAGGCATAGGTGCCGATCAACAGGAACACCATTTTTATTGATTAGCTATATAGTAGAAATCTGCTCTGGTATCTTTCCAGATCACAATTAAAACTTTTTGTCTTCTTTCATGCCACTGATGGGAGATTTTTGGGGTTCCACCTCAGCTTCCCAGTTTTCCACTCAAAATCACAGGTCCTTGGGATCCACTTTTTGTGAGGAAAAAGTCTCACAAGGTGTAAAGTTTAGCAAGGAGTTTAGTATACTATAAAGAAGGAAGAAACAGAAAAGACAAACACTCTGGTTCCCTGCTCCCACACTAAGACTGGAGGTGGGAATTCAACTTGAGTCTTCTGTAGTCTTTATACTTTCTGAGCTGGCTGAATACATGTGATCCTCTCTCCTATCAATTCCTAATCCTTAGATGGTGGCTGTGGGTGGGTAAGATGGATAGTTTATTATTTATTTTTATTTTTGCCAGTTGTGGGGCTTGAACTCTGGGCCTGGGTGCTCAACTCTTCAGTTCAAGGCTAGTGCGCTCTTCTACTTCAGCCACAGGGCCACTTCTGGCTTTTTCTGCTTATATGGTGCTGAGGAATCGAACCCAAGGCCTCATGCATGCAAGCACTCTACCACTGAGCCAACTTCCCAGCCCCGGATACTGTTTGTTCTACAGTAAGGAAATGTATCTGGGCCTATATAACACACAAGGGCAGTAGATGAATTTCAAGCTTCCTTTCTTCAAACAGGCTTATATTTCTGTCTCTCCCTATACATGCAGAGTTTGCAGCTTTTTACTATTTTAATGGTGAAGGGAGATGCCCAAAGCTTTTCTTTTATCTCCTGTCATTGTAACAAGATCTAGAACTAGCTACAGTGAGAGGGGAGCTTAACACTTTCCTCAGTTAATTCTGCCTATCCTGCCTCACATTCATGGGCTTTTTCACAAAGTAAACCTCCATGAAGTTTATGAAACATAACCTTTTTTCAGCAGGGCAACTTAATAGACAAGACCTTTTAATATTACTTTTTATTCCGGTTGTGGGGCTTGAACTCTGGGCCTGGGTGCTGTCCCTGAGCTCTTCAGCTTAAGGCTACTGTTACACCACTGGAGCCACAGCACAACTTCTGGTTTTCTGGTGGTTTCTTCTAGATAAGAGTCTCCTGCCTGGGCTGGCTTTGAACTGTAATCCTTATATCTCTTTTTTTTTTTTTGTCGGTCGTGGGGCTTGAACTCTGGGCCTGGGCGCTGTCCCTCAGCTTTTCAGCTCAAGGCGAGCGCTCTACCACTTGAGCTACAGCGCCACTTCCGGTTTTCTGGTGGTTTATTGGAGATAGGAGTCTCACGGTCTCTCCTGCCCGGGCTGGCTTTGAACCGCGATCCTCAGATCTCAGCCTCCTGAGTAGCTAGGATTACAGGCGTGAGCCACCAGCGCCCGGCTGATCCTTATATCTCATCTAGGATTACAGGCATGAGCCACTGGCATCCAGCTTAGACAAGACCTTTTAATGTCACCACTCCTATGATACTACAGGCACTAGCTGTGAAAACGCCACTACTCCCACAATCCACACACACTGGCTGTGGAAACGTCAGCACCCAGCTTGTTTGCTTTCCTCACTGATGGAAGAAAAGTTGTCATGGGTTTCCAGTAGTTGGACATGTGGCAGCTGCCAGGAAAACTACCACAGTTTTGTGGTAGTGCATTTCTGTAGGCATAGCTCAAAATATAATGGCATCTGTCTGATTTTATTCACAGGAGGGGGCTGTGTCGATTACATCATATGACACAACATTGGTAGTGCCTTCAGTATTTGGAATGTGATTGTACTGTTATGCCAAGGTCGCAGGACCCCCACAAGAAGACCACCGAGAGTCAGACTCTACAGCTGTTTTTTTTAAACGGGCTGCAGCTCGGGCCTCGTCCTACACTCCGACATAGCGGAGCCTAGGAGGAGAGCCCCGAGCTAAGGATTTGCAGGTCTTATAAAGGCACACAATCAACCAGGTGTTTTTTTTTTTAATTTAATTTTATTTGTGAACATACTGTACAGAGGGGTTACAATTACATGGGCAGGATAATGTGTACATTTCTTACCAAGCATTGCAGCCTCCTCCTTTGGTTTACCCTTCACATCCCTTCCCAGCCTCTCCCCCCCAATCCTTCTCCTCCCCCCCCCCCCCCCACACCGACGTTGTAAAGCTCGTTTTGGACATGACAACTTGTACTTCTCATTGTTGCAACAGGTCCACCTGTATCCTTAAACAACTGGTTTTTCCCCATCTCCTCCACAAGTTATACAACCAGGTGTTTTGATTACCACCACGTGTTGCTTTGCTAGACAGAAACAAGCAACACATAGTGGTCACTGCCTCAAACTTCAACCTTTCAGTACCAGGCAATAGAGGCTCTCCTGGAAATCTGAACTCTTGTATGAAAATTTGCATCTTTTTCTGGCAGTGCTTATTGTTTTCAGTGAATTTATAGGAAAGTTTCAATAGGGTTAATTGACTGCCCAATTCTGTTAATTCTGTCTAGGAGCTCTTCAGGTTTGTTGTCTCAATCTGACAAGAAAATAAAGAAAAGGACACAAGAAGATGGGGTAAGAAGTCGAGAGCTTTACTATAGGAGCCAAATTCAATATTGTGGCACCTCTCCTTTTCAAGGTCCCAGGCACAAAAGAATGGAACAAATGCTAGTAGCTCAGTGTGCAGGAGTCCTCATGGCAAGGGTTGGCCAATGAAATTTAGGGGCAAGGGTAGCAAAAGGGCAAAGGAAATGAGTCAATGAGTGTCATAGAATGCCTGAGGTGGGAAGACTTGAATTAAGATGTATGAGGAAGCATATAAAGGAAAAATGTCTAAAGTCTAAAGAAGTCAGCTGGAGTGAAATTAGCCATGGTGTAATGTAAACCTTTTGAGTATTTGCTGACACACACACACACACACACACACACACACACACACACACACACACACACACACACACACACACGCACGCACAAAATGGTTTAAAAGTCCTAAAGCATGCAAATCTCTAGAATAAAGGTAACTATTATTTTAATTAATGGGCCTTCAAATCAACTTGTATTTCATGAGGCTCACAGATGAGTATTGAGATCTGAGCCATTTGGTGGCAAACCAGATTCAATGAATTGGTTTTGCTTAGTGCAGAGCTGTATAGTATGTTGAGATAAGGCCTATGAAAAACATTTAAATATTTGTCCCCAATCCTAAGGACTAAATGACACACACCATTATAAATTCTGAGAATATACTCCTTAGTCTCTATGGATTCCAGCTAGTAAATGCCATTTAATTACGAAGGCAGTGCTGAGGGTGCTTTATTAGGTGATTGCGCCATCATGCAGCTATCAACATGTACTTAACAGACCCAGTTGGACCTGTTCAATACAGACCTGGACTATACTTTAATCTTATGAGACTGGTGTTTATGTCATTCATTGTTGACTAAAATGTTTTGTGGCTTAGACTGTTTTACATTTGGATTCTGGTGTCCAGAATTAGATAAAATGAGGCAACACACACTTAAAAAATTGTTCCTATTCCGGGCACTGGTGGCTCACGCCTGTAATCCTACCTACTGAGGAGGATGAGATCTGAGGATTGCAGTTCAAAGCTAACCTAGACAGGAAAGTCTGTGGGACTCTTATCTCCAATTAACCATCAGAAAACCAGAACTAGAACTGTGGCTCAAAGTGGTAGAGGGCTAGCCTTGAGCGAAAGAGCTCAGGGACAGCACCCAGGCCCGTTTAAACCCCACAACTGACTTAAAAAAAAAAATTTCCCCCTAATGTTCTTGTACCTCTCTGAGCTGAAGAACAACTGAGCTAATATTTAAAATCAGATTTCCAATTAAAACGTGAAATTGAGGAAAACTGGTGGAGGAGGAGGGACTAAGGATGTAGCTCAGTGGTAAAGCCCTTGCCTAGCACACAAAAAGCCCTGGGTTTGAACCCCATCATGGTAAAATAAAAAAAGAGAGGACCAGGTGATAATAGACCTTCTGGCAAGCTACTAGAAGCTGCCCTGGCCTGCTTGGTTTATCTCTGCAGCTGGGTTAAGAATGCAATGCTCCCTGGATAGAGAAGCTCCATAGACAATGCTTCTCTCAACTGCCCACCTGCCTTCTGATCCCTTGAACAGCAGAGCTATGGACTCACCAATGATCAACACACAGCAGAAATTAAAAAAGCAAACATTCTCTTTATTTAATAATCTTTGATATTTAAAATACAACTCATTGATCATCCACATCCACAATAGAGCCTTCAACAGTGCTTTGGAAGCCCGGCTTTCAAGGAGTAGAAGTGAGGAAGGCCTGTGTGTGGAGTGACTCCAGGAGAAGGAAGGAAGGAAGGGCAGCAGAGCTGGGTCCTGAGCAAATGGCACTGCCTTGGTGCACTTGTATCAGGGTGAAAGATGATGTGGCTTATCTCGTGTTTTTGCACTTGAATTTCAAATATTTATACAGAAGAGTAAGTCTTAAAAAGTTATTCCTAATAATCCAGTGTTGTAGAAATTAGACAATCACATTTCAAATGTGTTTTCCTCTTTCAAAAAAAAGCATTAAAAATATTCCAGCAAACATTCCACCTCAACTATGCAAGAGACAAATGGTTGCTTCTTAAATCAATTTCCATTCTAATGCTTTTTCTATGAAATCAATCCAGTCCTAAATATGTATCAATTCACCTGTAAACATGCCAATTGCCATAAAATTAGTTATATTGTTAGGATTCTTAAAATGCCAGCTATTTAGGATAAACAATAGCAAAAGTGTTTCTCAAATTATAAAAAAAATCAACATTCAGAAATTATGTCAAATATCTTTTCATTCATGAAAGATTCAAGCAAAACTCTTATTATGTATAAGACTTTGAAAAAACAATAAAAAGCCAGTCTCTTTCTTCAGGAAAAGATGTTATAAAGGGTAAAATTAGAATGAAGGCATTATTTTGAACATGAAACCATGGAAAATTATTCACATTACTGAAACAACCACATGATCCAGTCTGTTTTACCTTTATTAAAAAGTTCACATATATCTTCATACTTGGAACACCCATGAACAATTCACTTGGAAAAGTTTTATTTTCTCTAAGTGCTGAACCAGGAGTTTTGATAAGCTAGGTAAGACTACTACTGAGCTGCCTCCTCAGCTATAAAATTCACATTGAAAACACTAGCTTAAAGCCTCTAATTGCAGATAAAGGTTTTAAGTGTTGTTTATTTGGTGCTGGAGACTGAACCCAAGGCTTTAAGTATGCTAGGCAGGCAAGTGTTCTACTACTGAGTATATCCTCACATCTGCAGATAAAGTTTTTAATAGGAAATTTAAATATTATTGAATCCTCCTAAAAATCTTAAAAGATCAAAATTTTCCAAAGTAAGATTTTTTTTTAATTCAGGGCATAATTAAATTATGCCCCGAATCTTTGGATTTGTACAAGTTCAGTGGGCCAGTTTTAAGTATTTATCTTGGCACTGGCATTAGAGAATTATTCCTATATTTTGAATATAGGCATTCAAAATATGGCCAGAATACATTTTATTATATTCAACTTTGTGCTAAATAAAACAATATAGACACAGTAATTTTGTCAATAATACTCAACTAGTATTCAGCTATCTTTATCATTAACTTTGGCATCATGAATAAAGCCTTCATTAATGAAAACCAAATTTTTAAAGAAAAAAGCACCTCCTTAAAATATTGTGTGAATTGTAAACTATTTGGCCAAGATCATAGAATTTAATGTAGAGTTTGAAGCAGCCCTTTCAACAAATCATTTAATTACTGAACTATTTCTATGTTAATTACTGTAAAAATGTATATTGTTTTCAGAGGTCAACTACTCTGACTTATTTTTTTTTGGGGGGGGGGGTAGGGAGTAAGGTATGTAGTTTTTGTTTTTTTTGCCAGTGAGGGGGATTGAACTCTGAGCCTAGGCTCTGTCCTTGAGCTTCCTTTGTCCAAGGATAATGCTCTACCACTTGAGCCACACAACAACACTCCTGGCTTTTTCTGAGTAGTATATTATTGGAGATAAGCGTCTCATGGACTTTCCTGCCTGGGCTGGCTTTGAACTGTGATCCTCAGATTTCAGCCTCCTACACTAGGATTAAAGGTGTGAGCCACTGGAACCTGGCTTACTCTGAATTTTTAAAATGTAAATTATTCATCACATCCATGACATACAAAAACATGGAAGTGTATTTTCCAAGTTGCTCAATCTTGTAACCCTAACATCATCATTGTACAAATTTAATCCTGGTAAGACAAATTATACATTAGAAAAATGATACCAATAGTTTAAATATTAAACATAAAAGTGTTCCCAATTAGTAAAACAGAATGGAAATTTTTACATGCTTCTTAGCAGGACAGTTTTTCTTGATAGTAGATTTATAAGCAATGGCATTTGTTTCTATTGACTAATCAATTAAAAGAATTGAATCTAAACAGATAAATTAGGCCAAACAAGATGAAGATCAATGGTGATTCCAAATCTGCCTGTCAAATGTAACAGTTTAAAAACAAACTAAACACATTCAAATGTATCCAGTGTATGTTCAGCTCTGCTTCAAAAGCCTCTAATAAAAGTCAACAAGCCATATTTTCTCAATATGACATAATTTTCTTTCCTTTTTAACTGAGATGTATAATATAAAGTTTATAAAACTCTAAAATTAAAACTCTGCATTGCATATTGGCTTTTCCACTTTTATACTAGGTAGCTCATCAAGTATATGAAAGTTTAATGTAATTTTTCAAAGGGAATAAGTAAAAGGCCAAATGTCCATAGAAAATATGATTCACCGTGATAATGACACAAATGTTGAATGATAGCACATTTATTTGCAAGTCTTAGGGAGAGGCACTGAACTCACCCCTAGCAGTTTTAAAGTTTCATGGTTCTTCTGAAACATTTTCAATTGTTGAAAGAAAATCTTAGATTTTAAAAAATAATGTCTGATTTTGTGAGAATAACTTCAGAAAAAATTAATTGGCACAAAACCATGACTAAAAATATCTGTTCTATCCAAGAAAAAGTTATTTTCCTAATCATAAATAAAAATATTTTTTCATCTCTTTTAGTTAGCAATAAATCCTACATCAAAAAACTTTCCCTGATAAAATGTGTGCAGCCACACACCATTAGGGGTAACACACCATACTTATACTTCTTTATGTAGTTGGCGTTAACACATTGTATTTGTACTTCTCTATGTAGTTGGCTGCAATTTCTTCTTGAATTCTAGTTTATGTACAATTCAGCATTTATAAGGGCCTCGAGAAGGGTTGAGCATAAGGGATAGAGAGCAAGTAACAATCTAAAACACCCATTTCAGACAGACATGGTTAATTTTCACCCAAATCATGCCACTGCAATAACCCAGCAAGAAACTTGTATCCCCGTAAAAGAAAGTTTATCAAAATTAAGGACTTTCCTATTTACAAGCTCATTAAGTACTGTGACTTCTACAATTCTTAAGCTATTCAGACATGATGCAAGTGTCAAATTATATTATAAATTTCATTAGTAAATTATTTTCATGTTCCAGATCACCATCTTTGTTTAACTACACTCTAAAAACTGTGAAGCAGATATCTACGTTCCAGGAACCAGTTGTAAACAGAGCACAAAGCTCCAGTCATAGAATAGATCAAATGAACCTACTGCTAACCTAAGCTTAAGGGCGGAATTTCACATATCATATATTCATGGTGGGTGCATGCGCTAAGTCTTAGAAGTTGATCTGCTGTGTACTATTCTTTGCCTACCTTTCTCAATTGGAGAAGAAATAAGGTGCAAGAAGAAGGGTTACAATGAAGCTCAGAGATTGTGATATAATGAAAAGAGATCTAGAAGGCATAGGAGAAAGCACTTGCTCACACATTTCAAAGCAAAACAAAATAAAAAGCTTGTTTATTCTCAAATACGTGTGCAAAGCTGATTTCAGAGTTTAGGAATGCACCGAACTCATGAAATAATGATCCCACTGTAGAAGACTTAAAAGCAGATGCTCAGAAAAGATTTCAAAAGAATTGTAAAAAAAAAAAAAAAGACGAAAAAATTAATGTGAAAACCAGATAGCAGAGACGTCGTGATCAGAGACAGTAACAAAAGAAAACATCCAAATGCACACTACATGTAATTAGAGGAAGAAAGGCTGATCTTTCTGGAGCCCTATTTAATAGTATCAAGATGGATGACAGAGACACTTTCCTAAACGGTCAATTTGGTTAATGCAAAATAAAGCAATTATTAGATGATTAACATGAGCCAAATTACAGCAGAATGAAAAAGAAAATAACAGTATAGAACAAGTTCTGTGGCAAGAGCTAATTGGTGTGCTTGCAAACGGAACCCTAATAATTCAGGTGTTAGATATTGCACACTGAAAAAAAAACCCAAAAAGGTACATTTAGAAAAACTATTTTACATTTCTTTAATTGCTGAATGCCTCTTTGGCTAGTGTCTGGAGGATCATAATCAAGTCTGCACCTGGCCCATATTTTCACTCTCTCATCATTTTGTCTGCATACTACCTAAGTGTCTCCCTTCCTCTGGTGAACACTGGTACCTCTGACACATGACCAAAATGGACCCTATGCTGTAATCACGCAGGACAATGTTAGGAAGTATGAATATGGAAATGATTTGTAAAGGGATCACTGTTTTCTTTCTGTTTTTAAATTGTTTTGCACAGTCTCTAAAGACATGGTCACAGCTGCCTGAAGCATGTCTTCTTCACTCATGACATCACCTGCTGGGAGAGAAAACACAGCCTTTCTTAAAACTTTCTCTACAACTTGTCATGAAAAAGGTAAATTCTTAGGAAATGGATTTATTACTTTCCTTTTTTAAAAAATGATTTTAATAAAAAAATAAAATTCACCCTTTTAAAGTTTAAGAATCTTTGACAGATACAGGGAGTTGCATACCCAATACCACCATCAAGATACACACCATTCCACTGTCCTTCCAAGTTCCTCTGTACGACCAATCCCTGGCAACCAATCCCCCATCACAGGCCACCACCACTATGTTCTCTCAGTTAAACAGCTTTCCCTTTCATATAAATGGAATCATACAGGAAGTATATAGGTAATAAAGCGAAAAGAGCCTTGAACATGTCTCTCCACTGAGCTCAATGCATTTGAGATTTACTGTGTATATTAATATTTTGGAAAACTTTATTTGGAAGTAATTGGCAATTCACAGGAAGCTGCAAAGATGGGAGAGATTCCATGTTTTGATTCAGCTCAATTTCAACCAAAAGTTCTTTCTTTCTTTTTTGGTCTGTCATGGGGCTTGAACTCTGGGTTTGGGCACTGTCCCTCAGCTCTTCAGCTCAAGGCAAGTGCTCTACCACTTGAACTACAGCGCCACTTCCAGTTTTCTGGTGGTTTACCGGAGATAAAGAGTCTTATGGACTTTCTTGCCTGGGCTGGCTTTGAACGGTGATCCTCAGATCTCAGCCTCTTCAGTAGCTAGGATTAGAGGCCTGAACCACTTATATAACTAAAACTGAAACCCAAATCCGCATACTGACCTTTGCAAGTTAAGTGTAGTTCTAGATGGCATTTTTTTCCCACATATGTGGATTCATGGAACCACACTGCCACCACCCACCGCATTCACAGAATGGTCCTTGCCTTTGTCTGCCAGGCTCTTCACATTATATCCTACCTATATGCGGCCTGGTACCCACAATCTCCAGCAAAGGTAGAAAGAGCTATCCATACCCTAAAAAGACACCCTGCCCAAATTACTGAAGGTCACCTTGCTCCCAATAGTACTTCACACCCAGATCACTCTGAAGACAAAAATCCATGTTAGTCCCTTTGAGTAAGTCCTTCCTTTATGGAAGGCCACTCTTTCAGACAGACCTATTGCTAGACCCCTACTTGACCTGGTATGTCATTCCTCTAGGAGCAATCATCATAATGACCCAGGAGTTTTAACATGCTAACAAGCACAAACAAGACTTGGCAGACGGCTGGGAATGTGGCTTAGTGGAAGAGTGCTTGCCTTGCATGTATGAAGCCCTGGGTTCAATTCCTCAGTACCACACACACAGAAAGAGTGTCTTAAAACTCTTCTCCAAGATAAGGAGCCCTTAAAGTCCAACAAGTACAGTTAAACTTTCAGTTATTTGCCGTTGGATTCAGAACTAAGATAGCATCCCTGTTTAAAAACTTGCTGACTTCCACCTACCACAGTGAGCCCACAGCAGATCTGTTGTTCTGACACACTCCAGGCCATAAAGTTACAAATGATGCTACAACATCTTTCACCACTTACCATGGAATACTCTAGTGCCTCTAAGCCCCTAGACCTGGCTTCATTCAATTTCATTCAGATATCCAATGACATCATGCTGTGTCCCCAAGGACTACTTCATAATCTTCTGCAAAACAAATATATAGGCGGGGACATCTCTATGACCCTAAGTAGCTCAAAGTAGTTAAAAGAGAATGAGATTTTTGCTTTATTAAAACAAGGATTGAAGCTAGGTACCCGTGGCTCACGCCTGTAATCCTAGCTACTCAGGAGGCTGGGATCTGAGGATCACAGTTCAAAGCCAGCCCGGGCAAGAAAGTCCGTGAAACTCTTATCTCCAATAAACCACCAGAAAACCGTAAGTGGCGTTATAGTTCAAGTGGTAGAACACTTGCCTTGAGCTGAAGAGCTGAGGGGCAGTGCTCAGGCCCAGAGTTCAAGCCCCATGACCAATAAAATAAATAAATAAATAAAACAAGGATTGAGCCAGGCACTGGTGGCTCATGTGTATAATCCTAGCAGCTCAGGAGGCTCAGATCTGAAGATGATGGTTCAAAGCCTGCTCAGGCAAGAAAATGGTGAGACCCTTCAGTAAATTACTTAGAAAAAGCTGGAGGTGGTGCCATGGCTCAAATGGTAGAGAACTAGCTCTGAGTACAAAGAGGTCAGGGACAGTGCCCAGGCTCTGAGTTCAAGTCCCAGGACTGGCAAAACAAAGACAACAGCAGCAAACAACAAACAAAACAGTGAGGCTGCAAGTTTTTGTAACTGTCTGTGATAAAATGACTTTTAAAATTCACCCATTTATTATGTTGTTTTCTTTCCTTTCTTTCTTTCTTTCTTTCTTTTTTTTTTTTTTTTTTAAAGTAAGGCTTAAGCTCCAGGCGTAGGCATTGTTTCTGAGCATTTTTGCTCAAGGCCAGCACTCTACCACTTCAAGGCACAGCTCCACTTCCAGTTTTTAGGTGGTGAATTAGAGATGAACCTCATGAATTTTCCTGCCTAGTCTGGCTTTAAACCTTGATGCTCAGATCGCAGCCTCTCGAGTAGCTAGGATTATAGGTATGAGATACCAGCAACAGGAACTTCTAACTTTTTTGGTGATTAATTGGAGATAAAGAGTCTCATGGACTTTCCTCCCCAAGCTGGCTCAGATATCAGCCTCTAGGGTAGCTAGGATTACAGCTGCGAGCCACTGGTGTCCAGTGAGTTTTCTTTTTTTTTTGTATATTTTTTATTGTAAAAATACTGTTAAGAGCAAGGTAATGAGTATATTTCCTATCAACAGTGAGTTGTTTTCTTACTGTATAGTTTTTGAGAGTTCTTTACAGATTCTCCTTCTGAGTCCTTTGTCAGTTTTGTTTTTCACTCAAGTTCTTCCACCAATAATTGGTCAAGGTTAAAGACCTATAAATCAAAGCCTAGTAGTGAATAACTACATTTTCTGTTGTTTGCTGAGTTACACTCAAGTGTCTTAATTGTGGCAAAATGTTTATTTTCCACCTACTAATGTTCATTATCTCTGGAGAATTTTTGGAGAATGTACTATTATGATGTTCTATGTACTATAATTTTAAAATCAATTATTACTCATTGAGTTTTCTAGTTTACTCCTCTTTAGGGAAATTTAATAGATTACAAATTCATTTAAGAGTTTTAATATGATTAATAGCTGGGTACCACTGGCTCACACCTGCAATTTTAGGTACTTAGGAAGCTGAGTTCCAGAGTATATTGGTTTCACAGTATCTTTTCTTGACAGCAAAGTCCAAGAGATTACATCTTCAATTAGCAAAAAGTTGGGCTGGAGACATGGCTCTAGTTAAAGGACCAGCCAAGCAAGGAAGCTGAGCAAGCATGTCAAGCAGGCATTTGATCCTAAGATCGAACCCTGGTATTGACAAAAAATAATTAAGTTTTAATATGATTAAAGAGTAAAGAAGGGCTGGGAATGTGGCTTAGTGGTAGAGTGCTTGCCTCACATACATGAAGACCCAGGTTTGATTCCTCAGTACTACATAAATAGAAAAAGCCAGAAGTAGCACTGTGGCTCAAGTGATAAGAGTCCTAGCCTTGAGTAAGAAAGGCTCAGGGACAGTGCCCAGGCCCAGAGTTCAAGCCCCCCCCCAGGACTGGAAAGAAAAAAAAGAAAAAGAATAAAGAAAAGGAACATAAACCATAAATCACATGGAAGCTGTGGGTCAAATAGAGCATGCATATAAGTCAGGGTCAATTCCAGAGACTTGTACCTAGATCACTCCCAAGTCTTTCGGAACTTGTTGTTGGTCTTTCACATGGATATGAAACATGTCCTGGTGGGTCTACCTGCTGCTGCTGCTGCTGCTGTTGCTGCCTGAAACATTCAAAGGTAAATACATGTTATAAAACAAATACCAAAAACCCTAAGAATAAGTGCATCATGAGAAGATCTACTTGATAAAAAGTGAGCTATTCTACATATCAAGTCACTAGCATAAATATCACAGAAAGAAAGAATAATTAGTCTAATAAAAGTATAAAAAAAATGTCCCAGTATGAAAATAGTACAAAAGTGTTCCTCCTTTAGGTATAAAATCTGAGTACGAAACAAATTCAGAGGTATTTAAACCAGTGACTTCTGAGTGTCTAGCACTTATTCTATATGCAACTGTTAGCTTACAGATCCTTAATTCTGTTAAAAGCAACTGAAAAGTACCTTTGAGAAGACAGACAAAGCATCTCAAATTACTATTCAAGTTAGTGTTACCTTTCAATGGCTAGTTCCTTCTCATCATTCAGATCTGAGCTTTAAATACCTCCCAGAGATGCTCTCAACACTCCACTTCAAGCAGCTTCCTGGATACGAAGAAATTCATGACTTCCTTTTCCTTACCACCACCACACACTGTTCTGTTTGGCTTCCCCTTTATGGTACAAGCTATCTTGTACCTCATCTTAATCTATTTCTTATTTATCATTGGTTTTTGTGCCAGTCCTGAGACTTGAACTCAAGGCCCAGGTGCTATCCCTGAGCTTTTTTGCTCAAGGGCAGCACTCTATCATTTGAGCCACAGTTCCACTTCTGGAGATAAGACTGTCATGGACTTTCCTGCCAAAGCTGGCTTTGAACCACAATCCTCAGCCTCTTGAGTAGCTAGAATTATAGGTATGAGCCACTGGTGCCTGGCTTCTACTGAGTTTTATAAAGTTTTAATGCCAGCCAGTATTAAAAACAAACACAAAATGGGGCACTTGTGGCTCACAGCTGTAATCCTAGTTACTCAGGAAGCTGAGATCTGAGGATCATCGTCTGAAGCCAAACTGGGCAGAAAAACCAGAGATTTCATTTCCAAAGAATCAGCAAAAATACTCAACTGCAGATGGGACTCAAGTGGTAGGGAGTCAGCTATGAGTAAAAAACCAAGCAAGAGCACTAGGTTCTAAGTTTAATCTGCAGAACTAGCACAAAAAACAAACCAACAAACACCAAGAAAATAGCTTATAACTCCTCTCAGCAACATGTAGCTATCTAAAACATTTTGCAACTATGATTATTATTACAAGAATATGTAACATTATTGAGAATATGTATAATTTTCTATGGCTCTCAAGTTTGTACCAGTTTAGGTCAAACCAGGAGACTGAGGATGAAGGCCTATGCTGGTCAGCATCTACAACCGAAGCAACAACCCTCCAGCCAGTAAGGAAACACACCAATACCCCAATATTTGAAAAGACTACTTAGTTGAACAAAATATTTACTAAAAAGCACTAGTAACTCCTTTCCTTTTTGCTGTTTTGGTGATACTGTGGTTTGAATTCAGGACTTTGTTTTTGGTCAGCTTGATATTCCCTTTTGTTTCTGACTTGGAAGCAGAGGATCTGAGTATTTACAAATATTGTTTTATTTTGCTTTACAAAAAAGAAAAGAGGACTGGGAATGTGGCTTAGTGGTAGAGTGCTTGCTTAGCATGCATGAAGCCCTGGGTTTGATTCCTCAGTACCACATAAACAGAAAAAGACAGAAATGGCACTGTAGCTCAAGTGGTGGAGTGCTCTCCTTGAGCAAAAGGCCAGATCAAGCTCAAGGACTGGCAAAAAGAAAAAAAAAAGAAATGAACTCATTGGGGCTGGGAAGGTGACTCAGTGGTAGAGTGTTTGTCTTGCATGCACGAGGCCCTGGGTTCGATTCCTCAGCACCACATAAGCAGAAAAAGCGAGAAGTAGTACTGTGGCTCAACTGGTAGAGCGCTTGAAGAGCTCAAGAGCTCAGGGACAGAGCCCAAGCCCAGAGTTCAGGCCCACAACTGACAGAAAAAAAAAAGGAAAGATAACTACTGATAATTACAAATAATAGATAACTACACAAATAAAAGATAACTACTGAAGATAACTACAAAGGATGATGCTCTGATAGGGTCACAGAAATCTCTCTGAGACTATTTCTGGATCCGACCTGAGGGTTTAGGAACTAGATGATGCGGATGTACCATCTGTCTATGCCCCCGATGTCTCCCCTGATGTCTGTGGTTCCCTGCTAAAGTAGCACTGAGCAGGACCATGAACCATCTGCCATCTCTATTTGGGAACATGAATCCTTACCACAAATGTTTCTTCTACTAACTTGCAAAAAACTCTGAAGGGTTAGTAGGTACCCAAGAAGCAAATTCAAAGAATCAATGGGCACTTCTCTTCCTTTCCCCTAACTCCATTTTTCTTTTTCTTTTCATTTTGTGGGTTGTGGGTGCTGTCCATGAGCTCTTTTGTCCAAGACCCACTTCCGGCTTTTTTTTCTGCTTATGGGGTGCTGAGGAATCGAACCAAGGGCCTCATGCATGCAAGGCAAGCGCTCTACCACTGAGCTACCTTCCCAGCCCCTGACAGTTTTCTTTTGATGAACAAAATCTTGTAGCTTTTCTTTACCTAAATAATCTCATGTCATGTTGTCTGACACTAGAACAAAGTTTCTCCTTTACAACTACTGTTTTTCTCTGTGCAGGTACTAGGGGTTAACTCAGGGTCCAGGCTTTCTCTTAGCTTTTTAAATCAAGCCTGGCACTCTACTACTTGAGCCTCACCTCTTCTGGCTTTTCAGTGATTAAATGAAGATAAGAGTCTCACAGACTTTCCTATCCCAGCTGGCTTCAAACATCGATCCTTAGATCTCAGCCTGCTGAATAGCTAGGTTTAAGGCCTGAACACACTAGTACCCAGCCCTCTAAAACTAAATTTATTTCATACTTTATCTGCTATAATATTTTTTAAAAAAATCATTGGTTACTACCTGACCTCTAATTATTTGCCTAGCGACTAAATAGCCAAAGCAAATATTAAATATGCAACTTTAATTTGTACCAACTACTTTACTTTTCAAAGTAGGCCTCTCTCTTCTTCCGCAGCTCTTCTGAAGTAAGATTTGTACTTGATGATTGTGGAGTATCTTGACAAACATTTCTGGAACTACCTGAAAACAAAATAATGCAGAACAAATAACTGTTTTCCTTTTCTTTTTTTGCCAGTCCTGGGGCTTGTATTCAGGGCCTGGATGCTGTCTTTGAGTTTCTTTTGCTCAAAGGTAGCACTCTACCACTTAAGCCACAGCGCCACTTCTGGCTTTTTCTGCTTATGTGGTACTGTGGAATTGAATCCAGGGCTTCATGCATGGTAAGCAAGCACTCTACCACTAAGCTATATTCTCAGTCCCAGCAACTGTTTTCTTTCCAATTCTTTGAGTAAACTTTGAACAGTGTTCCTCAAGCCAGGTTCTAGTGGTTTGGGCCTGTATACTAGCTACTCTGGAGGGTAAGATCCGAGGATTCTGGTTTGAAGCCAGCCAGGGTAGAAAAAACATTCCTAAGAGACTCATCTCCAATTAACACCAATAATTCAGAAGTGGAATTGTGGCTTAAGTAGTAGAGTGCTAGCCTTGAGCAAAAAAACTTAGGGAGAGTGGCTAGGCCTTGAGTTCAAGCCTCAGGACGGGCAGTGCATATGAGCACACACAAACACATACACAGACACAGACACGCACAAAAATCCCAAAAGGCTGTGAAAGTCTTAGGGAAATGTTGATTAAGATCTAACGTAGCCAGCACCAGTGGCTCAAGCCTGTAATCCTAGCTATTCAAGAGGCTGAGATCTGAGGATGGCAGTTTGAAAATGAAGCCAGCCCAGGGAGGAAACTCCCTGAGACACTTAATTCCAATAAACTAAGTGGTGCTGTGGCTCAAGTGGTAGAGCATCCACAATGAACAAAAGAAGCTGAGGGACAGCGCCCAGGCCCAGAGTTCAAGCCCCAGAACCAGGAAAAAAAAAAAAATCTAATGTAGATCCTAAATCAAACATAGGTCTATGGCAACAAAACACGATACTCATACATTTATATGAGATACAGCAGCTGTGAGAATGTAAGCCCGACAGCCAACTTGGGTCTGAGAAGTTATCATTACTACATTTGTGATGAATGGATTAAAAATACAAACAGGGCTGGAAAGGTGGCCCAGTGGTAGAGCGCTTGCCTTGCATTCATGAGGCCCTGGGTACAATTCCTCAGTACCACATAAGCAGAAAAAAGCCAGAAGTGGCACTGTGACTCTAGCCTTCAGCTGAAGAGCTCAGGGATAGTGCCCATGCCCAGAGTTCAGGCCCCACAACTGGCAGAAAATAAATAAATAAATAAATAAAACTAATAAAAATATATTAAAAATGAATCTACAGGGCTGGGAATGTGACTTAGTGATAGAATGCTTGCCTAGCATGCATGAAGCCCAGGCTCTGAGTTCAAGCCCCAAGACTGGCCAAAAAAAAAAAATGAATCTACACCTGCAAGGCATGATATTCCTCACAACAACTTAAAGATAGATGTTCATAAAACAAGTCCATACTCATCTATGCTCAACATCTGATATTACCTAACAACTAAATGTTTGCATGTTCTCACAAGTCTGTCAACCACAGATTCTACACAAATTGGGGGATTGCGTGGCAAGAATAGATTATCTAGAAAGAACAAATGATAAAGGCTGGTTTCTATTCATCACTGGGCTGGTCATCAAGCTGGCTCTATGAATCAAGTATACCATGTGGTGTACTCAGGAGGTATGCCTAGAAGCATGAGAGGTTCAGGATTAAAAAGTAATCTTCAGGGGGCTGGGAATGTGGCTTAGTGTTAGAGTTCCTCAGTACCATATAAACAGAAAAGGCCAGAAGTGGCACTGTGGTTCAAGTGACAGGGTGTAGCCTGGAGCAAAGCAGCAGCTCAGGGACAGTGCCCAGACCCTAAGTCCAAGCCCCAGGACTGGCCAAAAAAAAAAAGTAATCTTCATATCAGTGTAAGCTCAATTATACTTAGATATTTAAGGAAATCAAATGAGTACTGACATCAGAGAGTCCAAGCAAGCTTATATGAATTAAGAGTACACCAAAGGTACAAAAATAAACTACACATCGAACTTTTTGATGGTAGTGGCGTTTGAACTTAGGGCTCTGTGTTGCTAGGCAGACATTCTACCACTTGAGCCATATCCCTAGGTCTTTTTTTTGCTTTCATTATTTTCCAGATAGGGTCTCATATTTTTGTTCAGAATCTTGGACAAGGATCTACCTTGCCTCATGAACAGCTCAGATAGTTGTGTGTCACCATGCCCAGTTTATTTGTTGAGATGGGAGTCTTAGGCTTCAGACTGATCTTTCTGATCTCCACTTCCTATGCAGTTGGGATTAGATATATGCACCACCATTCCTAGCCATACTTTTAAGTAAGCCACATTGAGCTATGTTAGCTATATCTCAGCATTTCACTCTGCCTGCATTCCCTAGGGAATGCATCTGAGCTTTCCTCTGTTGATGGCTTTTATCACTACAAAAGTGTGCTTAAGCCTTAACATAGTCAAGAAATGTTCTGTTCTGCTTTTCTGCTGGTAGCAGAGTTTGAACTCAAGAGCCTTGACTTGGGATTTGCTTTGCTTACTCAACTGGCAATCTATCACTTGAGCCACATATTTAGCTTTTTGCAGTTGATTTTGGAGATGGACTTTTGTGGACTTTCCCTGCCCTGGCAGGCTTCAAACCAAGATCCTCTAGATTTCAACCTCCTGAGTAGGTAGGATTTTAGGCATGAGTCACAAAAAATTCAACAGTGTGGAGTTTTTTGGCCAGTCCTGGGGCTTGAACTCAGGGCCTGGATGCTGTCCTTGAGCTTCTTTTGCTCAAGGCTAGCACTCTACCACTTAAGCCACATTCCCAGCTCCCTGGCCTTTCTACTCTGTTCACTGGCATGCACTTCCAAAATGAATGGTTTAGTAAGAGCCATCTGGCTCCTCAAAGGTTAATTTCAATTATATTAGTTCAGGGTAACAACCAAATAGTGCAAATGAAAGTAAAACTGTTTTAGCTAAATTCAACTAATATAGGCCTAATACCTAGATTGTAAAAGTGACTTGTAGTGTAAAAAATCTAAAAAGAAAAACTGATATATAGTTATTGCTATATAATATAGCTAATGCTTCTGCAGTACTTGTGAAGGAACTTCTAACAGCATATTAACTTCAGGGAAACTAAGAACAATTGTGAACAAGTCTTCAAAGACAAAAAAAAAATACATATAATATTATTTATAGGGGCTGAGAAGGTGGCTCAGTGGTAGAGTGCTTGCCTTGCAAGCATGAGGCCTTGGGTTCAATTCCTCAGCACCACATAAGCAGAAAAAAAAAGCCGGAAGTGGTGCTATGGCTCAAGTGGTAGCGTGCTAGCCTTGAGCTGAAGAGCTGAGGGATAGCGCCCAGGCCCAGAATTCAGACCCCACGACCGGACCCCCCCCCCAAAAAAAAAAAAATGAGGAAAAAAATAGTATTTATACCTTGCATACTAAGCTGAATAGCCCTTCGCAGATCTGCTTCTTCATCCTCCAGGTCTATTTCCTGGCGACTTAGTGTCAGTGCTCTCTGCAGGCCCTCCTCATCTTCATCCAACATTCCTGACCCATCGCTTCCTTCTAAGACTCGTTCAAGATCTGTTTGAAGGACTCTAAAGAACAAAAGCACCATAATAACTGCAGCTCCATCTTCAATTTTAGAAATAACATAAAGGCATTTGTAAAATAAAGATGTTAAGTCAGTCGAAAAACATTTTTCTAGCAGGGCGCCAGTAGCTCATGTCTGTAATCCTAGCTACTCAGGAGGTTTAGATCTGAAGACTGTGTTTGAAGCCAGCCCAGGCAGGAAAGTCCATGACTCTTATCTCTTAATTAATCACAGGAAAAGCCAGAAGAGGTGCTGTGGCTCAAGTGGTAGAGTGCTAGTCTTGAGCAAAAAGGAATGCAGGAACAGCTCCTAGGCCCAGAGTTCAAGACCTAGGACTGGTAATAAAACAAAAAAACATTTTTTTCTGGAATAAAAGGTCTAGCAATATAAAGATTTTATGTTGCAATGTAATTCTTTTTTTTTCCCTTTTGGTCAGTCGTGGGGCTTGAACTCTTGGCCTGGGCTCTGTCTCTGAGCTCTTCAGCTCAAGGCAAGTGCTCACCACAGCATTTTCTGGTGGTTAATTGGAGATAAGAGTCATTAAGATTACAGGAGTGAGCCACAGGCACCCAGCTGCATTGTAAGTTAATGTGTCATGTAATTCAAAATTCATTTAGGTTGATTCAATAAATATACTTAAAACAGAAAGTCATTTTAGTCAGGCACAGGAGTGTATGTCTATAGCCACGAACTATAACCATTCAGGAAGCTGAGACAGGAGGATGTCAAGTTTGTGGCCAATCTGGACAACACAGCAAGGCCCTGTCTCTTACAAGAAAAATAAGGAGGTGATGACATAGCTCAGTGCTAGCAGGCACCCCTAAAGACCAAGTTTCCATCCCTAGCACTGAGAAAAAAGTATTAAAAAAGATTGCTTGCCAGGAATGCAAAAGGCTCCATGTTTGATGTCCAGCCCCACCAGAGTGAAATGGAGGACTGCGTGAACGGATGGATGACTTAAATGCAAGGTATAAAAGAAGAGTCACTGGGGCTGGGAAGGTGGCTCAGTGGTAGAGCGCTTGCCTTGCATGCCTGAGGCCCTCAGCACCACATAAGCAAAAAGAAAAAAGCCGGAAGTAGCGCTGTGGCTCAAGTGGTAGAGTGCTAGCTTTGAGCTGAAGAACTGAGGGACAGCGCCCAGGCCCAGAGTTCAGGCCCCATGACTGGACCCCCCCCAAAAAAAAGAGAGAGTCATTAATAGTCAAGGGATTATACATTAAATATAATCATAGAAATTTAATTCTTGCAATGAAATATTATAATATATGCTATACTTCAGCTTAATGTTTACCTCTGTTCTTTCAGTTGGGCTAATTCTTCACCAATAAGTTTTGGTCTATGCATCTGCTGGACTCTGATCATCTGCAAAAGTTGGTCAGCTTCACAATCTGGGAGATCACCCTTAACAACAAATATAGAATAACCTAAAAAAAAGGCAAAAATAAACTAAAACAACTAGTAAGAACTTAAAAACTGACGGGAGAAAACATCAACATGTTCCTACCAGTCTATGATGGTATAATTGGAGCAGTAATAATTATAAGATGAAACATTCAAATGATGTTTTAACTGATCAACTTATAGTTAATACTTTGGTTTAAAAAGAAGAAAATAACTGATCATCTTTGGAGGACATATATAACCAACTCATTCTAAAACATAAAAGGTAAAGATTGTAACTAGTTGGTATAAGTTCTATTCATCATATGCAAGGCCATGGGTCCAATCCCACTACTGATGAACACAGGATAGATAGACACATAGACACAGACAAAAGATAAAGGGGGGAAAACCCTTTTCCTATATAAACTGTACTTCAAGATTACCAAATAACATATGAGAGAGTTTATTTGTATACAAATACTCCTGTTAATAGACGAAGGAATGAAAGAACCCTAAATGACCTATTTATTTATTCCTCAATACATAAGTAAATCCAGGAAAAGAAAGTCTACCATTAGATGTAAGAAAAAAAAGATCAATCCAGTGGATAGTCATTGCAACCCAGACACAAAAACATCACACATGGGGCTGGGAAGGGAGCTCAGTGGTAGAGTGCTTGCCTTATATGCATGAGGCCTTGGGTTTGATTTCTTGGCACCACATAAGCAGAAAAAGCTGGAAGCAGTGCTGTGGCTCAAGTGGTAGAGCCTTAGCCTTGAGTTGAAGAGTTGAGGGAGAGTGCCCAGGCGCAGAGTTCAGGCCCATGACCAACAAAACAAAAAACAATAAAAAACAAAAAACCAAAAAAAACCATCAGACACAACTGGAGAGAAGAGACTTGAACACTGACTGGATATGTAGAGAAGAGGTGGAACACTTTCCAAGTCTTAGATCACAAGGCCCCAGGTTCCCATCTCAGCACCACAAAAGAAATCACTAGGGTTAAATTTCTTAATGTGTGATGAAGTCTTGTGGCCATATATTTTTAGAAGTTTTCACTTTCAAGAAATCTGGCTGAGGCTGGGTGCCGGTGGCTCATGCCTGTAATCCTAGTTACTCAGGAGGCTGAGATCTGAGGATCATGGTTCAAAGCTAGCCTGGGCAGAAAAGTCTGTGAGACTCTTATCTCCAATTAACCACCAGAAAACGGAAGTGGCGATGTGGCTTACATGGCAGAGTGCTTGCCTTGAGCTAAAGAGCTCAGGGACAGTGCCCAGGCCCAGAGTTCAAACCTTCTACAACCAACAACAACAACAAAAAGAAAGCTGGCTGGATGCTGGTGGCTCACACCCATAATCCTCGTTATTCAAAAAGCTGAGATCTGAGGATTGCAGTTTGAAGTCTGAAGCCAGCCTGGGCAGACAAATCCAAGATACTGTTATCTCCAATTAGTCAGCAGCAAACTAGACGTGGAGGTACAGCTCAAATACTAAAGTGCTAGTTTTCAGCACAACAGGTGGCTAAGAGTATGAGGCCTGAGTTCAAAGCCCAGTATCTACACCAAAAAACAAAACACAAAAAGTTGAGCACCTGAGTTCAAGCCAGAATATCAGCATACACAGGAAGAAGAGATTAATCACAGAGGAATATCAAATAAACACAAAAGGAAATGTTCTACATCCCTGGCCATAAAGGAGATGCAAATCAAAACAACTTTGAGATTCCATCTCACCCCAGATAGACTGACCAACGTGGAAAATAGGAACAACAAATGCTGGCAGGGATGTGAGGGAAAAGAAACCCTGTTGCACTGTTAGTGGGAATGTAAACTAGGTAAACCACTCTGGAAGGTGGTATGGAGTGCTGGGCACTGATGGCTCACACCTGTAGTCCTAGCTCCTCAAGAGGCTGAGATCTGGGAATCCCAGTTCAAAGTCAGCTTGGGCAAAAAAGTCCCCATGAGACTCTTATCTCTAATTAACCACTAAAAAACTGAAAGTGAAACTGTGACTGACAGGGATAGAGTTTTAGCCTTGAGCAAAAAAGCTCAGGGACAGGCCCTGAGTTCAAGACCCACAACTGACCAAATAAAAAACCCCCAAAACAAAAAAAAAACAAAACAAAGCCAACAAAACATAAACAGAACCTCCAATGACCCAGCCATACCACTCTTGGGCATGTGCCTAAAACATTCCAAGTCAGGATATGGTAAAGACACTTGCACTGAAACACTACTCACAACAGCCAAGTTATGGAAACAGCCCAGATGCCCTTTAATAGATGAGTGGATCAATAAAACGTACATATACACAATGGAAATTTACTCATCCATTAGAAAAAGTAATAGGTTATTTGCAGGGAATAGATGGACCTAGAATAAATCACGTGAAGTGAAAGCTCACAAACAGTGCATGTTTTCTCTCACATGTGGAAGCTAGATCTAAATTATATCTAGACATGATAATCTATATAGTACTTCAGGCAATCACACAGAGGCTAAAGGAAGATTCTCTTAGGGGTGGAACCCGAAGGTGTAATCACTTAAAATATTATTTACAGGGGCTGGGAAGGTGGCTCAGTGGTAGAATGCTTGCCTTGCATGCATGAGGCCCTGGGTTCAATTCCTCAGCACTACATAAGCAGAAAAGGCTGTGGACCTGTGGCTCAAGTGGTAGAACACTAGCCTTGAGGTGAAGAGCTGAGGGACAGTGCCGAGGCCTGGAGTTCAGGACCCACGACTGGCAAAAAAAAAAACAACTATTTATAGAAACAAATTCCAGGAAATGGAACAAGTGTTGTTATTCCCAGTGTTTGTTTTTGCTTTTTATTTTCTTTCTAGGGGATTAGATAGAGAACAAAAGAAAGGAGAAAAAGATGAACAAATTGAATCATGCTATTCATTATATACCTTATATACTATGTGGAATATGAACTATGTAATTTGTAGGCAGGGATGGGAGGGGGAAACTAAGAGAAAGCAAAGGAAGGGGTGACATTGTCCAAAAAAAAAAAAATGTACTCATTACCTGACTTATGAAATTTTAACTGCTTTGTATAATACCTTAGTAATAATTAAAAATTATATTAAAAAGAGATGAACAAAATATTTACAAAGAAAATGACAAAACATCTCAAAATGTTAAAGCTGGGTAAAGGGCACATGAGAGATCACTGGCTTTCTCCCTTTTTATATTTGTTTGGGAAAAAAACCAAATTTTTGGGGGGGATGCCAGGCCTAAGAACCTGCATGCTATCCCTGAGCTTTTTTGTCAAGGCTAGCAGTCTACCACTTGAGCCACAGATCCACTGCTGGCTTTTTAGTAGTTAATTGGAGGTAAGAGTCTCACAGACCTTCCTGCCCTGGTTTGGCTTTGAATTGTGATGCTTAGATCTCAGTCTCTTAAGCAAGTAGGATCATAAGCAGCCAGTTTGTGGTGAAAAAAAAATTTTTTTTTTAAGTGAAGAGTGCTTTGTTCTTTTTAGAAAAAGGTATAATCAACTCTACCTTCAAAGAAAGGGAAGACTAGGAATTGAAAACTGGCACTAGCAATGCAGAGGCCACTGGTCACACAGACCTTTTAAATGACTCCTCACTGCTTACAATGGAGAGACTAGAATGGGGTTAAGGATGAGAAAAGGGACAATTCTAAAGAGAAAATTTAAAATGGAAAGGCAATTAACAACCCATATATATAGCTGAGAGGCTTTATTCTTAATTAGGGGAGATTTAAAAAAGAAAACAAAACAACTTCAGCACTGAGAAGGAAGAGAGAAACAAAACCACTCAGGAGAGTGTAGAGTCAAAACAAGAACATCCAGACGAGGGGGAGGAGCTGGGATCCACCCACATCTTGGTTAAACATATTGCACAATTCATCTGTTTTACCTGGCTCAAAGCATAGTAAAGACAGAAGATGGTAGAAAGTTAAGGAAGTTCTGTGTTAACAGCTTCTATATTCTCAATAGAGTACAAGGTGGCTGTTTCACAACTTATCTCCTTTAAAACTGTAGCTATATAACCAAGATGTGTGTTATGTGTAAGAGGCAAGTAGCTACAGTTTTAAAGGAGGTAAGTTGTGAAACAACCACCTTGCGGAGTGGTACAAAAATGCAAGCTGGGGCTGGGAAGGTGGCTCAGTGGTAGACCGCTTGCCTTGCATGCATGAGGCCCTGAGTTCGATTCCTTAGCACCACATAACCAGAAAAAAAAAAGCCGGAAGTGGTGCTATGGCTCAAGTGGTAGAGTGCTAGCCTTGAGCTGAAGAGCTGAGGGACAGCACTCAGGCCCAGAGTTCAGGCCCATGACCGGACCCAAAAAAAAAAAAAAGCAAGCTCAAAGCCAGGCGCCAGTGGCTCATGCTTGTACTCCTAGCTACTCAGGAGGCTGAACTCTGAGGATTACGGTTCAAAGCCAGCCCGGGCAGTAAAGTCTGTGAGACTCTTATCTCCAATAAACCACTAGAAAACTGGAAGTGGCACTGTAGCTCAAGCAGTAGAGCACTCAAGCCTAGAGTTCAAGCCCCGAAACCAACAAAAGAAAAAGAAAAGAAAAAGAAAAAAAAAATGCAGGCTCATGTAACAGCTTGAAAGCTGGGCCTGGGTGCTGTCCCTGAGCTCTTCAGGGAGTGAGCGCTCTACCTCTTGAGCCATACCACCACTTATGGTTTTCTAAGTGGTTTATTGGAGATAGGAGACTCACGGAGTTTTCTACCTGGGCTGGCTTTAACCGAGATCCTCAGATCTCAGCCTCCTGAGTAGCTAGGATTACAGGCATGAGCCACTGACACCTGGCTAAGTTTTTTTTTTGGGGTCCTGTTGTGGGGCCTGAACTCTGGGCCTGGGCGCTGTCCCTCAGCTCTTCAGCTCAAGGCTAGCGCTCTACCACTTGGGCCACAGCGCCACTTCTGGCTTTTTTCTTTTTGCTTATGTGGTGCTGAGGAATTGAACCCAGGGCCTCAGGCATGCAAGGCAAGCACTCTACCACTGAGCCACCTTCCCAGCCCTAAGTTATTATTTTTAAAGCCATCTTCATCTTTTCTATAGGAATGGCCAAAAACAAGACTGTATTTTAACAAAGGTGGAGATTTTTGTCACTTATGAATGATAAAGGGAGAGAAGTGGAAAAAAGCTGGGGAATACAGGGGATGGCAATAATGATGGACTGAGAAAATAAGCAGATCAAAAAAATTAAGAAGATCTGGGCTCTCAATTAGCTACCAAAAAAGCCAGACAAGGAGCTGTGTTGACTTAAGTGGTAGAATGCTAGCCTTGAGCACAAAAGTTCAGGGACAATGCTCAGGACCTGAGTTCATGCCCCAGGAAAGGTACACACACAGACACACAGACACAGCCACACACTCACACACACACACAAAAAAAAAAAAGGAAGAAAAGAATGAGGGGAATGTTTGGACCCCACATTGGGTTTAAGGAACCCAAACAGAATGGCAAACAAGGAAAGAAGGCATAAAGTCAGAAGGTAGTGGTTGAACAACAGGATGCTCTGGCTGGGATTCAAAGGTGATTAAGGTTATGGATAATGAAAAGGCAAGAATGAATACTATGACCTTTGAAAGTAAGAAGATCCTGGATTATCGATGTGGAAATCACAAAGCATGATGTAAATAAAGGAGTGTCTGTGACAGAGAAGCAGTGAGCCAGAACTAAAATCTCCAATGCAAAAGGAGGTGATTGCAAAAGAGCAGCTGCAGTTTTATCTGGAGGCATATATTTCAAAGGAGCTGGAATTCGTAGTGGTCTAAAAGTAGCATAAAGGAACAAAATTACATATCCTTCCTCTAGACCCTATGCTATGCCGAAGAATATGGAAGAAAAAAATACTGCTTAGGGCAGAGGAAAAGCTATAAAGGCAAAGGAAGATCCCATCTCAGGGGAGGTCTGGGTGTGAGAGCACTTTTTTCTGCTCAGTGACACCCAAATCTCAGCCCCAGGCTCACCATCTGAAATGTAAGGATGACATCACTGCCACTGCCAGAGAGCCAGTACATAATAGTCACGTGCAATGACCCACATTTTGTTTAGCTTCTTTCAAATTGTCATTATATTTTCAGTATTTACCTTCCTGTTGTAATTGAGCCAAGAAAAGTGCAAGGTATGTATCTGATATTAGTTCTGGACCCGTCAAGAGAGAATTCAAGTTAAACCACTGTAAAACAAAAACAAAAACAAGTCAGAAATTTAAGCAAATATATTTGAGTATATATAATAAAGAGCTTTCACATGTTAAGAATAGAGCTACTCAGGAGGTGAAAATAGTAGGATGATGGTGGCACACACCTGCAATTTCAGCTACTCAGAAGGTGAAGCTAGGGAGATCATGGTCAGAGGCCAGCTCAAGCAAAAGCGTGAGACCCTATCTGAAAAACAAATTAAAAGCAAAAGGACTTGGGCATGGCTCAAGTGGTAGAGCACTTGCCTAGCAAGCATGAAGCCCTGAGTTTAATCCCCTGTCCCACCAAAAAAAAAAAAAAAAAAAAAGGAAAAAAAAAAAAAGAAAGAAAAAAAGAAAAGAAAAAAGGATAATCCTCCTAACTACTCAGGAGGCTGAGATCTGAGGACCACAGTTTAAAGCCAGCCCAAGCAGGAAAGTCTGTGAGACTCTTATCTCCAATTAATCACTAAAAAGCTAGAAGTGAAGCCATGGCTCAAGGGGTATAGAATAAAAAAAAAAAAGCAAGCAAGGGACAGTTTTTAGGCCCTGAGTTGAAGACTTAGGACACACACACACACACACACACACACACACACACACACACACACACACACACACACACGAAAGCACACACGCACGCACACACACACCACACGTAAAAGCCCATTGAAATGCAGGAAGAGTGTCTAAACAATGGCAATGGCAAAATGAAAGTTTCCAAAGTACTTGCATAACATCATTTTTAAAAACTGAAGTTCAATGCTAGAGGTTTATCACGAGTTTTTTTTTTGTTGTTGTTGTTTTTTAAGGTTTCCTTTTAGCCAGGGGTGGGGTATACCGGGCACAAAGTCATCTGTCCATGACAAGACAGACATATTTGTTCCTTGTTGGCAGCCTGTGCCTGTTTGCTTATAATGATAATTTTGTATGGCCACTAGCAGGAAAAAAATTTCACCTTAAAATTTAAGTCATAAATTGCCAGGTGCTGGTGGCTCACGCCTGTAATTCTAGCTACTCAGGAGGCTGAGATCTGAGGATTATGGTTCAAAGTCTGCTCTGGCAGGAGAGACCATGAGACTCCTATCTCCAATAAACCACTAGAAAACTGGAAGTGGCACTGTAGCTCAAGTGGTAGAGTGCTCACCTTGAGCTGAAGAGCTGAGGGACAACGCCCAGGCCCAGAGTTCAAGCCCCACAACCAACAAAAAAAAAGGCATAAATTTTAAATCCTCCCCACGTACAATAACTCCTAGTACCTCTAAATGTCTTTATTGAAAGTATCATTAACTCTTTCTCCAAACTGTCTGTCCAATTGGTATGGGAAAAAGGACCACTACATTCTTTTCTGGCTACTGGTGATGTTAGTTAAAACACTGCAATTGTGAGAATGTCAGGTACCCAGAAGAGACCAGGATAATCACCAGTTCACTTCCGTAAGACCACTGAAGAGCACCACATGGCGATAAACAGCACTGAGCCACCATCTGACAGCTATCCTCATAACCACAGACACAGTTTCCAAAGTTATTGTCAACATGGGGAGCAATTATTTTCCCTAGATTTTCATACCACCTGTAATACTTTTTTCACAGAAACAAGCTAAAGTGCAAAATACCCTTTTAACAAATATAAATCCAGAACAAAGGTAAACAAAGCAAAATTTGACATCCGTCCTTATCAAAGATCATTTCACTCAAAATGTGGAAATCAATTTTGAAGAGCTAAACATTTAAAAGTTTCAAAGTACAACATGTAAGTTTCTCAACAAGTCAATACAAAGGAATGTATGAAATCAAAATCTTCAGACCTTAAAAATCCAGTGGTCAGGGGCTGGGAATGTAGCTTAGTGGTAGAGTGCTTGCCTAGTATGCATGAAGTCCTGAGTTTGATCCCTAAGGACCACATAAACAGAAAAAGCCAGAAGTGGTGCTGTGGCTCCTGTGGTAGAGTGCTAGCCTTCAGCAAAAGAAGCTCAGGGACAGTACTCAGGCCCTGAGTTCAAGCCGTAGGACTGGCAAAAATAAATGAAAAAATTCATATGAAAAAAATTCAATAAATAAATGAAAAAATTCATTGATTTTTTTTTTTTTTTTAAAGAAACTGGATCACAGTTTCTTAAAGCCAGAGTGGTTAAATAATCTGGGTTATCTTCCGCCTCGTCATTTGTCACTTCGGCTGACTCTAATCTGGTTTCTATAAGCCATTTCCTTACAGTCTTAGCTCCTCTGAAGACTTCAAGAAAAAACTGTGGATTTTGGTGCAGGGATAAAGGGCAGGACTTTGCTAACCAATAGTCCCAAGCAATAATCACATAAGATAATACTACTTCCAGGTGGCTGCCAGTGACTTAAAAGATAACAGCATGGTTTTTAATTTTTGAATTCTCTTTTACTGATTTCACTCAATGCATTCTTGATTTTATTTTCTTTTTGCTTTTTATTTGATTTACTAGAGCAGTTTTGTTGGGACATAACTGACATGCAATATACCACACATATTTCAAGTATACAGTCTGAAATATTTTAACATTTGAATATACCCATGAATTTGTGAATACATTCACGACAGCCTGGAAACCTTGGTGCCCCTCTGTAGGCCTGTGCTTCATTTCTCCTCATTGTCCTTATCCCTTCACAGCCAGTCAGTCAGCTTCCTTGTTATGTAAGTTAGTTTCATTTGTTGGACTTTTAAGTAAATGGAACCATATGGCAGGCAGGACTTTGTGTCTGGCTCCATTCAATATAATTACCCTGAGACTGACCCAGGTTATTCTGTGTCAACAATTCATTCCTTTTTATTGTACAAGCTGGTTTCCAATAACCTTCTACTGAAGATGTACAATTCTAGTAAAAAGACTTCATTCAATTACAAAAAAAAAAGCTTGCTCAAGACATATTCCGTGGTTTATACTACATGTATTCCATGTAGATGTACAGCATTTTTGGAATGATGTGAGTAATCTTTTTATATAAACACAAACATAGTTGATTGTTTCCACGTATGCCTGATGAAGCTTCTGTGATGGCACTATACTAAATACACACTTGTAATTGTGATCACTGACAAAGCACACTTATCACAAAAAAAAAAAAATTCACTTCAATGTGGCCATAGCTGAACTGTCTTATCAAATTTTTATTATGGCACAAGTTATAGATGGCTTCCACAAAGGTATCTGTCAGAAAACTGACATTATATCTCTCTTCTGGTAGTTATCTTTTAAAATAGCAAAATTTTATCTGCCCATATTGACGCTGGCCTATAGACATAGCTCAGTGGTAGAGTGTGTGTTTAGCATATGAGACCCTGGGTTCTATCCTCAGCACCAGAGATAAAACACATGAATGAATCCATGCCAACACACCACTGATCAGTTTCATTTTAAAGGTACTAATCCTTACATTTTAGTTTCAAGTAGAATATACAGAATGGGAAAAAAAGATGAGAAAGGTGGAAAAATATTACCTGTTTTCCTAATTTTCTAACTGTAAACCAGTGTTCTTTATAATTGCATATAAATGATCTTTCATTTCTAGAAAAAAAATACACAATATTAAGTTGGAATATTATGAGTTCATATTCATTTATTGTGTCTACTAGCAAGTATTACACAAATTTTTTGATAATGGTTAAGTACCATTGATTTTTTATTTTAAGAGAAAATCACACACAGCCAAGGCTCTGGAAGCTCATCTCTATAATCCTAGCTACTCAGAAAGCTGAGATCTGAGAACAGAAGTTTGAAGCCATTTCAGGTAGACAAATCCAGGAGACTCTTATCTCCAATTAACCAGCAAAAAGCTAGAAGTGGAGGCATGGCTCAAATAGTACAGCACCAGCTGTGAGTGAAAAATCCCAGAAAGAGTGTCAGGCCCTGAGTATAAGCCCTGGTACAACACTGTAACTGTATAAAGCTCTCTGCACAGTTTAGTGATACTGTGTCAAATGACAGCCACCCATACCACTGAGAAATCAGTTCTGTGCTGCCACAAATAGTGGGAGTTAGGAAGTGTTGCCCATAGATGCTCAGAAAACACACCGAAGAGATGAAATAGGAAAGTCAGAAAGAATGAACAGCCAACATCAAAACAAAAGCATTGAAACTTTACTTGTTCTTCATTCAGAAAGTATAGCTTTAAAAAAATCAAACTTCAAAAAGAAATATAGAAAAAGCAAAAAAAAAAAAAAAAAAAAACTTAAAAAAAATCTTACATAGGATCAATCCTGAGCCTCTGATACTCTGGACTGTTGAACAGGATTAGTTCTAAACCCCAGACTTTCAAGGCATTGCTTATAACCTGTTAAAGAAAAAAACAAAACAAAAAAGCAACTTTTCATGAGCTAAAAACAATTTTTCAATACAAACTGAAGTATAGCCATATTAATTATATATACAATTATACGTCATGTGTGAATTGACCTAAAAAGCTATGGTTCTAAAAGTATATCTACAAAGTTAAATCACTAAATCCATAATTGACCCAAGTGTGCTTGAAAGAATGCTATTTATACCAGGTTTCCAAGACTTCCCAGAAAACACAATTCCTAGATAAAACTGATTTAAAAAATCTACATGTCAACTGCAGATTTACTATTTACAATGCCAGTAATGACATGGCAAGTAAAAAACAAGTTCTCCCTGAGGATTTAAATGGAAGATTCCATCCACTTCAGAATTCTATAATTATAAGCTGTTAATCTGTAGAAGAAAAGGCAAACCCAATTATTTTAAACTGTGTAAATGACAGGGAAACTTGTAAAAATTCACTACCCTCCAGACAAGCCAATAAAGAAAGCAAAGCAAACCAGCTACAAGCACAGACAAAATGTAAAGGAGAGGTTATGGCAAACAGAAACTTCTACCAAGAGCAACACCATACATATAGGACATGACAAGAGCTGGGTCAACTCTGGTCTCTGATCTCAAGCCAGTTGCAGTGGCCCTCACCACTGACCAACACCGTGAAGCACTGAGAGGTACTGCTGGGAATGACAAGTCTAGGAGGGGAGACAGTGTAATGTCAGCGAAGACACACAGGTACAGAAGTGAGGTCTACAAGGGAGGTACTAAAAAAAGTGTGGGTACACCCCAGACTGTTAGAATCAAAGATCCACACATAAAGAATATCCCAATATATAAATAACTGCCTAACATGTAACTGCCTAACATGTACAAGTTCTGTAAAAGTAAATAAATTAATAAACAACCAGCCTGGGAGCCAGTGGCTATCATCCCATGCCTATCATCCGAGCTACTTAGAAGCTGAGACCTAGACGATCACTTTGAAGGCAGTCCAGGCCAAACAGTTCATGAGACTCCATCTCTCCAATCAACTAGCAAAATGCTGAACTAGAGGTGTGGCTCAAGTGGTAGAGTATCAGCTATTAGCAAGAAAGCCAAGCAAGAGCTCAAGGCTTGTCTAAGTTCAAATCTCAGTAGCAGTAGCAAAACAACATCAAAACAACAACAACAGAATCAAAAAGGAACTACAGGGGCTGGAGGTATGGATTAGTGGTAGAGTACATGGGATGTCTAGCATGTGTGAGGTCCTGGAGTTGATACCTAGCACAGACACATAAAAAGCTGTATCTTATAATAAACCCTTCTAGGCTGATATAAATGAAAAGTAATGATTTACCTGACAGATAGTAAGCTTGAAACACTGTAACATTACTAGAATATTACTAGCAGCTTCCAGATACAAATTAAATATTCATTCTCACAAGTAATTTTTACAAGTCCTACACTAAAATGAAAATCCAACAGTCCTAATGCCCCTGCTTATCTGTATCTAAATTGTGCACTCTGTACACAGCTTCTGGGAGGAACTCCTCAAGATCACATGCATAATAATTACAGCGACTATAAACTAAGTTTAACCAGTGCTTGGCACACAAAGAAGACTTAGTACATGCTGGTGAATACTTACTTGAATGGAGAAAAAGCCACTGTCATCCATGTTTCCAGAAGGCTGCTGTTCATTTTGATGGGTAATGGGAGATGAGGAAGGATAAAAGCTGTTATTAGTGTCTATTATTTAAAATACCATGGTATGCATTCTCATTTACAAAGCCAAAAGTAGAGTTCTAATTAACGTTCCTCTAGGAAGAATAGCCCCCTTCTTCTAAATAGCATGCACGGTTTTTAAACAACACAATCAGTACCTGTAGAAAGGAGCGATAGTCTTCACTGGTTACTCCACCTTCTGCCATTCTTATCCTCTCTTCCTCATCCAGCTGATGGGCGATTGAAGATAACTCCACAGGGCTAAAATATTCTCCTTGCAATAGATTATTCAGGCAATGCTGAGCACAAAGGGAGCCTTCTTGCTAGGATTGCCAAAAGAAAAACATTCAAGTGTGATTTATTAAGCAGTTGTGGATGGTATCTTCTAAAATAGTCGACCACTCATTTTTAAATATAGTCAAGCCAAACTGCCTGCAGAGGCAAACCTGATTACCATTTGGTACATGCATCTGTACTTGCCAACGTTAAACAGTTATACTATTAGTGAATCTACAATTACTGAACTACTGTCTCTGATCAAAAATATAATAATTCATAGTAAACGGACTTCATTTACCAAATCTCATTTATTACTAGAAAGAAACAGTGCTATAAAAACCATTTAGCGGGCTGGGAAGTTGGCTCAGTGGTAGAGCACTTGCCTTGCATGCCTGAGACCCTGGGTTTGATTTCTCAGCACCACATAAGCAAAAAAGAAAAAACCCGGAAGTGGCGCTGTGACTCAAGTGGTAGAGCGCTAGCCTTGAGCTGAAGAACTGAGGAAGAACAGCGCCCAGGCCCAGAGTTCAGACCCCATGACCGGAACCCCCCCAAAAAAACAAAAAACAAAAAACAAAAAAAAACCATTTAGCCTTTCTAATTTTAAGTACCTAAAATAAATTCATCTTTGCAGATTCCAGGGGAAATTATTAATGCTGAGGGGGAGTTTCAGTCCCTAGAACATTGCTTCTTTTAACAAGCTCATCTCAATTATCTGGTCTCAATGCTTGTTCCTGGGAATTTCGCATTTCAAAGAGCTAATACAGATGAGAAAAATTGCATCCCATGTTACATTTGTGGCTCTAAAGCTGAGGTTCTTTCTCTTTGGTGAACTCGGCAGATTCTGGAGAGTACAGCACACAGAACAGTCCCAAACTGACCCCAAGCTCACTCCTGTACAGCCAGCAAGAGGGACTTGCATCCAAACTCAGTTCCCCAGGGGATAGCTGGCTTCCTCCCCATGCAGGCCAGGCACCAACTTTCCACAGGCCCAGGGGCTTCTGGTGATGGGCAGCTGGCTTTCACATACAACTGGCACCTCAAATCCAAATCCAGACTGCCAGACACTGAGCAGCTTGCCACCTTCCTCCTCCCAACTATTGCTTTCCCACACTGTAGGGAAAGAAGGGAGCGTCATGGGTGGACAGGACCCCTTCCTGGAACCACAGATCCTTGGACAATGGAGGATGGGAGAACATTTCCTTCTGTTAACTCTGGCTTTTACATTCTCTCCCCAGTCAAGTCTACTTCTTCATGCAACCTGTCCACATCATGCAATTTGTTCTGCGCAATGGGAGATAAAAGACCGTGGGCCCAAAGAGCACACCTTGCTAAATAAGTATTATTCTTCATCAATTTCCTAGAAACAAAATGCTGTTGTTGAAACAGATGTGGGGTATAGGTATGTCAATGGGATAAAAAGGTAACATTGAGCCAGGCACTGGTGACTCACGCCTCTAATCCTAACTACTCAGGAGGCTGAGATCTGAGGATGGCAGTTCAAAGCCAGCCTGGGCAGGAAAGTCCATGAGACTCTTCTCCAATTAACCACTGGAAAACTGGAAGTGGTGCTGTGGCTCAAGTGGTAGAACGCTAGCCTTGATCTGAAGAGCTGAGGGACAGTGCCCAGGCCCAGAGTTCAAGCCCCATGACCTACCAAAAAAACAAACAAACAAAAAAACTCAAGAAAGTATACATCATTGCCAGGCACTGGTGGCTCATGCCTGTAATCCTAGCTACTCAGGAGGCTGAGATCTGAGGATCATGGTTCAAAGCCAGACAGGGCAGGAAATTCCATGAGACTGTTCGCTCCAATAAACCACCAGAAACCTGGAAGTGGTGCTGTGGCTAAGTGGTAAAGCACTTGCTCTAAGCTGAAGCGCTCAGGGACAGTGCCCAGGCCCAGAGTTCAAGCCCCACGACTGACCCCCCCCCCCCCCAAAAAAAAAAAAAGTCCTTACAAAAATTCAAAAACAGGGGCTGGGAAGGTGGCTCAGTGGTAGAGTGCTTGCATTGCATGCATGAGGCCTGGGTTCGATTCCTCAGCACCGCATAAGCAGAAAAAGCTGGAAGTGGTGCTGTGGCTCAAGTGGTAGAGCACTAGCCTTGAGCTGAAGAGTTGAGGGGCAGTGCCTAGAGCCACAGTTCAGGCACCATGACTGGCAAAAAAAAAAAAAGATTCAAGAACATGTAACCAGAATCAACACCATTAGATTTTCTCTGGAGGAAGAGTTAGCACCTGAAGAAGGGTGCAACAAGGCTTTCAGATGTAGCTCTTATAATAAATGTGCTATATTTAATTTTGTAATATTTTTAAAAAATCAGACAATATGGTAAGCACACTGGTAGCTGATGCTTGTAATAGTAGCTACTCAGGAGGCTATCTTGGAGGACTGAGGTTCAAAAAGCCAGCCCAGGCAGAAAAGACCACGAGACTCAGTTTTCAATCAACCAGCAAATTCTCGTCTAGAGGCCTGGCTCAAGTGGTATAGCACCAGCTGTTAGAAAACCCTTAGCAAATGGCTCAAGTGGTAGAGCGCTAGCCTTGAGTTGAAGAGCTGAGGGACAGCGCCCAGGCCCAGAGTTCAGACCGCATGACCGGACCCCCCCCCCCAAAAAAAAAAAGAAAACGCTTAGCAAGAGTGTGAGGCCTTAGTTCAAGCCCTGGGAGCAGCACCAGAAAAAATATCAATCAGGGCTGGGAAGGTGGCTCAGTGGTAGAGCGCTTGCCTTGCATGCTCAAGGCCCTGGGTTCCATTCCTCAGCACCACATAAGCAAAAAGAAAAAAGCCAGAAGTGGCGCTGTGGCTCAAGAGGTAGAGCGCTAGCCTTGAGCTGAAGAGCTGAGGGACAGCGCCCAGGCCCAGAGTTCTGGCCCCACAACTGGACCCAAAAAAAAAACAAAAAAAAAGAAAAAAATATCAATCAATAAATCAATCAGCCAGAATTTAAGAAAAGGTTTGTGTTAAAATATAGGTATTCACACATCAAGTGCTACCTACTATGATTATCAGACTGGGTTTTCTGGCAACATTGGCAATAAATTTTACTGTCCCGCTGTTAAATACCTCAGTTCGAAGCTAATGAACTATGGTCACTGTATCTAGTATCATGTCAAAATAGGAATATCCAAATATTTGAGAAAACATTCTTACTAAAGACTTAGCTTTAAATTATAGGATATAAGCCCTTGAAATCCCACCCTGTTCAATACAAATAAGACTATATTACTAGAAGAAATATAAAATTTTGCACTCTTAACATAATTTAATAAACGGCAAGAGCCAAGTGTTCAGTCCAATTTAAAAATCATTTTGTCACAAGATAAAATTCTACATGAATGAAAACTGTACAATGCTCTACCTACGATTATCCATTTTTCTACTTTATTCTCCCCTCTCCTGTTCTCTCTGCCCTCTTCAAGATTTCACCCAGTGAGCCATGTGCCAGGTAGCTCACAGTTGTAATCCTAGTTACTGGGGAAGCTGAGATCTGAGGATCATGGTTCAAAGCCAGCCCAGGCAGGAGAATCTGTGAGACTCTTATTTCCAATTATAGCCCTCCCCCCCCCCACAACAAAGGCTAGAAGTAGAGCTGTGGCTCAAATGGAAGAGCGCCAACCTTGAGCAGAAAAAGCTCAGGGACGGCTAGCTCCCAGGCCCTGAATTCAAGCCCCAGGCCCAGCACCAAAGGGGTGGAAAAAAAAAAAAAAGATTTCACCCAGTTGAAGAGCAACCAGCTCTCTTCAAGTTAATGTTCAGTGGTATCGAAATTCCATTATTTCTGGCCTAGACAATTTCCACTTCTAACAAAACATTTTATAAAACCACAAAAGGAAACTGAAACCAAATCACCACCCTGCAACTGGTTCCAATACCCCAGAGGTACACTACATATAGCAGAAACCAGGCAGACCCTAAAGGTGTTCTCAGAAATGAGCTAGTTTGTAATAAGTCGAGTGGAACTAGAGAGGTCACCGGTCCTCAAGTCATTTCATAATGATGGAGAAGATGCCTTGGTCTCCACCTCATACTTAAGTGCTTTCCTATGCCTCAGATTTTTTTTCTGTTTGGTTTTGGTGCCAGGGATTGAACCCAAGTTCATGTGCATGTGTTGTACTACTGAACTATATCCCCAGCCTTCTCCCACTCTTTAATATGGGGCTAGCAAGCAGAAAATGTAAGGCATCAGCCATTATTTCTGGATCCCTGCCTGCCAGGTGTCTCCTACACACACCAGCTTTCAGGTAGACCTGTTGTCTCCTTACACTGTAGAGGGAGAGTACCAGCACAGAGGTAAACTTGTCTGTCTTGGATCACATTGGCAGAAACTGGGATTCAAAGGCAGGTAGATGTTTCAAAGTCTAGCTATTACCACCTCCTCAAGTCAATTACTTGGAATTTGGCTTTTCCTAAACCCCAAGCATACTGAAGATGTCTAGAAGCTAGCAGTCACCAACAGGCATAGGATGTCCCAAAATCAATATCCAGCATTTTAAAAATTTTTTCATGGTACTCCTTCACAGTTCACATTACATTAAAAGCACCAAGTCCAAAGACACAGTGCACCAAGAGTAGTTAGTCATGGAAGTGGTCACAGAAACCACAGAAAACAGGCACCAGACTAAGAATGTCAGTGCTCACAAAACCAAACAGATACTAGGCAGTTAGTATTAGGGTTTAAGTCAGGAATTAGTAAAGCCCAATCTCTGTACCAAATTCAACTTTCCCAATGGCTAAAAATGTTTCTTTTTTAAAATATATTTAGACAATTGGAGGAACACCCCCACATACACCCAAATGAGAATTAGATAGATGTATAAGAACTGCAAAGCCTTCAAGCACTTCTAGAAAAGTTGTTTACTATAAGCAAAGAATACCACATACAGCTTAGATACTCAAGAAACTTATTTTTCAGGGTGCAGAGCCTCCTAAGCAGGAATCTACCACTTGAACCACACCCCCAGGATCTTCCTGTGACTATAATCCTCCTACCTGAACTACATTCTTGGTTCCTTACGTATTCTGAAAATTGACAGTGACTTTTTTGTGTGCTGGACCTGGGCCTGAACTCAGAGCCTGGGCACTGTCACTGAGCTTTTTTGCTAAAAGTGCTCTACCAGTTGAGCCATAGCTGCATTTCCAGATTTTTCTTTTTGGTGCTTAGTTGGAGATAAAGAGTTTCACAGACTTTTCTTGTCCAGGCTGGCTTTGAACTGTGATCTTCCTATCTCAGCCTCCTGAGTTGCAGGCTTAGAGTTATGAAGCACCACGTGAAAGTTACTTCCTTTGGTAAGCAGACTTTCATTAAGCTAGCACCTTGCTTTTTATACTTTGGTTCAGTAAGTTATCTTCTGCTGTCCAGAAGAATTACTATGAATACTGTTGAAAATACAGTGTATAAATCTCATGAAGTTGTATAGAATGTGTTCAGTTTTCCACAATGGAATGTGAGTCTATATCAAAGCCTTTGAGAATTAGAAATACACACACACATACACACACACACACACACACACACACACACACAGAGTTGGGAACAAGTGGCTCATGTTTACAATTCTAGCTATTCAGGAGGCTGAAATCTAAGTATCAAAGTTGGCCCTGGTAGACAAATCCATGAGATCCATTTCCAAATAACCAACAAAAAGTCAAAAGTGGAAGCCTGGCTCAAATGGTAGGGTGCCAGCAGTGAGCACGAAAGGCCCAGCAAGCGTGCTTCAAGTCCTAATACTGGCACATACTCAGAAAGAAATGTGATTCACTTACAGACACACATCAGCTGTGGCACAAACCTGTAATCCCAACACTTAGGAGTCAGGCTGATTGCCAATTCCAGGCCACCATGGACTAGATACCTTGTCAATTAATAAATCAAACGTTCTGAAACACCTTCTTAAAAGCACTTCATTTCTCCAGGTACTGTGCTCCGTCCTGTAATCCCAGCTGAGACAAGAGGATCAAGAGTTTGTTGCCAGCCTGGGCTACATAGTACAACCCCATCTGACCTCCCCAACACCAAAGGAAGAAAAAAATCACAGAACTTATTCAGCAATTTATCTGGATTTACATTACACATATATACTGCGCTCCTTTTGTCTTTGTGTTTTTAAATATCTTGGATAAATGCTCTTTCATAAGTACTTAACTAAACAAAAACTCTTTGCTTTAAGTAATAGCCTCGTCTAAACTTTATGAAAACTATTAGGAAATCAGATACCATATGCAAAAGCCATCTTGAGGAAGATTTCACTCACACCCAAATGGCAGGATGATTGTACTTGATTCCAGACCAGTTTCTCAAGATGCCATCAACGGTGGTATCTCTGAGTGTGTGGTCAGGGAAGTCCGTAACAGGTGAGGCCGATCACAACTACACATTATTCCAGTCCATTCCTAACTACAGAAAAAGCAAAGCTGGCTTCCCGATCGCGAAAAGATGGCAATCCCCAAACCAAACACACATCTCCTCCCCCCCCCCCCCGCACCCCCGATAAAAACAACGCTCAAGACGACGCCCCTGCTTTGGGGGCGCCCGGGAAGTTTCCCACTGCACTTCCTAGATGCCAGGCCCTAGGAGGGGCGAGCCGAGGTCTCCGCCCTCGGGAGGGACAGGAACCGGGGTGGAAGATCAGGCACCACATCCCCAAAGATCTGAGTGCGTGGGAGATTCCATTATAGAACTGAGGGGCCCAGAAAGAAAAGTTGATTCTACCCCGGGTCGGACGGGCCCCGGGGCGGAGGAGCCGGGAAGGCTCCGGGGAGGGCGACTCCAACCAAGACCCGAGGAAAGCGGGGAGGACTGGGCACTCCCCCCGCCCCCACGCCCGCGCGAGCCCCCCGGGCGCCGCCTCCGACACGCCCCCGGGCCGACCCCCTCTACCTCCGGACACCAGCAGCACGGCCAAGGCTGCGAGCCGAGGCGTCGGGGAAGGTCCCCGCCCGAGGAGGGTGGCCCCCCCCGCCCGGCAAGGACCAGATCCGGGAGCCTCGGGCCCCACCCCACGCTCCGTGGACAGCGATCGGCACCCCACGCCCGTCACCGCGCCGCGGAAGGGCCCCCGCCGAACGCGGACACTTACTTTCTCGTGGAAGATGGACTCCATATTTATTTGTCTGGAGCCAACGGCCCCCCGTGCCGAAGCAGCCCCTCAGCTCCGCCCCCGGCCGGCCCGCTCCGCCCACGTGCTTCGCACAGGCCAATCGTGCCTGAGGAAGTGAGTCACGTGGTGCGAAGAGCGCGTGAATGCCTGGAAAGGGTTGAGGGGGGCGGGGGTGGGAAATCAATGCGGAGGCACGTGACCGTAGTGTGCGCCTCCCTTGCCTGTTACCGGGCTACGAGCGTGGGGCTGCAGTGCCACCTGCCGTCCGGAGGAGCTTTCTTCCGCCTTCCACCCAGTGCCATACATTCTTTGGTTTCTAGGGGAGTGCATGAGGATCAACCAGCTAGGTTCTATGTTCTTTTTTCCTTTCAGCATTTACTAAGTACATTCTGCTTATCTATACGTAATTTAGTGTGTGTGTGTGTGTGTCCGTCTTGAGGCTTGAACTTGGGGCCTGGGCACTATCCCTGAGCTTTTTTGCTCAAGACCAGCCCTCCCCCACAGAAGCCATAGCTCTACTTTCAGCTTGGTGGTGGTTAATCCCAGGTAAATCTTAGGGACTTTACTGCCAGGGCCAGCTTTGAGCTGTGATCCTCAGATCTAAGCTTCCTGAGAAGCTAGGATTACAGGCATGATCCACGGTGCCCAATTACATGCATTTAACATCTTTGTCCTCCCCCACGGAAAACCCCATTAGAGGAAAAGCCATTACTGCATCCTCCCAATACCTCAAACTTGTGTTAAAATATTTAGGACTTTTTCTGCAGTAAAAAAAATTTTTTTACCTAAGGCTTTAGTATAAACTAGGCAGTCTTGTAAATGCTACATACTAACCAATTTAATGTACCAATCATTAATGGGTTCATTTTCCTATTATACATACTAGGAAATTCAGCTTCCAGTGTCAAGGCCTGATATTAAGTTGCATTGTAGGCCCAGCACAGTGGCTCACACCTGTTATCCTAATTACTCAGTAGGCTGAAATTTAAAGATAATTTGAAGTCAGCCCAGGCAGCAAAGACTGAGACTCTTATCTCCAACAAACTACCACAAAAAGCCACAACTGGAGCTCTGACTGAAGTGGTAAAGTGCTAGTTGTGAACAAAAGAAGTTCAGGGACAACACTCAGGCCCTGAGTTAAAGCCTCAGGACTAGCACCAAAAAAAAAAAGAAAAAGAAAAGTTGCATTATGAGCTGGGCACTGGTGGCTCAGGCCTGTAAGCCTCACTACTCAGGGCACTGAGCTCTGGAGGACTGCAGCTTGAATCTAACCTGGGCAGAAAAGTCGAAAAAACTCCCATCTCCAATTAACTAGCACAAAACTGTGCTGGAGGAATGGCTTAAATGATAAAGTGCCAGAAAAATAATTGTGAGCCTGTTGAGTTGAAACCCCAGTACTGGCAGAAAGAAAAGTTGCATTGTGAAGATAAAAATCCAACACTGTTGCCAGGATGTTCTAGCCCTGAAGATGAAGCATCAGGTGGAACTAAAATGTCTGTCTTAGAAGAGGATTTGAAGCTCAAGGGTAGGAAACTTGTACATCTTGCACCTTGAAACCATGCTAGGATATTCTTTTTTTTTGGGGTCCGGTCGTGGGGCCTGAACTCTGGGCCTGGGCACTGTCCCTCAGCTCTTCAGCTCAAGGCTAGCGCTCTACCACTTGAGCCACAGCACCACTTCTGGCTTTTTTCTTTTTGCTTATGTGGTGCTGAGGAATCAAACCCAGGGTCTCATGCATGCAAGACAAGCACTCTACCGCTGAGCCAACTTCCCAGCCCTAGGATATACTTTTTGTATGTTTATACTGGTACTAGTAGGGCTTGAACTCAGGGGCCTGGAGCTTTGGTTTGGCTTTGTCATTCAAGGCTAGTGCTCTACCCTTTGGCCTACACCTCCACTTTGCCTTTTTGCTGGTTAATTGGGACTGTGATCCTCATCTCAGTGTCCTGAGTAGTTGGGATTATAAGCACGAGCCACTGGCATTGGACCTACATTGAACTGGGGAAAAAAATGAACGAGGCATGTCTCTGCCCTTATGTGGTTCAGCCTATTGAGGACGTGTGTATGGGAGGCTACACAATCTCATCAAGTGTGACCCATACACACATACACACTTATTGTCTGTTTTGGAGATTGTAACCTCATAGACTTTTCTGCCTGAGCTGGCTTTGAACCTTCATCCTCCAAGACCTCAGCCTCCTGAGTAGTTGGGATTGCAGGTGTGAGCTAAATTTTTCTTGTATACAGAGGGCTTCCTTGTTATATCTGCACTGGGGGATACACTAAAGCCACATCTAAACCACAGCAGATATTGTAACTTTTTTTCCCCTGAACAATATCTGAATAAAATAGATAAATGATTTATTAGTATGTGATCCAAAATGAAAAACAGAAAATTAAATATTATAAATTTAACTTCTATATATTCAAATAAATACTCAATAATTAAGTTTACTTGGCACTTGCCTCAATAAAATATAAAAGTGGGGCTGGGAAGGTGGCTCAGTGGTAGAGCGCTTGCCTTGCATGCATGAGGCCCTGGGTTCGATTCCTCAGCACCATATAAGCAAAAAGAAAAAAGCTGGAAGTGACGCTGTGGCTCAAGTGGTAGAGCGCTAGCCTTGAGCTGAAGAGCTGAGGGACAGTGCGCAGGCCCAGAGTTCAGGCCCCACGACCGGACCCCCAAAAAATAAAATATAAAAGTATGTAAAAGATTACTTTGATAAAAAGTACACAAACAACCACACTTCAAATTCTAATTAAGTAATAAATGGTTTTATTTCTCCCATAATTTTAGAAATGTGAACATTATGTGATTAGCCAGTCTTTACTTCCAAGTGACTTCTTCCTCAGGCCTCAATTCCCTGTGTGACAAGAAAAGAAAGGAACAAAGACTATTTAATGACCTATTAATCTAAATTTGTTGTTGTTGTTGTGGTCAGGGGCCTGGGGCTTGAACTATGAGCCTGAGCTCTTTTGCTCAAGGCTAGTGCTCTATCACTTAGAGTCTCAGCATCACTTCCTTTTTTCTGTAGGTTAATTGGAGATAAGAGTCTCATGGACTTCCTGTTCAGGCTGATTTCAAACTATGATCCTGAAATCTCAGCTTCCTGAGTAGCTAGGATTCCAGGCATGAGCTACAGGCACCTGGCTAATCTAAATTTTTTCCAGGAGTTTTTAAATCCCATTTTCTGCATGGAGAGCAGGAAGTGTTTTCCTCCTTCCCTCCCTCCTTTAACCTTGTTATACAAAAATAAATACTTGCTAAGACTTGCATCTTTTGAGACCCTTTTTTGCGAGCCACCCTGAAATATTCATGTGTAGATCTCAACAACTTATGATTATGTGTGGAAAGCGGGACACCTTCATCCATTCTGCAGTAACAGAAATGGTGATGCTGAGACAGGATCTAGAGCTCAGAAGGGTAACTTGCTATCTTCTGATCCTGATCATCTTCTCCGCCTAATTGTGAGGGCCTATCAACTAAATTTCCCATGTCACCTCCTAAATTAGATGGGAAAACAACTTTTTGCTTCCATTTTTCCAAGAAGGGCCAACAATCCACTTTAGCAGAAAGCAGCTACAGAAGTTGGCCACTGCTTCTGATACACCTTTGATTTATAAAAGGGACTAAAGTAATTTTGGGAGGTAGGTAATCCTTCCTTTCTCCCTGCTTTCTTTCCTTTCTCTTTCTTGTGTCAATACTACTGAGCTCATGAACTTAGGGCCTGGGTGCTGCTGTTCCTTATCTTTTTTGCTCAAGTCCAGCACTCTCCCACTAGAGGCACAGCTGTGCTTCTGCCTTTTGAGGGAGGTTAACTAGAGATAAGAGTCTCAACTACTTTTCTTCTATCTTGGTTGGTTTTAAACTGTGACCCTCAGATCTCAGCTTCCAGAGTAGTTAAGATCTCACAGGTGTGAGGCTGAGAAGGTGGCTCAGTGGTAGAGTGCTTACTTAGCATGCATGAAGCCCTGGGTTCAATTCCTCAGTACCACATACACAGAAAAAGCCAGAAGTGGTGCTGTGGTTCAAGTGGTAGAGTGCTAGTCTTGAGCAAGTAAAGCTCAGGGACAGCACTCAGACTCTTGAGTTCCAGCCCTAGGACTAGCAAAAAAAAAAAATCTCACAGGTGTGAGCCACAGCTATTATTTTTTTGGAGTCCGGTCATGGGCCTGAACTCTGGGCCTGGTCACTGTCCCTCAGCTCTTCAGCTCAAGGCGGCTAGCGCTCTACCACTTGAGCCACAGCACCACTTCCGGCTTTTTTCTTTTTGCTTATGTGGTGCTGAGGAATCGAACCCAGGGCCTCATGAATGCAAGGCAAGTGCTCTACCACTGAGCCACCTTCCCAGCTCCCCATTATTTTTGCACATATGACATTAAGAATACTAATCAAAGCTGGCCAATTGCTTGAAAAATGCCTGAACTAACCTTCTAAATAACATACTCTTGTTCCGGAAGGCAGTTAGCTTTTCGTCACTCTTTTTGTCTAGATAATATCCAAATAAAAATCCTGAAGGGACAAGTATATGAACCCAATGGTCGCGGACAAGCTGAAGGAAATTCACCATGACTGCTGGAAGGAAAAAAAAAAAAGAAAGATTATAAACTAAAATATATAATTGCCTTCAAAATTAAAAAGGAATACTCAGCCTGACAGTACAATAATGACTATTTCACAATAGGGACACAGAGACTGGGAAGAGAAAGGGTTAAGGGCGTCTTGAAGGTACAAGAGTACAGGAAGTGGCACTGTGGCTCAAGTGGTAAACTGCTAGCCTCCAGCTGAAGAGCTGAGGGGCAGCGCCCAGGCCTAGAGTGTAAGCCTCAGGACCAACAAAAAACAAACAAAACAAACAAACAAAAAACCCTGAGGGTGCAAGAGGATAAATGGGTATGATCAATGCGCACTGTATCCGTGAGAATGTCCTTACCATGTACAATTACTGCACTAGCAGTAAAAAATAACAAGGTATCTTCTGAATTGCACATAAAACAGAAAGATGGCAGAAGATATAAGAGAAAAAAAGCAGAATAAGCTTCTTTATTTTTTTGGGGTCTGGTCGTGGGGCCTGAACTCTGGACCTGGGTGCTGTCCCTCAGCTCTTCAGCTCAAGGCTAGCGCTCTACCACTTGAGCCACAGCGCCACTTCCGGCTTTTTTCTTTTTGCTTATGTTGTGCTGAGGAATGGAACCCAGGGCTTCATGCATGCAAGGCAAGCGCTCTACCACTGAGCCACCTTCCCAGCCCCTCTTTATTTTTTTTATTTTTTGGGGGTCCGGTCATGGGGCCTGAACTCTGGGCCTGGGCGCTGTCCCTCAGCTCTTCAGCTCAAGGCTAGCACTCTACCACTTGAGCCTCAGCACCACTTCTGGCTTTTTTTTTCTGCTTATGTGGTGCTGAGGAATCGAACCTAGGGCCTCATGCATGCAAGGCAAGCGCTCTACCACTGAGCCACCTTCCCAGCCCTAAGCTTCTTTAAATTTGCTTGGCAACAGAATGCAGCATAAGTCTTAAAATCTACTTGATAGATTAGATAGGTGTCAATGATTTATATAAAAATTACACTGAAAGCAGAGCGGTGACTCAAAGTGGTACAGTGCTAGCCTTGCCAAACCAAAACCAAAGAGCACTGTACTATCCTCTCTTTATTAAATTTTATTTGATCAGTTGTGGGGCTTGACCTCAGGGACTGGATACTATCCCTGAGCCTCTTGGTGCTCAAGGCTAGCACTAGCCACACAGTGCCACTTGCAGCTTTTTCTGTTTATGTGGTACCGAGGAGTCAAACCCAGGGTTTCATGAATGCCAAGCAAGTACTCTATCACTAAGCCACATTCCCAGCCCCAATATTTAGATCTTTAAAGTACTTTTTACTCTACTGTCCAAGTATCCAGCAAGTAAACTGGTTTCTTGCTGTCTAAACTTAAGCCAGTCAAAACACTTAATTGAGATAACTTTAAAGCATTAAACTCTCATTTGGTAGACAATTTGTTTCTGTGTTCGTGTAACCTGAGTTCAGGTTCAGCTAAATTACAATCTTCCATTCTGCTATTTGTTCTTATTAGAGTTGGCAGAGTTCTGAAGTGATGTCATAATACAACTGTTAAGACATCATTTTATACTCAGCCAAAAAGTACTTGCTGATTTGCAGCTCAAGTAGTTTTAAACAAGCCCATGGCCACCTGTGGGTTATATGCCATTCTGGTAAGCATCCTTGTAAGAGGGCCAGAGGCTATTGATTAGTTTGGTCTGGTCTAGTCTGAGCAGAAAAGATGAGACAAGCCCTTGCTACACACATTACATAAGCAAGGACAGTAGGACTGGTAAGACAATTCTGTTCCTTTGGTTGTACTCAACCACTATGAAGGAACATCCCTAAGTGGTAAATGACAAATCCTAGTGCTATGTCATATTACAGTTGTATAGTCTATAGTCAGTGGCTTCTGAGAGTGGTGCCCTGAACATCAATTGTTCTGTATGATTTCCCGTGAGAAAAGAACCATCTGCTTTATAGAGTTACTGCCTGGTGGGGTCCCATAAGATTGCTGTATATATTATTATCAGTGATCTTCTTTCTTTCTTTTTTGTCGGTCGTGGGGCTTGAACTCTGGGCCTGGGCGCTGTCCCTCAGCCCTTCAGCTCAAGGCTAGCGCTCTACCACTTGAGCCACAGCACCACTTCTTGCTTTATTCTGCTTATGTGGTGCTGAGGAATCAAACCCAGGGCCTCCTACATGCGAGGCAAGCACTCTACCACTGAGCCACCTTCCCAACCCCAGTGATCTTCTTTATATAAGGACCCATAAGAAAGTTTTGCTTCAGAACCAGGAGCAGCTATATTTCTGAAAAAGTGAATTGAGTTTAATCTTAAGGTTTAAGGAACTGTGTACCCTTTCTTTTTCATGTGAGTGGGGTGGGGGAGGAGAGGGTACTGAGGACTCTTAGCACTCAATTGCATACCCAACCCCCTTGTCATGGCTCCTTCCTTGGTCCCTTCCTTCCCCTCCCCATTACTTTTTTTTTTTTTTGGTGCTAGTCCTGGGACTTGAACTCAGGGCCTGGGTGCTGTCCCTGACCTTTATTGCTCAAGGCTAGTACTTTACCACTTGAGCCACAGCTCCACTTCTGGCTTTTGGTGCTTAATTGAAGGTAAGTCTCACAGACTTTCTTGCCTGGGCTGGCCTTGAACCGCAATCTTCAGATCTCATAGCCTACTGAGTAGCTAGGATTACAAGTGTGAGCTAGCCATGCACATCTCTTCATCTGTTTTAAGGAAAAGTTTCCCTATGTAGACAAGTTAGTCTTGAATTCTGGATCCCTTGTTTTGGCTTGTGAGTGCTAGGATTACAGGGATTTATCATTGTGTGTAGCACTTATCTTCTAATATTAAAAGAATTATTTATTTCTTGCATAGATATACTTAGTGCTGAATCTTTTGAAACAGGCTCTTGCTATTTGTCCAGGCTGTCTTTGAATTTGCCATTCTGTCTCATTCCCCTAGGCAGCAGGTATTATAGGGATTGGCCATCTTGAAGGGCTAAACCATATCTACTCTCAGGTATGGTTTTTGCATAAGCAACTCATGAAATCCTCACAATACCACTATACTTATATTTAATAACATAATGTCCCCAATGCAGGGAGCTCATTTTTTTCCCCCAAACCCAAGGGTAAAGTGACTCACATAGGATAACAGATGTGGTAAGTGGCAGAGTTGAGGTTAGTATATTGTATTCCCCAAGTAGTCTGGCTACTTGGCTCAAGCTCTTGTACTTCACTGTTTAATAAGTATGAAGGTAAACATATTAACCTCCCTCTCATCTTTCAGAGTTTTTTTGGGGGGGGAGGGGAGTTGGTCATGGAGGCTGAACTCTGGGCCTGGGTGCTGTCCCTTCCTCAGCTCTTCAGCTCAAGGCTAGGGCCCTACCACTTGAGCCACGGTGCCACTTCTGGCTTTTTTCTGCCTATATAGCGATGAGGAATCGAACCCAGGGCCTCATGCATGTGAGGCAAGCACTCTATCACTGAGCCAACATCCCAGCCCTAGAGTTTTAAAAAAAAATTATTTCCCCTAATATTTTCCTCAATTTTCTTGCCCTTAGCTTCTAAAAAGAAAACAATCTAGTATTAATCTCATTTTGATAAATCGTTAAGAATTTGTGTTGGAAATGTACATAGCTACTTAAAAAGATATATATTCCATTGCTTCATTGCGCCGGTAGTACTTTTATGTATTTCTCAAAGTTTGGAAAAAATAGGACTGGATGCATGAAGAAATCTAACGCTTTGAGGTCTTAATCACATGTAGGGTTATGGAAAGCACAGGTTATGTTTTCAAAACAACAAAGCTGAATGCTTATTTTTTTGTGGCAGGGTCAGCTCCAGAAGATTTGATGTTCAGAAGAGATTGAGGATCACCAGCAGACAGATGGCCGAGCCTGGGACGAAGATTTCACATTTGTGCAGAAGCAGCCCTACTCTGCTTCTGGCTAGGGTTAAGATCCCTGCTATTATCTCCTGTCCTGTCAAGTATGACCAGGGGGCGGCCATCGGGTCACTTCGAAAGGTGCCTTCAGTCAAGCCAGGTTCAGAGCTCTCCTCAAAGCTGCCAGGAGGGACCCGCGAACCCAGTCAACCCTGGACAACCCTATTTACTTCCCTTCCTCCACGCCCACGTCCCCCCGCCCCTTCCCCCTTTCGCTGGGGAGACGTCCGTCTGGTACAAGCCACTGCCAAGGGCTTTCCCTGAACCCTCCCCGCTTGCACAATCTGGACCAGCGGCCCCACCGCCATTCAGAGTCCCAAGACCTACCTGCGGCCCGGCCAGGCCCGAGTGCAGATGACGACCAGACGACCAAGGACAGCCGCTTCGGACGCCTCGATCTGCGCAGGCGGAAGTTGCGACCTCGGGAGGTGCCACTTGTCGTGTCGCCCAGGGGGGTACAGGGAAGGGGCGCCAAAAGATACCACTTATTTCTCCGAAGAGTTGCCTCTTCTCATCACATGGCGTTAGAAACTTCAATAATTTCTTGAGAAAACTAGAGTCCCGGATGGCGAGACTTCCAAGCCTTCGACTTCACTTGGCTTCGTCCCCTTGTTCCCCCCTCCCCGTGAAGATGGTAGGATCCGAGTCGTCACCGCCTCAGCGGCTCCCCTGTAGGCGCAAAATGGCGGCGTCCAGTGAGCGTCGTCGGCCGGCCGTTCTTCACTGCTGCTGCTGCTGAGCGAGCACCAGCTTTTCTTCCTCTTGAACTTGGATCCGACTAGGGGTTGGGAAGGGAAAGTGGACGGCTCTGGGGGAGGCCGGGCGAGGCAAGTGAGGGCGGGAGAGAAGAGCGCGCCTCCAGATTGGGGGTGGTGGTGGCGGTGCGGCCTCGGTCCTGGGGGAGAGCCGGGCGGACGCGCGCCCCGCGGCCTCGGGCCCTGCTGGTCGGGTCCCTCCGGGCAGAAGTGCCCTGCGACCGGAAGAGCAGGGACTTCTCCGAGGGTCGGAGCCCCTTGGGTTTGTGGCGGTGCCTAGGGCGCCCTGGCCCGCTCGCTCTCCTTCCCTCCTTTGCTGCTGGCTCTGCGCCTCTTGGCGCGGGAGGAGACCGTCCCAGGCCAGCTTCGCTCGTGTCTGGCGGCGGTCCTGACCTCCAGCCACCCCACCCTCTTCTTGGGTTCCAAGGGCTACTGAGCACTGGGCACAAAATACTTTAGACCTCTTAGATGTCGTGCCACGCCTGCAGAGGCTTGTCCTCTGTGCCCAGCTCCCTGGACCCTCATTAACACTGCGATCTGCCAGCGTCTCACCCATTCCTTCTTGCTCTTGTTTTCCGTGCTCTTCAGAAAACAGGAGGTCAATCTGGCTGCCTGACACCAGGTGAACCTGAGTGATCGTTTATGCCCCTCTCCTAACTTCAGTTCCGCTACCTTCTAAACCCCCTTTACCAAGGACTGTCGTTCCTGAATGCAAGGAGAGACACTTCTCTAATTCATTGAGCTCTGACTGTGTGTATGTTGAAGGAAAAAGAACTAGTACTGGGGCTTGAACGCTGAGCCTCAAATTCTTTTTTTGGGGGGGAGGGGCTTGAACTCTGGGCTTGGGCACTGTCACTGCGCTCTTCAGCTCAAGGCCAGCGCTCTACCACTTGAGCCACAACACCACTTCCGGTTTTCTAGTGGTTTATTGGAGATGAGTCTCATGGACTTTCCTGCCCGGGCTGGCTTTGAACCGTGATCCTCAGATGGCAGCCTCCTGAGTAGCTAGAATTACAGGCATGAGCCATCGGCGCTTGGCTTGGGCCTCAAATTCTTATGGGCTTTTTTCACTTAAGGTTGGCGTCCTGCCACTTAAGCCACAGCTCCACTTCTGGCTTTTTGCTGGTTATTTGTAGAAAAGAGTCTCAGGGTTTTTCTGCCCCAGCTGCCTTTGAACCATGACCCTCAGATCCCAGTTTAGGATTACAGACAAGGGCCGTCAGAGTTTGCCCAGACTCTGCTTGCCCTTAGATTGTGCATTACTTTATTTTTAATTGTCCCCAAAGTGTTTGTTCATTAATTGAGAGAGCAATTAACTGTGGCATGTATTTGAGGTGAAGTAGTGTTACTCAAAATCAATCCTGCCCTGGAAGAATTTATCATATAGTGAGGGTTCACTACTTTGCACACACATTAATGTTGCAGTGAGCTTACAGTGAAAGGGTTGTTGGTAAAGAAGCAACAGGTAGGTTTTTTGTGATCAGTTGTGTATGATCTTGATTTCCAACTTAAAAGTTTAGAAGTTTAGATTTCCACAAGAAGTCAGCAGTTGATTGATTACCCAGAGTGGGTGTGGAGATATTTGTTAGGATGGTCTCACTGATGGGTATATGATGAAAAACTAGATAAGAGGAAATTTTCGTCATTCAGGTAAGCTGAGTTTCCCCATGGAGTAAGACGACAAAGGATCTCAGACTTAAGTAAATGCTGGGTAGGATTCATTTGGTGGCCAGCCATTTACTGGTAAGAAGGTGACTAGTTTTCAGTCTGGGAGACCTCATGGCTGGTGATGACATTAAAATCCAGTCTGAGACATGTACATTAAAAACAGAATGGTGCCAATCTGCATTTTAGGAGCAGCAAAACACAGTGCTGCATAGCCCAAAGCATTGATTTTAGCGTCTAGACCTATGCTATTACAGCAGCCACTAGTCACATGCAGTACTAGGTTCTTGAAATGTGGTCAATTTGAATTGAGATGAGCTATAAATATATACTAGATTTTGAAGATAACATAAAAAAATCTGACCAAAAAATGGTCTCACTTTTAATGATTACATGTGGAAATTATAATGTTTTGGTTACAGTGTTAAAAGCTAAAATTATTTTTTTATTTTTACTTTACACTATGGCTGTGAAAAAAAATTATATCTGCAGCAGAGCTAGTCTAGTCTAGTCTAGACTAGTGATGGGGGAACTAAGGAGGAGGTGGAATTTGAGCTGGACCTCGGAGCAACTTCCTGGCACCCTCCATTGCCAGGAAAGGCATTCGGTTGTTTTTGTCTCCCTTGCTCCTCTAGTAGTAAGTATAGAAGTGTTACTCAAGGTTAGTCTGGCAGCTGTACTTAGATTAAGGTTAATGAAGGACCCCCCCCCCCCCAATTTAAGATAATGAGACCTGGTAAAGTACAGAGAGTAGGAAAGAAGGCCAGTAGTATTCATGTAACTCATTCTTATGGAAAATAATCTGAAATCAGTAACAGACTGTCCAAAAGAAAGGAAAGGGAAGACTAAAGAGTTTCTAATTCTGGTTACAGAGTGATTAGTGAATTGATGTGGTAGAATTATAAATTACACTGGAGGCTGAAGAATTTAGTTCCAAATTAGAACCAGAAAACTTCTGAGGAAGCCTGGCGCCGGTGGCTCATGCCTGTAACCCTAGCTACTCAGTAGGCTGGGATCTGAGGATTGTGGTTCAAAGCCAGCCCAGGCAGCAAAATCCGTGAGACTTATCTCCAGTAAACCACCAGAAAACTGGAAGTGGTGCTGTGGCTCAAGTGGTAAAGCCCTAGCCTTGAGCGGAAGAGCTGGGGACAGTGCCCAGGCCCAGAGTTCAAGCCACATGCGTGAACAAAAAACAAAACAAAACAAAAAAAACTTCCGAGGAGTATTTAGCAGTTCCTCTCTTCTTTCCTTGCTTTTTGTATTCATTCCTAGCAGCTAATTTTCCTAAAATATTGAAGTTTTTCTATCATGCTAGTTAAGGAATCTTAAAATGTTTCTTTGTAGCATGTAAAACTAGTTCCAAGATTTCCTTTCATCATTCAGCCCTTTTATGTTTATTAAGCTTTTCTGCTTCCATTTTTGTTTCCATGTCAATGTATTGGACTAGGTTATTACTGGTACTCTCAGATTCTGTGTTTTGTGCTCTAGCTTATACCATTCCTGTGTTTTGAATATCTTCTGTGTTTCTACCCAGGCCTCATAAGTCTTTAAAGAATAATCTAGATTTGACCTATTCTTCCATGATTCTCAGTAAGCTTTTAACTAATAATTATCTTCCGTGTGTGTGTGTGTGTGTGTGTGTGTGTGTGTGTGTGTGTGTGTGTTTGGAGACAGGGTTTCTTTTTGTAGACTAGGCTTGAACCCTGTGGTCTTCTTGTTTCTTCTGGGCTAAGATGGGCTGTACAATGCCCAGTTAAACCTTATTTTCTAAATGCATATTTAAGCTCCTAATTAAATTATAATCACGGCTCATTATTACTTATATTTGTCTTTTATTATACTATCTCTTATGCAAACCTAGGCTTCCTAAAGTTATTGTGCTTTTTTTTTTTTTAATGGACTATACATGGTGCATGCCTATGATCCTGTGACTTAGGAGACTGAGGGAGGGAATTAGAGTTCAGAAACCAGCCTAGGCCACATAGCAAGACTACCAAAAGAAAACAGGACCATATAATATTTGCTCTTGCTCATGGTGTCTTAGGGAAAAACATACAATTTAAAACATAGTTATAAAACAAGCAAGTTACTAATACCCCATTTATGCGACTTATTTACTTGTTTTTTAGATTTACAAAGACCACTTCCTCTGAATTCATGGTGTTTCCTCATCTGTACAACAGATACTGGTAAGTAATAAATGTCTGAATGCCTCATAAAGATACAGCTTTTAGTTCGGCACTGGTGACTCATGCCTGTAATCCTAGCTACTCAGGAGAATAAGATATAGAGGACTGAGGTTTAAAGCTATCTTGGGCAGAAAAATCCCAGATATTTCATCTCCAGAATAACCAGCAAAACACTGGGCCAGAGTTGTGACTCAGGTGATAGTGTACCAGCTATATGATCAAGCCAAGTGAGCATGAAGCCAATTTTATTATTATGAGGACTTACAATGTGAATAAATTTTTACTTGTTAAAATCTGCATCTTTGTGCAGAAGAGTTTCCACATTGACTCAGTTGTATCTTTAAGCTAATCTAAATTAAGAAAATGGGACTTAACATAGATTTGAGCAGAAATTTCCTTAGGCTCTGAGTCAAACTGGAGCAAGAAACTTTGGCAGGGAGAATTATCGTGGTCCTCATTTATTCATTCATTCATTCATTCATTCATTCAAGGAATTGACTACCACTGTATGGCAAGCACTGTGGAGAGGCACTGACTATAATTTAGGGATACAGTCTCTGCCTTCATGAAGGTCACTTTCTAGATAGAGGCCAGAAGAGAAGGGGACAAAGCAAGTAAAGAGCAGTTATACAGAACACTAAGTATTTGGAGGAACATAGAATCATGTTATAGAGTGGGAAAAGGACTTTAAAGTGGTCCAAGAACATTGTAGAATAAATTGGATTGGAAGAATTCACAAGCTAGAGACCTTGGTGACAGTGGAGATAGAAAAGAATTTTAGAAATTCAGGTTGGTATGAGACCACCTCACCGGAAGTGTTTTCTTTTGTTGGTCGTGGGGCTTGAACTCTGGGCTGGGGTGCTGTCCCTCAGCTCTTCAGCTCAAGACAAGCGTTCTACTGCTTGACCCACAGCGCCACTTCTGGTTTTCTAGTGGTTTATTGGAGGTAAGAGTCTCATGACTTTCCTGCCTGGGCTGGCTTTGAACCATGATCCTCAGATTTCAGCCTCCTAAGTAGCTAGGATTACAGGTGTGAGCCACCAGCACCGGGCTTGGAAGTATTTTTATAAGTTATTGGTAACTCTCTCGCTGCTCTGGTTACTCAGTGGTGTGAATAGGAGACATGTTTGTGGACAGATACTCTGAAAAGGGGCTGGGAATGTGGCTTAGTGGTAGAGTGCTTACCTAGGATGCATGAAGCCCTGGGTTCAATTCCTCAGTACCAGCTAAACAGAAAAAGCCGGAAATGAGACTATGGCTCAAGGGTAGAGTGTTAGCCTTGAGGAAAAGAAGCTCAGGTACAGTGCCCAAGCCCTGAGTTCAAGCCCCAGGACTGGCAAAAACAAATAAACAAAAAAACCCACAAAAAATTGAAACGTTTAGCCTTGAAAGAGAAACAGAAATGATACAATAAGTATAGGGGCTGTGGGATTAAGAGAGTTTTTATAAGTTGGAAAATTCTAGAGAATATATGTAGGAGAAAAGAAAGATGTCTGAGGAAACCAAGCCTTAGAAGGTAAGTAAGATGGGTTCAACAGTACACAGGAACTGGCCTTGGTTGGACAGGGCTGATCATTTCATATGATGGGAGATGTAACAAGGTACATGCTGGTAACGTTAACATATGCAGTATCTGGAAATGAGACATTACTGTATGATTACTTTTATTTGCTGTCTGATTACATTTATATGCTGTGAGAGTAGCAGAGAAGAGGGGACTGCTTGAGCAGGAAGAGATGTAAAGCAGACAGCCAACCTGCAGAGACAAGTCAGATTGACAGAGAAATAGCCTGTTCAAGATCTTGCCCTTGAACTCTTCAGCAAATTTCCCCCCTCAGCAGCATACAGCTGCTAGTGTGGACAAGTGAATGATTGCAGTTAACCGAGGTTGGGGTTTTTGCAAGGCTAAACAAAGGATTCGAGAAGCAAGATATTTGAGAGTGCTTGCAAAGTAATCACAAGGGATCATAGATCAAAGGACCTGAGATTTTTTTTTTTTTGCCAGTCCTGAGGCTTGAACTCAGGGCCTGGGCACTGTCCCTGCACTTCTTTTGCTCAAGGCTAGCACTCTGCCACTTAAGCCACAGTGCCATTTCCAACTTTTTCTGTTTATGTGGCACTGAGGAATCGAACCCAGGGCTTCATGAATGCTATGCAAGCACTCTACCACTAAGCCACATTCCCAGCCCCTGCAAATAAAATTTTGAAAGTGGTGTAGGCATTTTTAGTGTTAAGGCCTAGAGTCTTACTTGTGATGGTGGTGGCTAAAGTGAAACAAAGATTATTGGAATCAAGGAAGTCAAAGTACTGAGAGATCGATATTGAAGTTATTGAAAGAATACCTGTTCAGGAACAAAAGTCCACAGTGAATCAGCAGGCTAATAGATGCCAGGACTAAGGGAAACAGGGAAGGCTAATAGGGAGCTAGCTGAGTGGCATGAGTTTTATTGGGCCTTGAATATTTAAGAGGAAAGAAAAGGCTTAGTTTGGAAGCTGCAGTGAGGAACAAGGAACATATGTCTTGCTTTTGAGTTCTAGAGAGTATAAGAGGTTTAAACTTAAGCCCTTGAAAAAGCTGCCTAGGAGACAAAATCATTAAGCAGTAGCTGGATTTCTGTGAAGACAATCAGATGAAGAGAGTTTTCAGAGAAGAGACTGAAGTTACAGGTTAGTATAGTCATAGATCCAGAGATCAGACTGAAAAGATGTGTCAGAAATGGCAGGGGATTGGGGTACAGCTGAGGGATGTATATACATCTATGATTATGGATATCGTAGGAACCTGATTGTTTTCTGTAAATCAGATGAACAAGTAGACATAGTAGGATTAGCTTCTGATCAACTTGTTATGGAAGGTAGGTAGTCCCTTTATCTTACTTAGTTGATGACATTGGGTAGATGGTGAGAGATCATCAGATAATTTGGTGACTTTTGTACAGTCAGCCAGGAAAGGTCAATTATGTCTTAAGATGGTTAAATTTGAAATATTCTTGTGGAGTTGAACTTTGTTAATCAACTATCACTACGTTTGTTTATTGTCACACAGTTCTAGGTTCTAAATCCCAGATGTTTTCATGTTAATCTTCTTGAAATACATGAATGTAATAGGTATCTCCGCACATACTGTCATCTGATATACATACTATGTGTCAGGTTCTGTTTTAGAATGTACCATAAAGTACTACCTCTATTTTCATTTGCTTACATTTCCAGTGCAAGGGTTCTTTTTTTTTTTTTTTGGTCGGTCGTGGGGCTTAAACTCTGGGCCTGGGCGCTGTCCCTCAGCTCTTCAGCTCAAGGCGAGCGCTCTACCACTTGAGCTACAGCGCCACTTCCGGTTTTCTGGTGGTTTATTGGAGATAGGAGTCTCACGGTCTCTCCTGCCTGGGCTGGCTTTGAACCGCGATCCTCAGATCTCAGCCTCCTGAGTAGCTAGGATTACAGGCGTGAGCCACCAGCGCCCGGCAGTGCAAGGGTTCTTAAACATTAAACTTCCTGAAAGGTGCATGCATGTTTCTCTGTATGTGTGCGTGTGTGTGTGTGTGTGTGTGTGTGTGTGTGTGTGCGCGCGCGTGCGCGCGCTTAAGGATTGTGGTAGACAAATGAGAATCTATAACTTGTGTGTGTACCAGTCCTGGGCTTGAACTGCTTGAACTCAGTATTCTACTGCTTGTGCCACAGCTCCATTTCTGCCATTTTGTTGATTATTTGAAAATTAGAGTTTCACAGATTTTCTGCCTGGGCTGGCTTTAAACCACAGTCCTCAGACCTCAGCATCCTAAGTAGCTAGGATTACAGATATGAGCCACTAGTGCCCAGCTCATAACTTTCAATTAGAGTCTTAAAAGGGTTATTTGAGAACCATAGGTCTAATAGGAGAAAGAGACCTGTACACTAGTCATTGTACTGCTGTGTAGTGAATGCTATCACAGATAGGTAGTAGTTAAAATTCCTCAGTATCCTGTTTACATTTCTATTTGTACTAATGTTTTATAGGCTGGGATATGTAGAGGAGGGAAGGTCAGTTATTTGCTTCAAATCATTAAGGGGAAGATTCAGGTCTGGGTCAATCTGATTTCAAAGTTCACTTCTTTTAAGTCACATTGGGGAGGTACTAAAGGACTCTGTAAACAATAGTGTAAGGAGTATGCTTGTACTTGTGAACTTGATAAGTGTCTTTAAAATATTTCTTTCCATCTATGGAATTTCTGTGTACTTGCAAACTTGATATAATGTATATTTCACTGTTATATATTTTAGGCTATGCTTTTATAATTGCTTTTATTTTTCTTTTGAAAGAATCTTTTAGATTACTGTTACTGGACCAAAAAGATGACCTCTATTATCAAATTAACTACCCTCTCAGGGGTCCAAGAAGAGTCGGCTCTTTGCTATCTTCTACAGGTTGATGAGTTTAGGTTTTTACTGGATTGTGGCTGGGATGAGCACTTTTCTATGGATATCATAGATTCCCTAAGGAAGTAAGTTACATTTCATATTCCATGAGCTTTTCAAAAAGATTAAATAAGCTTCTCTTTTCACCCTTTTCTAATACTACTTTGATGTTTTATACTATCACTGTCTTTGCACTAATTTAGTATATAGTGAATGAGCTCTACATATGCCAAAAAGCTAAATATTGACATTTTAACTTGTAAAGTTTCGATTGAACAAACTTTGTTGAAATTTAAGAAATCTTCAATAATTGTTATTTGGTTAATAGATCATAGGAATTTTGCTCCCTAATTTAGAAGAATTTGTAAACAAATGAGACGGGACCTTTGTTCCAATGGAAACCTGCAGTTGTGTTGTGTGAGCTTACTTCCTCTGTCTACTATTCCTGTATTTTGATGTGGTTTGTAGAGTCATACTGTATACACAAAAGGATCCTAATTTGCCAAAAAAAAAATTTCAGTTATATTTGCTATTATATTAATTATTGAAGGAAAGAAGACTTAATTTTAAAAAAAGGATTAGAACTTGAAGCCAAACAGACAAAACAAATCACTTTATTAATTTCTGTTATCAATAAGAACATATGCTTTCCTCATTAAGTGATATTTTACTATGTGTTTATGCTGTCAGTTACCATGCTAAAAAACCAAGGCTCAATACATAATATGTGGCCATTTAAGTGTCTCCTCCTTAACAATTTCTGAAATTCTAAGTTTAGTTCTTGAACAAAATGAACACTGTACAAAATACCTATTCATTCAAGATCAACGTATGTGGAGTCAACTTTTTTTAAAAAATATATCTAGATTTAGCTGGGTGCCAGTGTGGCTCACGCCTGTAATCCTAGCTACTCAGGAGGCTGAGATCTGAGGATCATAGTTCAAAGCCAGCCCTGGCAGGAAAGTCCATGAGACACTTATTTCCAATAAACCACCAGAAACCAGAAGTGGTGCTGTGGCTCAAGTGATAGAACACTTGCCTTGAACTGAAGAGCTGAGGGGCAGTACCCAGGCCCAGAGTTCAAGCCCCATGACCAACAAAAAAAAAAAGCAAAAAAGAAAACCAGATTTAGATGTGCCTATGCATAATATTGCTTTTTCTGTTTATGTGGTGCTGAGGAACCGAACCTAGGGCCTCATGCATGCAAGGCAAGCACTCTACCACTGGGCCATCTTCCTAGCCCCGTAATATTGCTATCTGTGCAGAGCCAGGATAGTAATACTTACAATTTAGAAGTTTCATTACTTTAGTTTATTGTTTTGCTCTTCTGTCCCATCAATGTTCAATCCAGAATGGGTGAATTATTTTGACTGTTCTGCCTTTTCTTTACAAACCAGAATCGAGTGAGTAGTCATCTTGGTTGTTTTCCTAGGCATGTTCACCAGATCGATGCAGTACTCCTGTCTCACCCTGATCCTCTCCATCTTGGTGCCCTCCCATATGCTGTGGGGAAGTTGGGTCTGAACTGTGCAATCTATGCAACCATTCCTGTTTATAAAATGGGACAGATGTTCATGTATGATCTTTATCAGGTAATTTAAACACTTAAAAAAAACTCAGGCTCTCTATCAGTGATCATTTTTAACCTTTTCTTTATATTATTCTTTTAGTCTCGACATAATACAGAAGATTTTACACTCTTTACATTGGATGATGTGGATGCAGCCTTTGATAAAATACAGCAGCTAAAATTCTCTCAGATTGTCAATTTGAAAGGTATCAAATGTTTCAGTAGCAGATTGTTGGACTAATAGAGTTTCCTACCCTCATATCAGTGCGGGGATCCAAGCCAGAGTTTCTTGCATGCTAGGCAAGCACTTTCCTAAGAGAGTTCAACATTCTGAAAAATATGGAGAATTCCCAATCCAGTTACAAGCATGATAGCACAAGAATAAAATCAGCATTTTTTGCCTCAATGTGGAACTCTAAATTTCTATTTGAATTTTATAATCATACTAAATGACAAGATGTGTTTCATATTTATTGTGGAAAAGCCTTATTTTAGTTTTTACTGTGCAGAATGAAAAAAAGTGATGTATTTGAATCCTTCTTGGAGCGTATACCTTGATTCAGGAGACAGAGTAGCTCAGATGTCTTGATGTAGTAACTGAAGTAAATGAAGTCTCTGGCACCTAACCAAACTGACTAATTTATAGAAGTGGACATTAAAATATTTATCATTTATTGAAGATGTCATATAGTAAGTCTGTTTATTCACTACAGAGAGAAATATATTCCGTTAAAGATTTTCTTCCAAATGAGCTGTGGTACCAAGGATTAGTGGCTCATGCCTATAATCCTAGCTACTCAGGATGCTGAGATCTGAGAGCCACAGTTTGCAGAGCTCAGGCCGGAAAGTCTATCAGATTCAGTCCATCAGATTCTTATCTCCAGTAAACTACTCAGAAAAAGCCAGAAGTGGCACTGTGACTCAAGTGGAAGAGCATTAGCCTTGAACAAAAAGAAGATTAAGGACAGAGCCCAGGCCCTGAGTTCAAGCCCCACTGCCAGGCAAAAAAACTCCTAAACTGTGGTAAACTGATTATTGGTGGCACATGCTGGTAATCCTACCTACTCAAGAAGCTGAGATCTAAGAATCACAGTTCAAAGCCAGGCCCAGTAAGAAAGTCCATGATACTAAAAAGCCAGAAGTGGAGCCATGGCTCAAGTACGAGAGGGATCATCCTTGTGCACAAAAGCTCAGGAGCAGTCCCCTGAGTGCCCTGAGCCCTAGAAGAACAACACACACACACACACACACACCCATGCTGTGGTATTAAAAATGGCTCAGTAATGGACACACACACACACACACACACACACACACACACACACACACACACACACACACACACACACACACACACACACACACACACACACACACACACACACACACACACACACACACACACACACACACACACACACACACGCTGTCGCTGTGGTATTAAAAATGGCTCAATAATGGTGTCTGTGGGGCTAGCCAGGAAGTAGAAGTCGGTGGTTTCCATAGTATCTCTCTAGTTTTGCTATGGAATGAAAATGGAGTCACCAGGCACCAGTGACTCAGGAAGCTGAGTTCTGAGGATCACAGTTCAAAGCCAGCTTGGGCAGGAAGGTTCATGAGACTTTTTCTTCAAATAAGGACCAGAAAACCAGAAGTGGCATTATGGCTCAAAGTGGTAGAGCACTGTCTTTGAGCAAAAATTTCAGGAACAGTACCCAGGCCCTGAGTTCAAGCCCTGTGACCTACAAAAAAAAGAAACGGAGTTGTTTTCTGTCAATTTAGTGGTTAGCAAAAATGGAAACATTTGATAACTGTTTGAACAATATAAATATTGAAACTTAGGGCTGGAATGAAGCTCATTGGTAGAGCACTTGCCTAGCATATTGGAAACCCTGGGTTTGGTCCTCAACACCACAAAATAAAATAATTAATACTAAACATTAGTTTACTACCTTTAAGGTCTAGTATGTGAATTTCTCTATAAGCACAAATATCTCTGTAAAAATACATTATATGAGAGTATTTTCCTTCAATGGAAATGGAGTTGCTGGAGACAGGAAAGTAAAATTTCCTTTTAAAAACAAATTAGTTTGGGGGGATGTTTTATTATTACATTCTCACATATTTATAGTTATTCCAATCAGTCTTCCCCCTCTATCACTCTTGTGCCCCTTCTTCTTTTCTCAGAACAATTTTTATAGATTTCATTGTTCTATTTTCATAGTTGCAAACAAACTATTTCTGCTATATTCAACTTCTTTCATCCTCGTTGTTAGCCCAATCCCCTGTGGCTAGTACCTACCCCCTGACAGAGAGACTTGCTTTTTTTGTACGCATTTTTACTTTTGAATTTTGTATCATTAGACAAGTTGAAAAATGCAATTTTTCTTTAGGGTTGTTGGAGAAATCTAATATTGTTAATCTCTTATTGGCATAGGTAAAGGCCATGGTTTGTCCATCACACCTTTGCCAGCTGGTCATATGATAGGTGGAACAATATGGAAAATAGTCAAAGATGGAGAAGAAGAAATTGTTTATGCAGTTGACTTCAACCACAAGAGGGAGATGTAGGTATATCAAGACAAAAGTTAAAGGAATACAATTGCTATTACTCTTTGGAGGGAAAATTCAAGAAAATAATTCTTTTGGTTTTTGACTTTTTTTTTTTTTGTCGATTGTGAGGCTTGAACTCGGCTGGGCGCTGTCCCTCAGCTCTTCAGCTCAAGGCAAGTGCTCTACCACTTGAGCCACAGTACCACTTCCGGTTTTTCTGGTGGTTTATTGGAGATAAGACTCTCACGGACTTTTCTGCCTTGGCTGGCTTTGAATCTTGATCCTCAGATCTCAGTCTCCTGAGCAGCTAGGATTACAGGCATGAGCTGGTGCCAGGCTTGACTTTTTTTTAAAACCAGGAGTCAACAGTAATTTAAAAACATTCAACAGTGAATGGCTTCACTATTTGTATTATAAAGAAAAATGTTTGGTATGGGACATAAAATGGATTTAAAATTTCTTATATAAACTACTGTATAAACTAGGTATCTCCCAATTGCAAAAGAAGTGGATATTTTTGTACATCAAATTTCATTTAAATGCTCTTGATTTACTGCTTAACAGAAGTTTGTGGGTTTTATTTCTAAAATCAGTAATTACCATCTAACTTAATTATAATTAATGTCAGATTCTCTTTAAAAGGGACACAATAGCACATTTGTATATTTAGTATTCACAGGATAACTACAAATTTTTTGATGTTCATTTTAATTATTTTTGTTACATCTGTACATTAAGGTCATAGCTGTTTTATATTAGATTTCAGTAGCCTCAAGATCTTTACATTTAAAATATTTGAGGAAGTGGCACTGTGGCTCAAGCGGTAGAGCACTCGCCTTGAGCTAAAGAGCACAGAGACAGCACCTAAGCCCAGAGTTCAAGCCCTGCACCAACCAAAAAATAAAAAATATAAAATAAAATAAAATATTTGATACTAATGGTTTGAATAATTTAGACTTTTTTTTTTTGTCAGTCATGGGGCTTGAACTCTGGGCTTGGGTGCTGTCCCTGCGCTCTTCAGCTCAAGGTGGGCACTCTACCACTTGAGCCATAGTGCCACTTCTGGTTTTCTAGTGGTTTATTGGAGATAAGAGTCTCACAGACTTTCCTGCCTGGGCTGGCTTTGAACCACGATCCTCAGATCTCAGCCTCCTGAAGTAGCTAGGATTGTAGGCATGAGCCACTGGCACCCGGCTCTAATTTAGACTTTTATAATCATATATTAACCTGAAAAGGATGGCCAGTTGGATACATGGTGAATGATTTCAACTATTTTGGAAAAAAATAAATTTGTGTTTTTGCAGTATAACAAAGTTTAGATGGATTAGAATTAAATAGAAGGGGAAGCCTGATCTTTGATTGGGAAGAAACATTGTCAACATAAAGATAACAGACCAAGTTTCAAAAGAAAAATCTGATAATATTGATTTCATATAGCTTGAAACTATCTGAAATAATAAACTCAATTATTTAAAAAAAAGCTAGGGAAAATATTTGCAGTAAATTAGCCAAACATTTACATGTATATAAGATTAGGAATTATTCAGTTGATCAAAAATATAGTACTTGCACCAGATGCTGGTGGTTCACTCCTATAATCCTAACTACTCAGGAGGCTGAGAGCTGACAATTGTGGTTCAAAGTCAGCCTGGGCAGGAAAGTCCATGAGACTCTTTCCTCCAATAAGTTACTCAGAAAAAGCTGAAAGTGGTGCTCTTGCACCAGTGGTAGAGTACTACCCTTGAAGAAGCTCAGGAACAGTGCCTAAATCCTGAGTTCAAGCCCTAGGACCTCTGTGTGTGTGTGTGTGTGTGTGTGTACACACATACATATCTACATATATGCATATATTATATAAAATATATACATATATAATATATGTATATACATATCTTGAAAAATAGACAAGAATTAAAATATAAGATATATTAAAATTATTTTTAAATGATGGTAGCCTTCTGTGAAGTATTTGATAAGTTGGTCATTCCTTCTGGTTGAATTTTTCTGGAAAAAAAATTTTTCTGGAAAAAAGTTAAAATCTAGAAAGCCATTTGTCAATACTTGTGTGTTCTAGTAAATGCATCAATCAAAGGAAGTAATGCATAAATACAGTATAGACACAATAGAAAATTTCTACCACTGTGGCTAGAGAAGGCAGGCACTGCTAATCATAGCACTCAGGAAGGTAAAGTAGAATTGTGAGTTCAAGGCCAATCTAGGCTAGGTAGCAAGACTTATCTTAAAAATTTTTTTAAATAGCTGGGTGCCAGTGGCTCACACTTGTAATCCTAGCTACTTAGGAGGCTGAGATCTGAGGATCATGGTTCAAAGCCAGCCCAGGCAGGAAAGCCCATGTGAGACTCTTATCTCCAATTAACCACCAGAAAACTGGAAGTAGCTCTGTGACCCAAGTGGTAGAGCACTCGCCTTGAGCTGAAGAGCTCAGGGACAGCTCCCAGGCCCACAGTTCAAGCCTCAGGACCGGAAAAAAAAAAAAAAATGTCATTTACCTTGGAGTGATGGTCTGTCTTCTGGAAGACATTCTCCTCTTTATCCTTTTTTGGAATTTTTAAATCAGTGAGTATACTTTTATAGCTAGTATAAGAGAACCTTATAAAGGCAGTTGCTTGGTTTTTAATTAAGAAGCTATTGCTTATTTGAAGTAACATAATACTTTTCATCTTTTAAACTTTATAGCCACTTAAATGGATGCTCCTTGGAAATGCTAAGCAGACCCTCTCTACTTATCACAGATTCATTTAATGCTACATATGTGCAGCCTAGAAGAAAACAGAGAGATGAGCAACTTCTGAGTATGTATTATATTATGTATTATATAAGTTCCTCTTAAGTAGCTGTCCAGGTATATGGTAGTGTAGATTACTACTTATTCTGCTTAACTGGTCATAAGTGACTGCCTCACTCTATGATTTCCAAAGAAACGATTACATAAGTATATCAGCATTTTAGGTAGAAATGCTTTTGTGGAGTACATGTAAAGACAGCTGTCCCCTGCCATTCAGCACATAGCCCTCCCAAGTATGTGCCTCATGGGACATGCCTGTATAATGACTGCATATATATATTAGAAAAGCACACTATCAGAGGAAAGCAAACAAAAGAGATGAACGTTCATGTGGTTTGCTGAGTTTGTGCTGCATGTTTTTTACACTCTAATCCAGTCATCTCAGCTTTAAAGAGGTTTGTCTGGACCTTCCGTGCTTGCTTCTGCTGTGACTCAGGCTGCTGTACTTCATACTCTTTTTAGAAGCCATATGGGATTTCAGCAGGAAAAATTGTTTTTCACTTCTGAAATGTGTTTACCTAAGTCTGTCTGCTTAAAAAGTCTGCACTTTCTTACTGGGTTTTACAGATTTGATAACTTTAAAAAGCTCTTGAGTTCTTGGGTTTTATTATTTATTTACTTATTTTTGTCAGTCATGGGGCTTGAACTCAGGGCCTCAGCATAGTCCCTGAGCTCTTTTACTCAAGGCTACCACTCTAACACTTTGAACTACACCTCCACTTATGGTTTTCTGGTGGTTAATTGGAGATAACAGTCTTGTAGATTTTTCCTGACAGGCTGGTTTTGAACCTCGATCCTCAGGTCTCAGCCTCCTGAGTAGCTCGGATTACAGTTGTGAACCACCAGCACACAGCTTTTGGGTTTTATTTTGGGGGCTTGAACTCTTGGGTCTTGTTCTTTGGCTTTTTGTTAACATTGGGCACTCTACCATTTGAGCCACACCTCCATTTCCAGCTTTTTGCTGATTAATTAGAGATAAAAGTCTTTTGGATTTGATTGACTGGGGTGGCTCTGCCATTTTCAGACCTCAATCTCCTGAGCAGCTTGTACTATAGCCACTGGCACCCATCTGGTTTTTGCTTTTTGTTTATTTAGTTGTTTTTTTGCTAGAGTTTGCTTTTACCAAATATTTCTAAGCTGACAGAAAAAAATATTTATAAAGATGATTTTGTTGGAAGAGAATATGATCTATATTTTATTCTATAGGCATGCATACAAAATATATTTTATATGTATATGGTTGTGCTTATAGATTTCTATAAGTTTGGAGATTAATCATAACAAAATTTGTTGGTATGTCCAGGTGAATCCATTATGGCCTGTTTGTACTTGGCATAGTTATTAAATTATCTTTGTCATACAAATATTTCTTTGATGTATATTTGTTGGGAAAAGCATTGGAAACTATTGATATACAATTTTTTAATGGAGAAAAAAGGAGAGATAGTCACATTGTGTTTTACTTTTGTGAAAATATAGTTAACAGAGTCAAAAGTGCTTGTGGTGAGCTAAGTGAAATTCTTTTAGTTTTGTACCTGGTTTAGTAATTGCTTACTTATAAATTATAGTCTTCATTATAGGATAGTCTTGTTTTTTGTTTTGTTTTGTTTTGTTTTTGGGTCTGGCCGTGGGGCCTGAACTCTGGGCCTGGGTGCTGTCCCTCAGCTCTTCAGCTCAAGGCTAGTGCTCTACCACTTGAGCCATAGCGCCACTTCCAGCTTTTTTCTTTTTGCTTATGTGGTGCTGAGGAATCGAACCGAGGACCTCAAGCATGCAAGGCAAGCGCTCTACCACTGAGCCACTTCCCAGCCCCTATAGGACAGTCTTTATTGTAAAAAAAATAAAAAGTTGCAGGGGGAGGATGGGATGGGGCAGGGGGAGGATGGGATGGGAAGGAGGAGAAAAAAAATAAAAAGTTATCTTTAATTATGTAGCAAAGTATTATTACCATGTTCTGTAGGGACTTGACTTTGTTGTTTTCTAGCAAATGTCCTGGAGACACTTCGAGGTGATGGGAATGTATTAATAGCAGTGGACACTGCAGGCAGAGTTTTGGAACTTGCTCAGCTTCTTGATCAGATTTGGAGAACTAAAGATGCAGGATTGGGTGTTTATTCATTGGCACTCCTAAATAACGTCAGTTATAATGTGGTGGAGTTTTCCAAATCCCAGGTTTGTTTTCATGTTGTAATTCATCATAAAGAAGTTTGTTACAGAGATTGGGCTTTGGGATTTTTTTTTTCTGGTGAAGTTGTTAATAATAGTAGCTAAACAACAATTGGCTGCCTGTGTGTTTTATGTGTATTTCATTTAATCCATCTGCATCCTATAAAGTAGTTTCTATTTGTATCCCCATTTTGCAAATTGAGCAGGTTGTTTTTGTGTGTGTGAGAGAGAGACAGAGAGACAAAGAGACTGGATCGAGCATAGGACATATTCCCTGCTAGACAAGCACTGTACCACTAACTTATATCTCCGTCCCTTTTAAAATTTTATTTTAAAGCTGAGTGGGTCATGCCTACAACCCAAGCTTCTTGGGAGGCCAAGAATGGTGTTATCATGGTTTAAAGCCAGCCTGAGCAGAAAAGTTTGCAATATTCCATCTTAACTTAGAAGCTGGACTGTCTATCATCTCAGTTACTAAAATAAGTGGAATGTAGTCCAAATGTATGTCTGGGCAGGAAGTGAGACCCTATCTCAAAAATAACAGTGTAAAAAAGGCTGGAGGCGTGGTTTAGTAGTAGAATGCCTGTACCTAGCAAAGCCCCGAATTTAAACGTCAACCAAAAAAAAATTTTTTTTGAGACATGGTATAGCTAAGTTGTCCAGGTTGCCATCCTCCTGCCTCAAACGCTCGAGTCTCTGGGATTATAGTTTCATACCACCTTATCTGGCTTATATTGCTTTTCTAACTCTTGGTTGATCTATAAAATAAAGACTAAAATAGAACCAATCTCATATAAATATTCATTACTCTTTCACTAAGCTCTCTCCCTTGGAAAGAGCTGTATGCTAAGCTATTCATTTAGAACATTACCTTGCCTTCTCACGAAGACTTAAGGTGATTTATAAATATAACAGTGCAAAGTTGGATTTTTAGGGATGAAAACTGGAGTAGGAGGGGCTAATGGTTATTTAAAAAAGCAGGAAAGAAGCTGCTTGTCAAAATAGTACAAATTCAAGCAACTAATGGGGAAAAGGAACCTAAAACAAGAGAGGATGTGAATTTCTTAACTATTGTAGAGTACATTGTAGTTAGAATATTTTCTAATTATGTTTATCTTTTCTCCCTGTATTAGGTAGAATGGATGAGTGATAAGTTGATGAGATGTTTTGAAGACAAAAGAAATAACCCATTTCAGTTTCGCCATCTCTCTTTGTGCCATGGTCTTTCTGACTTGGCTCGAGTACCGAGTCCCAAAGTTGTACTTGCCAGCCAGCCTGACCTGGAATGCGGATTTTCAAGGGATCTCTTTATTCAATGGTGTCAGGACCCTAAAAACTCAATCATTCTAACTTACAGGACAACTCCTGGGACTTTAGCACGATTCCTAATAGATAATCCTTCTGAAAAAATTACAGAAATAGAGGTAAGCACCTGCATGCAAACTTGTTAACTATTTTGAGGGGTACACTGTGCATGATAGATAAAAATTAGTGACAAAAAATAAAACTTAAAGTTGTTTCAGGACTTCAACAATACCAGTAGAGATCCTATAATAGCACAAACTTGAGAGCGCTTAAACTGGAAGGCATCTTACAGCTCATTCTCAGTCTCATCCATAACAGTCAACTTTCTCTCAAACTTATCAGAGAAGTAGAAGCAGTTAGGACAGAATTCCTTGATCTTACCATCAGCCATACACTAACCTACTCTATAACTGCTATGTTAATTCCCAAAACACAGTTGAATAACCAATATGCTAAAAGATGGTTTTGCTTAACCGAGCCCAAAAACTAGTTTCATTGACTCTAATTTATAGCATCTGAGAAGTGGATGGGATGGTTAATAGCTAGAAAAATTGTATGGTCTTAGATGACTGCATTTCATTCTGCTAAGAGTAGCATAGTATTAGTAACTAAATTCTGATCAAGGATTCCAAGCAAGCTTAAACGTAAAATACTGTCTTGGTTTATTTAGCAACTTAGAAATTAATACCAAGCTAAAAGAACTCAGAAGTATTTGAAGCAGTTTCTCTAGGTATGAAGTATAAATTTGAAAATTGTAATTACTAGAAATTCAATTAATGCCAGTATGCCATTTGAGGAATTAAAAGAACATTGAAAATTTGGAAAAAAATAGAAGATGATTTTTAGAAGCATCCTAATCAGAAGCAGCAGAAATACAATGTATCAGGCTTTTAATTTTTAAAGAATACTACTCAGGATTCTTTCCCTGCTCACTGTCCTATGAATATGTTTTCTGTAGTCATTCCTTTTCATTGTCTGGCATGTTTTGTTTTTTTGTTTTTTTTTTCCTACTCAATCATATCCCAAACAATGTTTACTCTTCTGAAGCTGCCTTTCTCTGTTTTCTTTCTGGGAATTGCAGCACTTTCCACATATGTACTCCAGACAGAAATCTAGGAATATTCCCTGAAGCCTAATATATACTCAAAGTTAGTGCATGTTCTAATTTTCTCACATGGAATATACCTGTCAAACTTGTACTGAGATCAAGAAGTAGAATATGACCAGTGCTCCCATGTCCCCTTTGCCAACCCTGCTTCTCCCCTCCAAAGAACCATGTTCTGCACAGTTTAGTAAGGCACAGATAAGTATAACTTACTTTTTAATTCCTTGCTTTCCTCTAAACATTACACCAATGTCTCAGTGCTAGTCCTGTTATTTCCAAAATCTGTCTATTTTTCTCTATCACCAATACCATTACCAAAAGTGAATAAATTGTATTTTTAAAAATATTTTGCCTTTTTCTAAATCATTAGTAAAGTGAAATCTCTTTTCATATGTATTTTACCTGTTCTTATTTTGTAAATTACCTTTATATATTTTGTCTATTTAGATACATTACTTTCTTTTTCATTTGGAAACACTGTTTGGAAAAAAGTAGCTTCTGGTAGTAGCATTGCTGCCCATGTTTTCCTCAACTTACTTTGATTTTATGAGATTTGAAATGCTCAAGATCTTACTTTTTTATGGTATTGTATTCATCTTTTCTGTTGTGAATTTTATGGCCTTGGGATTTATGTGGCCTCCTCTACTCCAAATTATAGAAATACTGTTCTGTATTTTCTTTTCTTGATTGTTGCATTTTAACTAGTTTGATTTAAATCTTTCCTAGATAAGTGACAGTACCTATTTTAATAGACTAGGATCTAAAACTGCATCCAATAGGAACTTCATTAATTTCTGCAGAAAGCTTAAAGATAGGGGACAGTTTCTTATACACCCACTATCTTCACCCTAATATTGGTATTTCCTTTTGTCGGCTCACTTTTGTAGTTGAGGAAACGTGTGAAGCTTGAAGGGAAAGAGCTTGAGGAATACTTGGAAAAAGAAAAACTAAAGAAAGAAGCTGCCAAAAAACTGGAGCAATCAAAAGAGTAAGTTATGTATGTAATATGAAAAGAATGTATTCCTAGTACTAGCATTCAGTTGAAAATACTTAGATGGGCATTGGGCACAGGCCTGTAATTCCAGCACTTCAGAGGCTAAGGCCACACTATGTTACATAGTCAATTTTGGCTGGCCTGAGCTACATAATGAGACCTTACCTCAAAACAGAAACAAAAATGAAAATACCCAAATTTCCTTATTTCCTTTGGACTGCATTACTTTTGTTTTATCTTTCAAATGGTGAAAACACTAAATCCTTTCATATTAACCTAAATATGTATTAGCTAGCAGTTAATGTTAAGTTTCCTAAAATATTGATTCAGTCATATTCAGTACTGCTTTATAACTTAATATTGGTTTAATTGTACTGACTACTAATTCACAGTAATAATTCTGTGATCTATTCTCAAATCCTCCTAGGGCAGACATAGATTCCAGTGATGAGAGTGATGTGGAGGAAGATATTGACCAGCCATCAGCTCATAAGACAAAGCATGATCTGATGATGAAAGGGGAAGGTAGTCGGAAAGGAAGTTTCTTCAAACAGGCAAAGAAGTCCTATCCTATGTTTCCTGCCCCAGAAGAAAGAATTAAATGGGATGAGTATGGAGAGATTATCAAGTATGTGAGCAAAACAAATTTATCTTTCTAACAGACTGGAGGTATTAACTGTTAGTTCAGCCTAGTGAATTTGATCTTTCTGGCCACCATATATATTTTGTTAGCTTCTCACTACCTTGATTTGAAAGGGTTAAAAAGATTGGTAAGTACTGAAATGTTGAAGAACATCTAGAAGATTGTTGTTAAGGGAAAATATTTCCTAACTTGGTTGTGTGAAAAGCTTAAAAAGATGATTTGAGATTAGCTACTTGGGAAGTAGAAATCAAAATTGTGGTTCAAAACTAGCCTGGACAAAAAGTTAATAAGACATCATTTCATCCAGTATCTGGGCACAGTAATGAGTTCTTGTCATCCGAGGCACATAAAATGCTGAGATCAAGAGGATTGTGCTTCTAAACCAGCCTAAGCAAAGTATTTTTGAGACCCCCTCCTACCCCCTCATCTCAACAGCAAAAAGCTGGTTATGATAGTACGTGTCAGTCATCCCAACTTCAGTAGGATGCACAAGTTGGAGGATCATATCTAGGCCTGGGCACAAAGCAAGACCTTATCTGAAAAATAACCAGAGCAAACAGGGCTGGGGGTATGGCTCAAGCAGCAGAGTTGAGGCAGCAACCTAGGTGTTTGGGAAGAGTGGGAGTGGACTTGGGACAATTACAGGTAAGTGATGAGAGACTGTTAAGAATATGTTTATGTTTTACTTTAGCACTCATAAGTAAAGATAGATGATACTCATACATCAAAATAAAGATAAAAGCTTACAGGGAGTTAATTTGTATTTTACAGAATTGTCTGCTTTCTTTGGGCAGAAAGGAAAGAACTGGGGCACTTAAGTACATGAGGAGAGCTCTAAGATATTGAGATATTGAGCTCTAAGGTATTGAGATTTGGTGAAAGAAACCACAGAAATTTATAAGAAATAATTTTTATTTTTTTGTTTTTGTTGGTCATGGGGCTTGAACTGTGGGCCTGGGCACTGTTAAGCTATTTTTGCTCAAGGCTAGTGTTTTACTACTTTGAGCCATAGCTCTACTATTGGTTTATTTTTTTATTTTTTATTTTTTTTAAAATTTAATTTAATTTTATTTGTGAACATACTGTACAGAGGAGTTACAGTTACATGGGCAGGATAATGCGTACATTTCTTACCAAGCATTGCAGCCTCCTCCTTTGTTTATCCTTCACATCCCTTCCCAGCCTCCCCCCTCCCCCCCTAATCCCAATCCTTCTCCTCCCTCTCCCACCCCCCCGCACCAACGTTGTAAAGCTCGTTTTGGACATGACAACTTGTACTTCTCATTGTTGCAACAGGTCCACCTGTATCCTTAAACAACTGGTTTTACCCCATCTCCTCCACAAGTTATACTGACATCAAATATAGTGAAAGCAGGGGTTATACTGTGGAGGAGGGACATACAAAGCAACAAAGAGATAATCTTATAAATGTGTTAGAAACACATGCATGAAAGAAAAAAAACATTAAAATACACATCTAAGGGTTCATTTTCCTGACATCACATTATCTGACCTTTTCCTCTTGACTCATACATATACTAGATATTACAAATAAGGGAAACCATGGGACCTACGTTTCTTTGGGCCTGGCTTACTTCACTTAATATAATTTTTTCCAAGTTTTTCCATTTCCTAATTTTTTTGGGTCCGGTCGTGGGGCCTGAACTCTGGGCTTGGGCTCTGTCCCTCAGCTCTTCAGCTCAAGGCTAGCGCTCTACTACTTGAGCTACAGCACCACTTCCGGCTTTTTTCTTTTTGCTTATGTCATGCTGAGGAATGGAACCCAGGGCCTCATGCATGCAAGGCAAGCACTCTACCACTGAGCCTCCTTCCCAGCCCTCTATTATTGGCTTTTGAGTGATTAATTGAAGATATGAATCTAACAAGGACTTTCCTGCCCGGGCTGGCTTCAAACCATGATCCTCAGATCTCAGCTTCCTGCGTAGCTAGGATTATAGGCATGAGCCACCAACACCTCACTGAGAAATAAATATTACAAAGAATGCAGGGCTAGATTATAGGAGTACTTGCTATAGCCATTGGGATCTCGCAGTGACCTGTCTAGAGGACTTTCACTAGTCTACACCATGTGAGCTAAAAGCACACTTTAGTGGTTATGAAAATCATAATATATGAATATAGTCATCTGACACTTGATACTATGAAATTCCATTGGTTTGGGGTCAAACATATGTTTAAGTCTTGAAATGTTTCCCTCCATCCTGGTGCTTGAGCTCAGGCTCTGTCCCTGAGCTTCTCTGTGCTCAAGGCTAGCGCTCTACCACTTGAGCCACTGCACCACTTCTAGTTTTTTCTGAATAGTTTATTGGAGATAAGAGTCTCACTGACTTTCCTTCCCAGGCTGGCTTTGAATCTCGAGCTTCATATCTCAGCTTCCTGAGTAGCTAGGATTACAGATAGGAGCACTGATGCCTGGCTTAAGTCTTGAAATTTTTTTTTTTTTTTCTGCTTATGTGGTGCTGAGGAATTGAACCCAGGGCCTCATGCACGCAAGGCAAGCACTCTACCACTGAGCCACCTTCCCAGCCTCAAGTCTTGAAATATTTAAGGGGTCTAAAATTATGCTGCCTCCTAGTTAGTTGTACGTATTATGTAACATTAGCTTGCTTTTTACTACTTCTAATTAGAGATTTCTTATTTAGACCAGAGGATTTCTTAGTGCCAGAACTTCAAGCTACTGAAGAAGAAAAAAGCAAATTGGAATCTGGTTTGACAAATGGAGATGAACCTATGGATCAAGATTTATCTGATGTTCCTACCAAGTGTATTTCTACAACAGAATCTATAGAAATCAAGTAAGTGCTTTTGTTGCATTTAGAAAATTACAAAATTTCTAGCACTTGAGTTAGATAATTTACATTGGTTCAAATGTGAAGTTTCTGATTATTTTCTAGTTATATTTATGCTTTAAAATTTTAATTTCTTTTTCCTTGAAAGCAAAGTAGGATGGTGTTTTTTTCTTCATTGATGACATGTAATGTCAAAGTAATTTTTTTAGTAGTGGGAAGACAAAAGTTGACCCATTAAATTATATGCTTACATAAAGAAATATTATTTCTAGCCATAGTAACTCTAGTGGGAAATAAAAGAGAACATTGTTAAGTCACAAGTTTAATTTTTCTGATTGACTGCTTGTTTCAGAAAATATACTCCTTAAGCATCTCTGATGATCTCATTTGTAGAAAATGTGGTATGCCTGGAAGTAGCTGAACTTTTTTTCTACCTGGTGCTGGCGGCTCAGGTCTGTAATCCAAGATATTCAAGAATAGCTGAGAAGCTGTTCTTAGTTGAGATCTGTAATAGCTGAGATCCAGAGGAACTTGGTTTGAGGTCAGTCCAAGCAGAAAAGTCTGTAAGACTATGCAAAATAACAGGCAAAAAGCAGCGCTGGAACCCTGGGCACTGGTAGCTTATAAACCCATCTACTCAGAAGGCTGAGTTTGAAAGTTATGGTTCAAAGACAGATTTTAAGATCTTTATCTCCAAATATCCAGTAACAAGCCAGAAGTAGAAGTATGGCTCAAGTGGTAGAGTGCCACCCCTGAGTGAAAAAGCCAAGTTGAGGCCTGGAGCTTAAGCCTCAGTATGGACACAACAGCAATAAAAGCAGTGCTAGTGGTGTGGCTCAAGTGGTAGAACACCAGCCCAGCAAGCATGAGGTCCTGAGTTCAAACCCCAATACCACCAAAACCCCTTTTTACTTAGCATAGTTAATAATACAGTAAATGGTTGTTTGAAAATTTTATTTTCTGAATCATCTAGAGCTAAGATATAAATAATACGTATTAATAAATATAACATATTTCTCAAATCTTCATTTTATGTTGTTTCCATCTCCTTCCTGAGAATAAAAGTTGCTTTTTAAAAGCCTACTTTGAGAATTGTCAGAAAACTAAGCTCAAATCATGTCTAATTACAGGGCCAGGGTTACTTACATAGACTATGAAGGGCGCTCTGATGGGGATTCCATTAAAAAAATCATTAATCAGATGAAACCAAGGCAGTTGATCATTGTCCATGGCCCACCAGAAGCCAGTCAAGATCTGGCAGAGTGCTGCCGTGCCTTTGGAGGGAAAGATATTAAAGTGTACATGCCAAAGCTACATGAGACTGTTGATGCCACCAGTGAAACTCATATCTACCAAGTAAGTAAGCTGCTACCAGGTGAGCTGCTGAGCTGCATGGAAATTAACCCTTTTGTTGCAGATTAAGACAGGTACATGGCTGGGTGCTAGTGGCTCATGCCTGTAATCCTAGTTACTCAGGAGGCTGAGATCTGAGGATTGCATTCAAAGCCAGACCAGGCAAGAAAGTTTGTGAGACTTTCATCTCCAATTAACCACCAGGAAACTGAAGTAGAACTATGGCTCAAATTGGTAGAGCTCTAACCTTGAACACAAAAGCTCAAGGATAACACCCAGACCCTAAATTTAAACTCTACAACAAGCAACAAAAAAAGGCAGGTTTATTAGGAATACAGAGTAAGAGAGAGAGACATGGTACCTTGCTCTAGCAGTCCATAGTCCACAGGGTTTGAGTGAGCACATAGAATTTTCTCCATGTATGTATCTGACAGAAGTAGTTGTAGGGGTACTAGGAAAGTACTAGAGCCCTGACCTAAATCTGGAGGATGTGGAGGGGGTCTGTTGGTCTGAGTATATATATCCCCTGTGGCCTGGCCACTGTCCCTGAGCTTTTGTGCTCAAGGCTAGTGCTCTACCACTTTGAGCTTTAGCACCATTTCTGGCTTTTTGATGGTTATTGGAGTTCCTGCCTGAGCTAGCTTTGAACCATAATCTTCAAATCTCAGTCTCCTGAATTAGCTGGGTTTACAGATGGGAGCCAACCAATGTCTGGCTTCCAAATGTGGATGCTCAGAAAAAGGTTCTTGGCGTGAGTAAGAGCTGATATATATTTAAATGGGTCTTTATATATATATATATATATATATATATATATATATATAAAACCAAGTATGAAGAGAGGGGCAAGGGGACTTCCAGGTTGAGCAAATAATATTTGCAAAACTATAGAAGTAAAGCGAATACAGGTTCAACAATTATCACAGCTATCAAGGTTCTTCTAACTGAAACAAATGGAGACAGATCTAGAAAACAGAACTGAGCACATGGGAGAGAATGAAGACATCTTTGGTTATGGGTGATAGTGACAGCTTTAGGTAACTATGATGTCTGTATCTGGAAGAAATAGCTCACAACAGCTTATTAGGCAGAAAAATAATTCTGGGAAGGGCAAGTGGAAGCAGCATTCTAAGGACATGGAGATGGGAGATTGCATAATTCACACAGCAGCTTGTGTGTGAACCAATAGCTGAGTACGACCAGTACCAGTGATTGCCACGATGGCTACACATGAGGCCCAGTAATGTGGTGTGCATCTCACTGGTTATGTCAGGAGTCCTGGAGGAAGGCCCTGGTGTTAAAATGAACAAAAGCAACTGTGTGTGGTTCTACTGTGCAGGCTAGGTTATGAATTTGTACATTGGAACAGACAAGTGCTCTCAGGATCTTACAGGTAATTTGGTCATACAGATCATAATGAATATCAGCTTTTCAGATTTTAATCACATTACCAGGGTTAGAAAATGACAATAAGAAGTTTGCTTTATTTATTTTTGCCAGTCCTAGGACTTGAACTCAGGGCCTGTCCCTGAGCTTCTTTTGCTCAAGGCTAGCATTCTCTCACTTGAGCCACAGCACCACTTCTGGCATTTTCTCTTTATATGGTAACTAGGAATCAAACCCAGGGCTTCATGCATGCTAGGCAAGCACTTTACCACTAAGCCACATTCGTAGCCCAAGAAGCTATATTTAATTTGCTCATTTGTACTATGAATTTTCTTCCTCTTCCTTCTGTTTGCATATCCAGGTGAGATTAAAAGACTCACTTGTCAGCTCCCTTCAGTTTTGTAAGGCCAAAGATGCAGAATTAGCATGGATTGATGGTGTCTTAGACATGAGGGTTTCCAAAGTGGACACGGGCGTTATTTTGGAAGAAGGAGAGCTCAAGGATGATGGAGAGGACTCAGAAATGCAAGTAGATGCGCCTTCAGATTCCAGTGTTCTAGCACAGCAGAAAGCCATGAAAAGCCTGTTTGGAGATGACGAGAAAGAAACCGGGGAGGAGAGTGAGGTCATCCCTACTCTGGAACCCTTGCCACCTCACGAGGTAAGAAAGCCTGAGCTTGCGGTAGCTCATTCTTTTTTTTTGGGGGGGGGTCAGGTCATGGGGCCTGAACTCTGGGCCTGGGTGCTGTCTCTCAGCTCTTCAGCTCAAGGCTAGCACTCTACCACTTGAGCCACAGCGCCACTTCCGGCTTTTTTCTTTTTTGCTTATGTGGTGCTGAGGAATCAAACCCAGGGCCTCATGTATGCAAGGCAAGCGCTCTACCACTGAGCCACCTTCCCAGCCCCTATAGCTCATTCTTAATTTGTCATCTTCCCGCTTTCCTCTTGTGTTTTGAATCACCTGAAATAGGTTTTATGTAGGCTAATTTTGGAGTTCTTAGAAAAAATTATTCAAGATATGTTTCTACGTATGTGTTAACTCTTTTTTTTTTTTTGGTTGGTCATGGGGCTTGAACTCTGGGCCTGGTGCTGTCTCTCAACTCTTCAGCTCAAGGCTAGTGCTCTCCCACTTGAGCTACGAGCCACTTCCAGTTTTCTGGTGGTTTATTGGAGATAAGAGTTTCACGGTCTTTCCTGCCCAGGCTGGCTTTGAACCATGATCCTCAGATCTTAGCCTCCAGAGTAGCTAGGATTACAGGCGTGAGCCACCAGTGCTGGGCTGTGTTAACTTTTTATGGCTATGGATGATAACTTTAAAGAACCCTTTAACAAATATTCTTTTAAAGACATACTGTTTTTTTGTGATGTCATTTGTTTTTTGTTTTTTAGTATGGATTTTTAAATACCAAGTTTGATTGTTGAGGAGCACCTGCCTGCTTTAAATCAGGAGATTTATAGTGTTTTAAGAATGTCATATGTTTTGTTCCAGTATTAGAACTTGAACTCAGGGCCTTGCACACTTGCCTGGCTTTTTTGCCCAAGGCTGATGCTCTACCACCTGAGCTATGTCTCCAGTTCTGGATTTCTGCTCATTAACTAGAGATAAGAGTTTCATGGCCTTTTTGTCTTTGAACTGGGATCCTCAGATCTCAGCCTCCTGATTAGCTATGATTGCAGATTTTAAATCACTTTTGGGTTTGATACAGCTAGAAATCTTTCATTAAGTATAGGTATAACTCTAGCCTAGTATGTACATGTTCTCAGGAGAGATCTGGCTCATTAAAAAGGATTTTAGATAATGAAACTTAACCAAGGAATTAAACGATTGCTATAATAAAGACCATAAAACCTTGAGAAAAGGGGCTGGGCACTAATGTCTCATGCTTGGAATCCTAGCTACTTGGGAGGTTGAGATCTGAGGATTGTAGTTTGAAGCCAGCCTAAGTAGAAAAGTCCATGAGACTTATCTCTAATTAATAATAATAAAAAAAACAAAAGTAGAGCTATAGCTCAAGTGGCAGAGTAGTAATCTTGAGCACAAAAGCTCAGAGACAGTGCCTAGACCTTGAGTTCAAGCTGTAGGACTAGCAACAAAAAACAATAACCTAAAACGACAACAACAGCAAAAAAGTTTAAGGGAGAATAGAAAGAAGACAGCAGAAGATAGAGAAGCCTCCCCTGCTCAATAGGGGGCTGGGGAGTGAGAAAAGAGAAAGCAATCGCGTTACTCTGATAAAGGCATCATGGGTATGCATATGAGCTACCATGGCTCTGAAAGCTTGAGACAGCTAATGCAGCTTTACAGAATAATGACAGAAAAGTAGAGGAGTCCATTGGGGAGTCCTCTTGTGAAGAGAAATGTGGGTGTGGAGGGTGAGTGAGGATGAATATGGTTGAAATAGTTTGTTAACATATATGAAAATATATGTATGTTTGGAAATGTCACAATGAAACCCACTCTTGTACAACTAATGTATGGTAAAAATAATTATTAAAAAAGAAAAAGAAAAGATTTAGGTGATAAGACTTAGAATAGTATTAAAACTAGTCTTAGGTGCTTGTCAAGTGAGATCGTTAGCCCTGCTGTAATGTAGACTAGAGAGGCAGCCTCTGCATTGGATTCCCTTGTACAACTCTTGAAGCTGAGAGAAGGAATTACAGTCTTTTTTCTTCTCTCCGCTAAAGTGAGAGCCCTTTATGCAGTTTGAAAGCTCCAGCATTAGGCAAGAACCACTTGCTTTTCTGACTCTGTACCCGTGCCATCCATGGCTTTCACTCAGAGGGAAAGGAATGGAGATGAATTAGGAAAGAATTATCCTCTGAACTAAGCAGAAGAGCGCGATCTGGAAAGTGAGTTTTGGTTTAGTTCTGCCTCTTGGCACTCCAGTTGACCCTCTGGCAAGTGGGTGAGCAAAAAGCCTAACATTACCACACATCTCTGTTATTAGGAGGCATGACTAATAACGTTCTGAAACATCACAAAATGTGAGGGAAATGTTAACGGATGAAGTAAAATCCAGGATAACAAACTTGGAATGTGATTTTACAGTCTCCACTTGAGGGAAGAACATTCAGTGCTTCACCTTTTTTTTTTGAGTCGGTTGTAGGACTCGAACTTAGGCCCAGGTGCTGTCTCTGAGCTTTTTCACTGAAAGCTAGCGCTCTACCACTTTGAGCCAACGTGCCACTTCCAGTTTTCTGGTGTTAATTGGAGATGAGTCTCATGGACTTTTCCTGTCCAAGCTGGTTTCAAACGGGGATTCTCAGATCTCAGCCTCTTGAGTAGCTAGGATTATAGGCATGAGCCCCTGGCACCTGGCCAGTATTCCCTTTTTTCAGTCCAACTTTGTGTATGATGTTTTATTTGAAGTTATTCTTTCCCCTTTGACCTTATCCAAGGTTCCTGGACATCAATCTGTTTTTATGAATGAACCAAGACTATCAGACTTCAAGCAAGTTCTTTTGCGGGAGGGGATTCAAGCTGAATTTGTCGGAGGTGTTCTTGTGTGCAACAATCAAGTAGCAGTCCGTAGAGTAAGTTTTGTTTTTAGTAAGCGCTGAATTGAGCATGTTTTTGATATTTTCTCATTTTGGATTCTGTAATTCTTGATGGGCATTCTCACAAAGTACTTTATATTCATATGATGACTTTTAAGGCTTATTAAGGTGAATGTCAAAATATTACACACACACACACACACACACATATATATATATATATAGTTTTAGGGAAAACTTATTACTTGAATTCTAACATTTATGTATCCATATGATTTACTGCCTGAATATTATGTCTGTAGTATGTGAGTCAGGATAACCCTTTCCTTACCAATCATAAGGTAGCCTAATATATTTTGGTTATTATGTCTGCTTGTTAATGAATAGAAAACGTGCTAAAGAACTGTTTTTAATTTGGTTTCTAGACGGAAACTGGACGCATTGGATTAGAAGGCTGCCTTTGTCAAGACTTTTATAGGATAAGAGACCTTTTATATGAACAGTATGCCATTGTGTAAAGGACATGATGTCAAGAAGTATCTGCTTGACCTTTCTAAGAAAAAAGGATTCCTATCTCATTCTATGCTTTTGCTGTTTTGTTTTGTAACATACAAAAAAATCTGCCTGAAAGACTGAACATGTATTAGATCTTGAAAAAATGTCAGTGGAGGACATGGTATGTAGCTCAGTGGTAGAGTGCTTGTCTAGCATGTACATAGTCTGGATTTCATCCCCAGCACTGCAGAAAACAGAAAAATGTGAATAGAGACCATGTTGTCCCTACTTCATGCGCACTATACCTTTTAACTTTCAGAGTGATGGAGGTCCTAATAGGGTACAGCCCAAGGGTTAAAGATGATGGGTTCTAAATTTATAGACCCCTTACCTGAAGAAGGCTTTTACTTGAATACAGCAGTGCACCTTAGCAAACCAGTTTCTGGCCTTAGAGAAACATGTCTGCATGTATTCTTGCAAACTGTTTCTTAATATTTTCTGAAATGAAAAGGGAGAATTATTTAGAAAAGACGTGCTACAAGAAAATAAGGAAATAAGACAAACCAAATTGGTAGGACAGTTTTTTGAAGCTTGGGTATTTAAAGACAAAAACATATCATACATGCTATGACTCCTCTTGTGAATCCTGATATGTGATTGTTTTCACATGGAGTGGTAAACTCCTTGCCTGCATTTCCCAGTGACTTACTCCAGTGTGAGATACACACATTTTGTTAGGAATAAATTTTTATTTCTCCCATTTCTTATTTTGATAAGCTTTTTTGTTTTTTGTCAGTTGTGGGGCTTGAACTTGGGGCTTGGGCTCTGTCCCTAAGCTCTTTTTGCTCAAGCTAGCACTCTTCTACTTTGAGCCACAGCGACATTTCTACTTTTCTGGTGGTTCATTGGAGATAAGAGTCTCATGGACTTCCCTGCCTGTGCTGGCTTTGAACTGCAATCCTCAGATCTCAGCCTTCTGAGTAGCTAGACTTACAGGCATGAGCTACTGGTGCCTGGCTTTGAAGCGCTTTTGTTGTACAGTTTGAATTAGAATATCGTCTTTTGAATACGTGTCATTCAGAAGAAAGCCTTGATGTGTTGCCATCTTTAAGGTGGGTACACACTTTAGTCACACCCTATCAACTAGGTGACTATATTTGAAATTGTTCAGTTTTGTATTTTTTAAGAAAGGATACTGAACTTAAGTTTTTATAATTAGAAACTAAATATTAGGCTTGGTCTCTTCTAAGTTTCATGGTTGTATTTTGTACACATTACTACAAAAATTGTACTGAAATTGGATAAGGTTATCCTTTGCTGCCCCAGGAATACAAACTGAAGATAAGCCACTTTCATTGAACTAGCTTAATGAAATCCATGTTGTCTTATTGTAATGTGTTGTTGATTTTCTAGAAAATAATCATGGAAGGTCTTGATTCTTCCTTCTTATGTATGGTAGAACTCTTCACTCTTAGCCTTGATAAGAGCATCAATCTTCTTATTTAACTGAGGTGAAACTATGTATATTTTAACCTTGAGATGTGACTTTAATATGTTATTGTTTCAAATGCTTTCACAACTTCCATTGTGGATTACAATGCTTATGCAAAGTTCACAGCCTTCTGATACTAAAACCAGATAAGCAAAACAGTGTTTCAGAAGATAAATATAAAGGGTATATTTTCTTCTTAGCACTGCAAAACTGTTTCTCTTTTCCTCTCCTTACTCTGTAGAGTGGCCTTATAATTCTATTTATAGTCCAGGAGGAAGGAAAGGCTGCAAGTGTTCCATGGATCAAAACATCTGGCTTTACCTGTTACATTATAATACTACAGTGTTTAAAAAGCTATTTCTTGCCTAGCCTTTTTACTATTCTATGAACAAAATTTTAGAGCACTACTTGAGCATGGCTGTGCTGAAAAAAAAAGTCATCAAGAAAGCAATACTTTCCTGTTTCTAGATGACAATGTTACTAAAATGCCTAAAAAGCTTTTTTGTAGCCTCAGGTACTTTAGAAAAATAGAAATTGAAAACAATAGTGAGATTAAATTATGAGCTCAGAGAAACATTGAGATGTTTAAAAGCAAGAATAAATATAAGATAGATTTTCAGCTTAGAAATAGAAATAATTTTGCTGAAAAGAAATCTTCGCCAGGTGTGGTGGTACATGATGTTAATCCTGGCACAGATCCTAAGGCAGGAAGATGGCAAGTTAGAGGCCAGCCAGCCTGGGCTGCATTGTGAGACTTTGTCTTAAAAAAGAAAAAGGAAGGACTCCTGTGTTGTTGCAGTGGGATTCCCGATGCAGTTATCATCACAGTTATTTTCCTGGTTTCATGGCCCTGTAGGTGACCTAAAACGGAAATGAGGAAATGAGCTTTCTAAAGGGGGCCATTCACTGTTTGTTTTTTTCAAATTGACGTACAATTTACATATCATAAAATATTCATTATTTTAAAGTATGCAAATTATCGGTTTGGGGATATTCTTATTTGTGCAGCAGTGACTATGTAATTCCATAACTTTTTCATCATTCCAAAAGGAAACCTCATATACAGTAGCAGGTACTTCCCATTTTTCCTAATTCCTAGCCCCTGTCAATCATTAAATCTTTCTGTGTCTACAGATTTGTCTCTTCTGAACATTTCATAAAAATAAGAGTCATACCACATGTGCCCTTTTGTGTCTGACTTCTTTCACATAGCATGTGTTCAGGGTTTAGCAGCATGTTTTGGTATCATGTTTTAGTAAACATCCTTTTAGCATGTTTTCCATACAGTAGCCATGTAGTAGTATCTTTTTTGAGACATAATCTTGTTTTATAGCCTGTCTCAGCCTTCTGAGTGCTGAGCTGATAGATGTGCACCATGACACTTTATGTCCATGTCCTTTTTGTAGTTGACTTACATTCCATTACACTACTATACCATCTTTTGTTTATTCCTTCATTAGTTGATGGACATTGATTGTTCTCCATTATGGAGGGTGGGAGGTGCTATTAATGAAGAAAGCTCCTTTGACGTTAGTGTGCAAGATTTTTTGGGGGGGGAGGGGTCCAGTCTTGGGGCCTGAACTCTGGGCCTGGGCGCTGTCCCTCAGCTCTTCAGCTTAAGGCTAGCGCTCTACCACTTGAGCCACAGCACCACTTCCAGATTTTTTCTTTTTTTCTTTTTTTTTTTGCTTATGTGGTGCTGAGGAATCGAACCCAGGGCCTCATGCATGCAAGGCAAGCGCTCTACCACTGAGCCACCTTTCCAGCCCCTGTACAAGATGTTTTGTATGAACATGTACTTTCATTTTTCCCAGTTATATCTTAATAGATTGCTGGATCATTTGGTGGTTCTGCTTACCGATTTGGGGACTGCCAGCTGTTTTCCAAAGTGGCTATACCATTTCACATTGCCACCAGTACATGAGTGAAATGTGCATGGTCTCTGCATCTTTGCCCATACTTGCTATTCTCCATCTGGTCTATGTGAAGAGCAAGCTCCTTAAGGTTTTGATTTGTGTTTCCCTAATGAATCATCACAAGCATTTCATGTGCTTTTAGCTTTTTGGAGTCATGTCTGTTCAAATCTCTTGCCTATTTTTAAAATTAGTTTCTCTTTTCACTGTTATATTAACAAGTTTTAAAGAAATACATCCTAGAGCCAGGTACTAGTGTCTCATACTTGTAATCCTAGTTATTCAAGAGGCTGAGATCTGGAGAATTGTGGTTTATAAAGCTAGCCTGTTCAAAAGAATTAACTACTCCTTCTAGAATACCAGACTAGAGCCATGAGTGAAATAGAGTGCCAGCTGGGAGCAAGCAAAGCCTAACAAACTCAAGGTGCTGAGCTCAAACCCCACTATCCATCCCACCCTCCAAAAAAAGTTCTGAGTACTAAACTCTAATATATATGATTTGCAAAAAGAAAAAGAAAAAAAATCCGTTTTGCGGTTGGTAGTGTGCTTTGAAGCACAAAAGTGTAATTTTGGTGACATCCAATTTAATTTTCCCCCTTTTGGCTTCTTGTGCTATTGGCGTCATTTAGAAACCATTTCCTCATCTAAAATTACACAGCTAGGAACCTACATTTTTTTCCCTATGTATGATAATTTTAGATTTTAGGCCTTTACCCATTTTTGAATCTGCTTATCAGTTTCTGCAACTTTTTTTTTTTTTTTTTTTTTTTGTCGATTGTGGCGCTTGAACACTAGGCCTGGGCGCTGTCCCTGCGCTCTTCAGCTCAAGACGAGTGCTCTACCGCTTGAGCCACAGCACCACTTCCGATAATAGGAGTTAAGAGTCTTAGGGACTTTCCTGCCTGGCTGGCTTTGAACCTTGATCCTCAGATCTTAGCCTCCTGAGTAGCTAGAATTACAGGCGTGAGCCACCAGCACCCGGCTTGCAACAACAATTTTTAAAATGCACTCATTTTTAAAAGGAAAAAAAATCAGTTGAAATATACCTCTTCAAATCTTAAAATGTGCAGCAAAATGGGACGCTGTTTTGGTATTAAATGAAGGAGCCTGAGGAACAAAAAGAATTTATCTGAACTGCACATGGCTGATGGCAGAGTTGGAGTTGGAACTAGCTTCATAGGAATGCAGTCCCTGGAGCCAAGTATGATGGCACATACCTGTAATTGTAGCACTCAGGAAGATTACAGGTTCAAGGCCAGCCTGGGCTATAATCAGGGCTGGCCTGAGTTATGCCCAAATAGATTCTTTTACCTTGCTCTGTTGTTACTGTTCATTTTGCTTAGGAAGAATAATATGTCCTGGCAGCTGTTAGGACAATAGCGTGCTGAGAAAGATTGATTTCCATTTTCCCTTGTGGCTAGTGAATGCGACTGATAGAAAATGTCACCCGTTCGTCATAGTTTTAGAATTTGTCATTTAAAATACTGGTGAGGTCCGCTAACATGGAAGATGTACATGACACATTGAAACCCAGGAGCTGAGAAATGTGTTGAGAGACCTGTAGAACAGGCGTAGAATGGGGGTGGGGCAGTAGAAGTGTGAGGGGAACTAGAGACTCTTCCTTTCCAGGAAAACAAAAGTTTAGGTTTATTTCCTCCTTGGTTCTTTGTGCTCACTCACCATGTCAATTGTGTTTATAGGAAAAATAATCAAACAGAACTTTTGCCTTTTCCTCCTTCAGTCCTCTCCCCCTCCCTCTGGTTTTTACAGAGAGAACTTTTTTTTTTTTTTAAATGTTTTTCCTTCACTGCTCAGGACCATTTCATTTTAGCTCTGGAAGTTAAAATGTAATTCCCAAGGGCGTAACAGAAGTTTGAAGAGTTGTGTCACATGTTTTGTTTTATTTTGTGCTGCTACTTGAGCTACTGGGCTACTGGGTGCTGTCCCTTAGCTTTTCACTCAGAGCTGGCACTCTACCACTTGAGCCACAGCTTTTTGGTGCTAATTAGAGATAAGTATTTTATGGATTTTTCGGCTTGGGATTGCTTCAAATGGTGATCCTCAGATCTCAGCCTGCTCAGGCGTGACCCACTGGCACCAGCTTGTGGGAAGCTACGTTGAGATATAGCAACAGGCTGTTCTTTCTCAATTTTGGGGGGGGTCAGTTTCTGGTCAGTTGTGGGGCTTGAATTCTGGGCCTGGGTGCTGTCCCTCAGCTCTAAAGCTCAATAGAAGCACTCTACCACATGAGCCACAGCGCCACTTCTGATTTTCTGATGGTTTATTGGAGATAAGAGTCTCACGGACTTTCCTGCCTGGGCTGGCTTTAAAAGGCGATCTTCCTGAATAGCGAGG